TTCTGGACCTTTTACTTTTCTGTTTCTGGTGCTGTGAAGCTTAGAGGATTTTTACTGCTATTTTTTTTTTTTACTTTTTTCACTTTTTGAGCATTTGTTATTATGTGTAACCATGGCAACAAGCTGGTTTACAATCGGGAGCAGCTGATTAACATTGGAAAGGCTGAAACAATACCTTAACTGAAGCCACAAATCCCAAATGAGCTAAAATGCAAAAAGCGCGAATGCAGAGCGGGAGCAAAACGGAGACAGAGAAAGAGGAAATTCAAACCATCTCTTCCATCTATCATAATGGGCAATGTGAGATCACTGGCAAACAAGATGGATGAACTCCAAGCCCTATCAAGGACTCAGCCAGAGTACCGGTAGTGCAGTGTTATGTGTTTCACTGAGACGTGGGTGCAGAACCATATCCCCAATTCCAGAGTATCTCGGCCAGGATTCCTGACTGTACGAGCAGACAGAGATCTGAAGAGGAGCGGGAAAAGAAAAGGAGGTGGAGTGGCAGTGCTTGTCAACAACAGATGGTGCCATCCATGTCATGTTTCAGTGAAATGTCGTCTCTGCAGCCCAGATGTTGAACACTTGGCAGTAAGTTGTCGCCCATGTTATTTGACATGAGAGTTCACCAGTGTTGTCTTGGCAACTGTTTATATTCCACCTTCAGCCATTGCTGAAAATGGATGTGATGCCATCAGTTCCGTTGTCGCTAAGCTACAAACCCAATGCATTTGTGGCTATATCTGGGGAGTTTAATCACACCTTGCTCTCTGCTACACTTCCAACATTTCAACAGTTTGTCAGCTGCTCCACCAGAGAAAACAAGACATTGGATTTGTATTATGCAAATGTAAAGAATGCATATATGTCCAAAACAAGACCTCCTCTGGGACAATCAGATCACAGTCTTGTTTTTCTCTGCTCAGAATGCAAACCACTTGTTCAGAGGCAACCTGTGACAAGCAGAACTGTGAGAAAATGGTCACAGGACGCTGAAGAAGCCCTGCAGGGTTGTTTTGAGACCACAGATTGGATGACTCTCTGCCAAGGATATGAAGAGGACATCAATGCCATGACTGGATGGGCCACTGACTATATAAACTTCTGTGTGGACGATATCATACCCACCAGAACAGTAAGATGCTTCGCTAATAACAAACCCTGGATCACCAGTGAACTGAAGAATCTGCTACAGCAAATGAGAAAAAAAGAGCCTTCAAGGAGGGAGACAGGGAATTATTGAGAAGTATACAGAAGCAACTGAAGATCAAGATCAGAGACAGCAAGGAGGCACACAGGAAGAAGCTGGAGAACAAACTACAGAGGTTCAATATCAGAGATGTCTGGTCAGGGATGAAAAAGATCACAGGCTTCAAGCAGAGGAAGGATTGCACAGATGGCAGCCTGGACACAGCCAATGAACTGAACAAGTTCTTCAATAGGTTCAGTTCAGGAACAAACCCAGCATCCTCCTCACCTGTCCTCAGCCAATCAGACATCCCATCCTCCGCTGATCCAACATTTTCCAGTCACACACCAGCTCTTTTGTCCTCTAACGCAGTCATGGACTCTTCTGGTTCTATAAAGCTGTCTTTAACCAAGTCAGGAGATGCTGCTGCCCCATTTACCTTCCCCTCCCACCTATCTGTCTCTAGAAGTCAGGTGAAGAGGCAGCTGGAGAGACTGAACAAGAACAAGGCTGCAGGTCCAGATGGTGTCTGCCCCAGGGTACTGAAGGCCTGTGCAGAGAAGCCCTGTGGGATTCGACAGCACCTCTTCAACCTCAGCCTGGCCCAGGAGAAGGTTCCAGTCCTGTGGAAGACATCCTGCCTTGTTCCAGTTCCAAAGAAAACTCGCCCATCAGTCAATGACAACTACAGACTGGTTGCCCTGACATCCCACATCATGAAGGTCCTGGAGAGACTCCTATTGGTCCACCTGAATTAGCAAACTAGAACATATCAGGACCTGCTGCAGTTTGCTTGTCGCCATGGAGTTGGAGTTGAAGATGCCATCATCCAGCTCCTTCAACCAACCCACTGTCATCTGGACAAAGCAGGCAGCACTGTGAGGGTCATGTTCTTTGATTTTTCCTGTGCATTTAACACAATCCAGCCTGGTGTACTTTGCCAGAAACTCCAGAAGACACATGTGGGGGCCTCAACTATCACCTGGATTAAAGACTACCTGACAAACAGACCACAGTTTGTGAGGCTGAAGAGCTCCTCATCAAACCAGGTGATCAGTAACATTGGAGCACCACAGGGGACTGTACTCTCACCATTCCTTTTCACCCTGTACACCTCAGACATCCAGTACAAATCAGAGACCTGTCATCTACAGAAATACTCAGATGACTCTGCAGTTGTCGGGTGTATCAGAGATGGACAGGAAGCTGAGTACAGAGAGCTGGTGGAGCGCTTTGTGGCATGGTGTGGAAACAATCATCTGACCTTGAACGTGAACAAAACAAAGGAGATGATTTTAGACTTCAGAAGAAACAGGACGGAGTCAAACACTGTTTCCATCATGGGAGAAGAAGTGGAGGTGGTTGAGGAATACAAATACCTTGGAGTTCACCTGGACAACAGACTGGACTGGAGAAAGAACAGCGAAGCCATTTACAAGAAGGGACACAGCAGACTGCACTTCTTGAGGACGCTTAGGTCCTTCAATGTCTGTAGCAAGATGCTGCAGATCTTCTACAAGACTGTTGTTGAGAGTGTAATCTCTTCAGCCATCGTCTGTTGGGGTAGTAGCATCAGAAGCAGGGACCTGAAAAGGCTCAACAGCCTAAAAAAAGGCTGGTTCTGTTCTGGGGACGACTGTGGAACCACTGGAGGAGATAATGCAAAGAAGGATTCTCCAGAGAATCAAGAAAGTTAGGAAGAGCAGAGCGGGAGCAAAACGGAGAAAGAGGAAATTCAAACCATCTCTTCTATGGATCATAATGGGCAATGTGAGATCACTGGCCAACAAGATGGAGGAACTCCAAGCCCTTTCAAGGACTCAGCCAGAGTTCCGGCAGTTTTGGAACCACTGGAGGAGATAATGCAATGAAGGATTCTCCAGAGAATCAAGAAAATTATGGACAACCCTGAGCATTCTCTTCACAAGACTGTCCGACAACGGAAGAGTGTCTTCAGTCAGAGGCTTCTTCAGTTTCGCTGCAACACTGACCGCTACTGGAGATCCTTCCTGCCAACAGCCATTGTAATATACAATAACTCTTTGATGACTTGATCATTATTATTATTCTGAGCTACTACAGCAATCAATCCTCTGGGATTAATAAAGTATTTTTTAATTGAATTGAATTGAATTGTTTCTGATGAAGGTACTAATCCTAATATTTTAGGTGGTTTTGATGAGAATTTGTATCAATATAGGATGTAAAAGAAAATAAGATAGTTACACTTCTCCAGGATTCATAATTAATTTGTATGAGATCATCACCACACAGTGTGTGTTTTTGTAGATCTGGTCAGTAAACGACTCACATCAACCTGGTTTTTAAGGATTTGAGGGGTTTTCTTTAGAGACAACGTCAAGGCAGAAGAACAGCACTTTGATGTGAAGAGCTCAGTGTGCAAAGCTTTCATTGGAGATGATTTTTACACTTCAGAGAAAAGTCACAGTAAACGTGCAGGTATGTGTAGCGGATCTATGAATAAACTTCGTGGTTAACTTTGCCGCTGATTTGACTCATTTCTCTACTCTAGTTGCACTGTTGACTGTTAACGGTCTGGGAATCATGTGATCAGAGTTGCCGACCTGATTTCCTTCCATTTCTACTCTTCTCTGTCAAATAATGCCAAATATTTTGCGTCATCTGAAACTTTTCTGGCTGAAAAGGACCAGATTTGGTTATCTGGACGTCTCAGTCACCAGAGTTAACCAGAATTTTTTTTTAATTGAGAGAAAGTCTTAAAAGATGTATAAAAAGAACAAATGTCTTAGAAGCAAAAAAAAATATGTATACTAAAAAGTATAAAACTATGGAAAAAAGTATTGTTTGCAGCCAATAATGTTATATTGGTTGACCTATTGATTGGTAAGATATGGCGTCAGCAGAAATCACCCCAAACAACTGACATTTGTAAAACTGGAAGAGTTGCTGGTGATGCAGAATTGAAGCACAAGAATATACGCACAATTCGTGCTGTTTTAAAATCACAGTTATTAAACCCCCAGCACCGAAACACGCAGCAGATTTCGTCCCATAACAGCTTAATTCACGGGACTTTGTACTGTCATACAGCACCGTAAAAACAGCGCTTCTTCTGGTCATCGAACGCAACATTTTACATCACACAGCTCTTCCAGTTCTCCGACTTGATTCAATCACACTGTACTTCAACTGAATATAACTTTTGTGTTATTAATGTCTGTAGACGCTGATCAGTGACATCACTCCCTGCTGAGGCAGTTAACCAAACCTCCAAAATAACATTTTAGGGTATTTCATTGTGGGGACCTGCCGAATGTCCCCACAATTTCTAAAAAATTCCCACATTGCAGGTTAATCCATCAAAAATATCCTCAGAGTGTAGTACAAAGTACACGCACACATTCTGAAAGCTAATTTCTTGTGTTTTTCCATCCAGTGTCAAAATAACTGGCACCATGTCTGACTGCGGGTGATTTAAACTGTCGTGCTTTTGTGCGAACACCATTAAAAATGTTTAACACAAAGTGATCCGTTGCACATGAGCATTCTGTTTGCTGGAGGACTCACCGATCTCATCGTGGAAAAAGATGTAGCTGCTGATTTATGTCGTTGGATTTATTCTCCACTGCTCTGAAAACGCAGACGTCACACGTTCATTATATTAAATCATATCTGAGTCTGATTGGGTCTGTAATCATGGAGCTGGAAGTTTTCTGCAGCTGGTCTTGCTGCTCGTTGTGTTACTGTGGAGGACAACAAGGATTTTGTTCAAGTTTTGAGTTGTTTAGTGTGATGGCAGCTAGTAACCCAGGCTTTATTTTCTACACAGGGTTTACAGGTCAAGGCTGATTATGTTCCTCTGCTTCAGTCTCTGGCCACGTATGGATGGAGACTCACCTGTGTGCTGCCAACTCCTGTAATCAAGACTAACAGGTAATCACTCTTTTCTTCACACTCCTCAGGGCACAGGAGTAACGTTTGACCTCTACTGACCTCTTTTGGCAGCTGTGAGAAATGCAACAACAGGAAGTGTTCTTGATTCAGCTTCTTCAGTCCTGCAGGATACCACCTAGAATATCTGATGAGGAATTCCTTAATTACAAATATTTGTTTTTAACTTAAATTCCTTTTTTTTTTTCAGGACAGATAAACTCACTCCCACATTGCTCAGTGGCTTAAAAATGAGTAGAAAGGCGTACAGTACAGTATATATACAGTAATATATATATATATATATATATATATATATATATATATATATATATATATATATATATATATATATATATATATATATATATATATATAAAAGATTTAGTCCTAAAATGTATCAAATAAAAAAATATATGAGAAAGTGGCTCAATTCTTTTCCTTCTGAGAACATTTATTAGTTTAGTTGATTTATTGATCAGCTAAGTTGAAACATTAAAGTTAAAATGTATTTAGTTGCAGTATCTGATTAAAACATAAACAGCAAACATAATATCTACACATTTCTGAAAAAGTGTCATATGTTTTGGTGAATTTAACCTGAATCTGTCAGTCTGGGCTGCATCACAGCTGCTGCAGCTGTCTGTGTCGACCAGCAGCAGCTCTGTTCAGTGGAAAAATCTCCTCACAGAAACATAGCGGTTCCATAGTAAAGCCTGCGCTGACTCATCACTCCCTCCCAGCTGCTGTGTGAGTGTACAGAATAAGTAAAATAAGGGAGAACTAAGGAGCAATACAATACACGAAGTGTGTTGCAATCAAGAAATGACTTGGCTTTATTTATTATCGATAGACTTTTTGAGATTTTTTGTTTTGTGTGTCTGATGTGAGGTTTCCATGACAGTTTACTGTTTATTGTGATTCCCAAAAATATGCTTTCTTGTACCATTTCAATTTGAAAACCATCTATATTTATTGGCAACTCAAACTTTGTTTTTTGATTACCAAATTTTATTGCTTTAGTCTTGTTTAAATTTAATGACAACTTATTGCTGTCCATCCATATTTTAAAAACAATCAATTCTTCATTTATTTTTTAATGAGATTTGGATAATTGTCACTGCTATAAAATATATTTGTATCATCTGCAAATAAAATAAATTTTAGTAATGTAAAATTACATCTTAATCTACATAACCAGGATTTAACGCTGTAGCTATTCAGCTTTGTTAGATTCTGAGAAAGATCAAACAAATTAGCAAATGAAGCTTATATCATGTATAAATATCCAGGATATTTATATAATCGATAGAAGTTCATACACTAACGGGCTTGGTCTATATTTAATCCAAGGATTAATATTTAATTTAAGATATTTAAATTAATAGCAAAAGTTTATTCATTAAATCAGAAGACTTAAAGGAATCTTTGCTTGTTCAATAACCAAATATACACCACTCTGTGTTTCATTTCAAAGAAGTCAGATTTAAAGAGTTAAGAATTTATTGCTAACAATTTAAAGATGACAATTTAAAATGACAATTTAAAAATGACATTTTATAACAGCTTTGATATTAAAACTTGGTATTAAAAGCAACCTGTGTCTGAATGAAAGCTAAAATGAAATGTGTGTGTTTGGATGAGTGGATGGAATCTCAGAAGGTTTCTTTCAAAGAGAGAAAACACATTCTGGGTGAAAGAGTTGTTTTGCAGCTGAATTAAGTTATTTCTTAAAGAAACATTATCGAATGCAATCTGTGTTCTACCTCACCGTTCAGACGACCCTCTGTGTAGATCCAGAGGTCTGGAGGATGTTGTCAGCCTCTGGGTACTCGGTCCGGTAGGGAAGACCCGAGTGGCACCGACTCTCTGGTCCAAGAGTTGCCGCTGGTACACAGGTGTTGAGCTTGCATTTTAACTTAACTCTGAAGGAGTTTTGCATCAGCTGGTGCAGGTGGCGTTTATTCAGAGCAATTCTATCGGCGTGACAGAACAACTTAGTGGAGGCTTCGGGCGGCTGACCCTTATCCTCTGGGACTCCCGTGCCATGGAGAGATTTTGGTCGGTTCAGAACTGTCAGCTTGAACTGAGGAGTTTGGTTTTAACAAAACCTCAGGACACACCCTCTCAGAGATAGAAAGCTTTGGTTATGGAGCAAAGACATGTGAGGTGGTTACCTTTAACCTGAATTCAGCGTCCTGCATGGTGTGTATAAGTGTACATGACCTTCTGGTTACTGATCAAACATTACTGATTATCATAAATCATAATTATTTTTAACCAAATAATAATAATTCATTTCAGTTATTAAATAAATTTATAAGGAGCCATGATGATTATTTATGAACCTTGTAATAAACAATGAAAAGAGTTTAATAAAAACTAGGTCCCAGTACTGATCCCTGGGGTACACCACAACAAATTTCAAGATTGTTTTACTTTTTCTGTCCAATATTAATATACTGTACCCTTCCACTTAAATAACTTCCACTTAAATAACTTCTTACCCAGTTCAATGCCACTCCTCTAATTCCATATCTTTCCAATTTGTCAAGCAGAATTGAGTGATTTATTGTATCAAAACCTTTTTAAAGTCAACAAAAATTCCAATTGCATATTTTTTGTTGTCAGGTGCACTGGTGATTTCGTCTATGGCATCTATTATAGCCATAGAAGTTGTTCTTTTATTTCTGAAGCCATATTGTCCATCATTAACTATGTGATGTTTATCACATAAATTTTCTAGTCGTGTAATAAAGAGTTTTTCCAAGATTTTTGAAAACTCACGCAACAATGAGATTGGTCTATAGTTGGTAAACATGTGTTTATCATTATTTTTGTAGATTGGTATGATATGTAGCGTCATGAAATGTCCTGTTTTTGACCTAAAGGTCATGCTCTGCTGCGTCTGCTCGAGTGGGGACATAAAGTCTCTGACACAGGCCTAATCTACATGAGATATTGGCCAAGGCCTTTAATGCCTCTGCTCATCTGAATTGCTTCACCTCTTTACAGCTCAAGTCAAGACAGAGAACTCTTTTGATAAATACATAACCAAACAACGTTTGTTATTGCCAGTTATAATGTGAATCCAATGTTCAATCAATCTGTGAAATGACAATGTTATTACTTGATACTATAATTCTGGGATCAGTAGTATTTTACAAGTAATTATAATCTTGGACAGCTGCACTAGACACGTGATGACACAGAGTAATGCTAAAGTCACACAACACACTTCCTTTTGTCTGATCCAATCAGAACCTTCAATTCTGATGCGAGGCTGTCACACCCTGTCCTGTCTCCCCTTATGGTTTAGTCTTGTCTCTGTTAATTGCTCCCACCTGCCTCTCGTTTCCCAATCACCCAAGCTCCCAGCCTTCAACCACTTCTGTGTTGTGTCTCGTGTTGGATCATTGTTTCTGTGTCAGCGTGTTCAAGATTAAAACCTTTAAACTGTTCTTGTCTGAAAGCCTACCTTCTGTACCCGCGTGTGGATCCTCATCTCCGCTTCACACTCCTGCACGTCTGACAGAATGATCCAACCCAGTAAAGGATCCAGGATTCTCCCCTGGGAGTGCCTGCTTCAATTTCTCTCTTCGGACCACCGGCGGCTTCTTCTTCTCCTCCTCCGGCTTCGCCTTCGCCTCGCCACAGACGCCGTCACCGGGCTTCAGCCGCAGCGTTCCTCTCCACCCTTCCGGAGCCAGATGAGAGGTTGGACCGGGAGACGATTCCGGATCACTCCAGCTTCTTGGGCACCAGACTGGCTGTGTGCTCCCCCGGTGCTGGCCCACGGCGTGGGGAAGGAAGCCGGGCTCCACCGCAATCCTGTGTCCCAGAACGGAGCCGCGAGCTCGCCGCTGCCCCGGCTCTGCGCACCTGCTTGGACCCGCCCCCAGTCAGACCAACAGTCCCGTCTCCGGTCCAATCCGCGCCTCCATCAGAAGTTGCTTCCAACTTCTGGAAGGAGTTTTTCGTCAGCTGGTTACAGTTTACATTTATTCTTAGCTATTCTGATCTGCGTGACAGAACAGCTTGGCAGAGGATCAGGGTGGCCGACCCGTCTCCTCGATGGTGTTGGTTCAAGAACTGACGTGAAATCTGTTGCAGGTTAGTTTACAAAGCTCTCAGAACACACCCACTCTCAGCAAGAAAGCTTTGGTCATGCGTCAATAGCATGTGTTGGCAGTTATTGTTTTCTCTGGATAAACTCTGTGTTAGATGGTTAGAGCTGACCTTCTGATTTGCTGAACACACATTACTGTCATCAACCATAATCATAATTAATCATTATTATACCCAAAGCATAATAATTCATTTCTTGTAATTAAAATACATTTATACTGAACCAAGTGATTATTTATGATGATTATAATAAACAGTAATAAAGTCAAAGAGTTTAATATTATTATTTAATTATTATTGTGAACTTGAGGTGTCCTTCTTCTGGGACGGAACAGCAGCAGATAACGATGGTTCTTTAGCAGACATCATGGCTCCTTGGCTGATCTGTGGACTTGAAAGTTACTGTTTGACCCAGCTTGACCCAGCTGGGTAAATGTGACCTTTGCCACAAATTAGAGGACCTTCCGTGATGCTACAATAGAATTCAAATTTGTATACATGCTTCTGCTATTAAAGTGTATGATTGAGAATTTGCCTTCAGTATAGATGCTGTCGTTGAAATGTTCTTGTGAGTAATGCACACAACTTTTCTTGATAGAGACAGAAAATTATTATCTGGGTCTATTTAATTCCCTAAATAGTTTGTATTGAATTCTGTATACTTAGAAGGAATGGAAATGGAGGTTTCTAAGTCAGATATCCTCTGCATAAGTTCATTGATCTCAGTACTCATGGAGTCCGTATGCTTGAGCCATCATGCATGAACTGACACATAGGCCGATATTAAGCTATAAGGCTAGTTTCACATCATCAATACTTATCAAGTTCTTGTATGTGTCTCACCACCACTGCTTTTGCTTCTTCACGACTTCCATTGAGTTTAATAAAGAAAACACCCCTAATGCCAGATGTGCATGTAAGGAAACATGTTAATAATATATTTAAAAGCAGCATGCCTACTCATTTACATAGTAAAGCAGATCAGACACTTTCTGGCACATTAGACCCCCCCTGCTGCCTTAATTCAACAACAACAATGTAAACATGGTTTGAATTTTGGGGCAACATGGTCGTAATCAGACCAACTCTCTTTCCTGTCTGTGTTGCCTTCAAACTAACAGGATCTGTGGATCAATACCATGGGAGTTTATAGAGACTTTATGACCTGGTGAAAAAGAGCCGTCTTACAGTAAAAACCCTAAACGACACGTGTTATAATTCCATCAGCACAGTGACGGATTATGTGCTCTGCCTCCGCAGTCATGTTTTCTGCTCTTTCACAGCACAACTGATTAATTACCTCTTTATTTTGATCCTTTTTCTTTCCCCCCCCCCCCCCCCCCCAACAACCCTGCTCTCATCTTTTTCAAAATGCCACAACACAACAGCACAACAAGGCTAATTAAAGCTGCAAGCAGCGTCGTTCGGCCCTCGCAGCGAAGCTGCTCGCCCTCCTTCCGCACCCCCTACCCTCCATCCCCGACCCTCTCCAAACCCAGCTCCGCGCTTCTCCATCCTGTCCGGCAGCCGGGGGCACCAGGGCACGTCTGGCAGAACAGAAAGTCAACCAACCCGACACCAGAAACCGTGAACGGCCTCCTCGTCCACACCTCACCCTGACTCAGCATCCCCTCTGAGCCCACCATTACACGTCTCACCACTAGGAGATACTCTATCTTTACCACACTGGTGATGTGATGTTCAGTCTTGGGCAAATCGGAGGCTGTTTGTGGAAGTTACAGTCAAACGTAAGGTCACAGCGTCACGCCAGAATTCGCCATGGCATCAAATCCCCTCCCTTTCTGAAAAGCTAGCAGATCTGAATGGTCATTACAACATCATGAAGACAGTGCATGACCTTAGTGTCATGTTCACTAAATTAGAGGGGACAAATATGGGCATTTCACCATGAAAAAATCGACTTCCTGTAGTCAGGGGGCGGGGCTTAGGTGATGTCAGCTGTCCACATTGTCATTGTCTTGAGTTGTGGTCAATGATCACACAGACACAGTTTGATATAGATCTGATCATGCACATGGGAGTTGTTAAGTCAAGGAATGTAATGGCGAAAGGTCAAAGTTTGAGGCTTAGCCACGCCCACACCTTTATACTTATTTGAAATCCGATGGTTGAATTTTTCCCCCTTTGTCTTAAGAGTATGTAGCAGAAGTTTGAAGGCGATTGGTGAAAAGGGCGATGGTGCAACACTCTCCAAACAATGTGTGCGAAAACCACTAAATCGAGTACTTGGACCAAAATGGCCGACTTCCTGTGCGACTTTGCACTTAGCTCCAAGAGACTTTTTTGTAGGTCCTGAGACACCACATTAGTGTGCCAAATTTCGTGTTCCTCAGTCAAAGCATGGCTTGGGGCTGACAGTTTTAATGGTCCTAGGGGGCGCTATTTCAGAAAATAGGCCACGCCCACAAACTTCAGCTGTCCTTTTCTATTAGGGGTCAGAGTAGGATCACTCATCAGAAATTGTGTGGCGATGTCACAATGATTGAAGAAATGAGAGACAAACGTATTTCCATGGCGTGATGGCGAATTTCGCCATGCTCCCAAAGCCCCGCCTTTATTCGAAACCTGCCAGTACTATACACCAAGTGACCTCAACTTGTCTGCTGCTATGTGCCAGTGATTGCTGGTGATTGAGTAAAAGGAGTCCAATAGGGAGCTGTGAAAAAAAGAGTGGCGTGGCGACAAGTCAAAGTTTGAGGCTTAGCCACGCCCACACCTTTATACTTATTTAAAATCCGACGGTTGAATTTTTTCTTCTATGTCTTAATAGTGTATAGCAGATGTTTGAAGGTGATTGGTGAAAAGGGTGATGGAGCATCACTCTCCAAACCACGTGTGCAAAAACCACTAAATCGAGTACTTGGACCAAAATGGCCGACTTCCTGTGCGACTTTGCACTTGGCTCCAAGAGACATTTTTGTAGGTCCTGAGACACCACATTAGTGTACCAAATCTCATACTCCTCAGTCAAAGCATGGCTTGGGGCTGACAGTTTTAATGGTCCTAGGGGGCGCTATTTCAGAAAATAGGCCACGCCCACCAGATGTTCACATCAGATTCTTTTGGGGGCCGGACTAGGATGTCTCCCAAGAAGTGTCGTGGCGATATCTCTAGAAATGACGAAATGGGAGGCAAACGTAAGGCCTAAGCGGTACGCCTGACTTCGCCGCGCCGCCACTGCCCCGCCTTCTGCAGAAAACACCCATAAAGTGACGCCAAGCAACGCCACCTTCTCTTCAGTTAACTGCTACAAATTTGGGCTGATTATTCGAAAGGGCGAATTTTGGAAAATTTCCCAGTAAAACTTGACCTTTTAAGTCCTGATGGGGCGGGGCTTGTGTGACATCATCAATCGACCATTCATTTGTCTTCGGGGGGCGATGACAATTATCCATAGAAAGTTACTTTAACTCTAATTCTTTCATTTATGAAATTATAGCAATTTGAATTTTTTTGGGAAGTGCTCGAGCTTTGAGGTCTGGCCCCGCCCCTTCAGTATTTACGAAAAGTCAATTTTATTTTCTCATTTGAACCGTCCATCGCTTCTGTTCGATAGTACACTATTTTTGAGACAATCGTGCGAAAAATGACCAAACTGTTCAACCAAATGTAGACCCTAGAAATGGCCAAAACGGCTAAAAATCTCCATTTCAACCCAAAATGGCCGACTTCCTGTTTGATATTGACCATGGTTGCAAGAGACTTTTCTGTGCGGACTGTTGAGTACTACAAGTAAACCAAATTTCATAACTGTACGATAAACTAAGCTTTATGGAGAGGGGTATTTTTCACTTTCTAGAGGGCGCTGTTCAGCCACTTTTTTATGAACTTTCACATCGCCAGTGAAATACGTAAATTTCACGCACTTTCTATATTGGGCCAGAATTTGGTGAGTTTTTGGATATGCTAAGACCCCCTAAAGGCCACCCAAAGACGCGGAAGAAAAAAAATAATAATAATAATAATAATAAATAATAATAATAAACGGAGCAGATACAATAGGCCTTCGCAGCTTCACTGCTCGGGCCTAATTAATCAGCGTCGGCCTAGATACAGTATCTGGTTCCTCTCAGAGCCTCAGTCTGCACGCTGAAGTAATGGTTGATGATCTATTTCAGATTAGCTGCCGTCATTACACTTGTTTGTGTGGCGACTCCTTCATTTTTAACGAGTAATGTTTAAAAAGCAGGCGGTTTGTAGTCTGGGTTTCCAGGCTGCTCTTCATCTGGAGGGGTCGGATGAGTGTCAGCGATCTCAGCGGCGTCTGGCATTAATGCAAACGGGCGCTCGGCGTCTTCTCCACACAACATTAACTCTTGTAACTGTCTGAGAGCAGCCGTTCATGTTCGCTGTTTTCGATTAATGTAGGTGGTAATTACATTATAGAGCCGTTTACCAACGTTAATGTGAATTTGTAACCGAGGAGCCGTAAACAACAACAGAAAGCAGGGTTCAGACAAAGTTCTCCTTTAAGTTATTGCTGGTTGCTTCACTTCGCTTCTTTGTAGAGGGCAGATTAGCATTTCAGGGTTGTTGTTTTTTTTTTGGTTAAGTTTTTCCCTCATAAAGCAAACCATCAACAGGTACATTTGCCTTTTGCAGTTCTTGACAGCGTATGATTGAGCCTGACAACGACAGTCAGGAGGTTTGGTAAAGGCCTGTAATTTTCTAAGACATCCCACTCCTCTCTAGTTTAATGGTTTGCTGGTTAGTTATCAGCTGGGATTCAGCAGGAAGGCATCCAACATCCTCAACAGCCTAGAAAATAGTTTATGGATAAACGGTGGAAAGAAGGAGGTAATGGAAAATGGGCTTTGGATGGTTTAGATAGTGAGCCCTCTGCAGGTCCATTTGATGTTGAGGAGGAGGAGATTTGTAGCTGGTTTGAAGAGTTCTGCAGCAGTCGTAAACCTGCCATCGTCTCCCCTATGTGAGGATGAGCAGGCAGCGTAGCTTCAGAAACATGTTTTATTCCACGTGCACGTATTAAACCTGCGTCACAGCTAATAATCTACCTTATAGCAACATGCAGAATAACAAAAAGAGCAATGCAACAAATAACAGAAGTAAACAATGAAACTGTCACAAATCAAGAGGCAGGAGTTCAGACTCAAGCTGGCGGGTGTTTAGTGAGCGTGCATTTGGCAAGAAGAGCCGTGTGTGATAAAGATGAGCAGATGAAAGAGTGCAAGGGATAGAAAGCCTACTCAGAAACAAATCTGCATTTTTCTGCCACGATTAATCTGTCAGAGCAAGTACTTGTGTGGATTATCCCTCTCAAAACACAGGAGTGTAACATGTGCAGAGGATGGGGGATTATGTTCCGGGGGGGGGGGGGGGGGGGGGGCAAGAGAAGAGAAGTTTCACTGTTTTCCTTCCAGATTAAAACATATTGAAAAGAAGAGAAATGATGCTGGCAGAAGCGAAGAGGCTGGGTTGCGCCGTCTTTAGCCTAAATCTGTCACATCTGTCACAGGATGCATTTTCACGCACAAAACAAGGCAAATGTGCAAAAGTAAAATCTGTTTCTTTACGTGTTTGTTTTTCTCTTTTCTCAGCGATGGAAGTCTGTCCACCAAACAGGTCGTTTTCCTGCAGAGGCCCGTCCTCACCCGTAAGAAGAAGGAATCAAAGGTGCAAAATCTCAGATTTCTTACAGATTTATTGATCCACCAGCAGGTAATCAGTCACATGTTCACCTGCTCTAAAGCAGAGCCACCTTTTGCCAGCGGTAGCGCCACATGTATAAACAAACAGCTCCGCTCTGCTTCAAATATGAGGAATTGTCTGATTCTGGGAAATGGGAGAGTTAATGAGTTCCCTCTGACCCCGAATAGCCGTGATAACCTCTGAGACCGACCCTTTTCGGCGCTGGAACGAGTCCATGTTGATGTGTTCTGTGGGCTGAATTTAAACTCCACACAGCAGCAAATCTGATCGACCCTAAGGCTTGTGGATCTGCTGTCGTTAACAAGTTTTCCAACCTGTTCCTTTTTTATCACCTTCTCTGCACGCCTACAGTTTGTTAAAAGCGGTGTACTCAGGGCTGCGTTCCATTTAGTTTTTGTCTGTTTGTTTGGTCAAACTGAAGGCCTTCAGGCCACCAATTATTTCCCTCAAAATGGCTCCAATTTCCTGCCCAGTCTAGTCTGAATGAGCTTGTTATGCCGGTGCGATATTGGACCCTGTGATCCATTCCTAATTAAGTCTGTGTGTATTGCTCTGTGGACAGAAATATTTTTAACTAACGCTGGTGTAAATGTTTCAGAAATTAATCTTCAAGCCCCGAAGCAAGTCCAACAAGAACTGCATCAAAGAGACGGCGAAGAACAAGAAGAAAAAGTCGATAATTGAGAAGGAATCCGAAGATTCCAAGATTCTAGATGACAGAGAAAAGAAAAGTGACAAGAGTGTGGCTGAAAGGGCGAACACGGTGCAGGTGGAGGCAGCGAGTCAAGGGGAGAAAGGCAAGAAGAGGTGTGAGGAAGATAAAAAGATCGGCGAAGCGATTGAAATTGGAAACGAGGGTGTCGCAAAGAAAGATGGGGAAGCCGAAAGTGATGGCAAAGAAGCAAAAAGCTGCACCAGACAGGAAGAAAGGATGACTCCAGAAGAGGGAGGAGAAGAAACCAGAGATGCTTTGGGGAACGGGGAGATCAAGGAGGTCACTGAAACCGTCGTAACTGTCGAGACTCCGAGTGAGACCAAAGAAAGGGAGCCGGAGGGTGCTGCCGGAGTTCAGAGAGTGATAGAAAATGGGATAGAGACGGACGAAGAGAAAGACGAAGGTGAAGAGGATAAAATCAAAACAGAAGAACCGTTGGAGGTGAAGGTTATCGCCAAGGAGACAGTGGCAGATCCACAGGCCCCGAATCAAAGCCCAGCGGCAGCTCAAGAGTAGCACCAAGCAGTTCAAGTCACGGTTGTTCCCCACGCCCTACCTCGGAAATTCCCCGTCTTAAGAACTGGCTCACAGTTTTGTCCCTAATCCAAATTCAAAGGGGATATAATCCCTAATGCTGCAGCATCTCCTAAACCCGCCCATCTCTCACTGACAAAACCTGCAAGAGTGTAGCTGTCGCTACGAGCATCAGTCCTACTGTAAAACCACACTTACTGAATGTATCCGATACAGCTGGTGGGCTGTCCTGCACGGAGTCACTGGATTATTGGAAGACTGGGATTGCAGAGTAATGAAGCCTTGAAGGGCCTGGTCAGAAACCTCTGAGGAGAGAAAATGTGCAGATTTCACTTGATGCCATAAAGACAGCACATCCTACTAATTTATTGACCTTTAGTGGATGAGCTGAAGCTCCTGTCCCGTTCTCGTCGGCACAGAGTTTAGGTTTTTAATCCTAAAACAGCTGATTGATGTGTTAACTCCATACTTATGCCGGGCTTAGTCCAGATCCTGAAAATGTATTAGATCAGAGCTGTTTTGCCATCTTTGTGACCCGTCTTTTCAGATTTTTCCCTTGGTTCTGGTGTGGGCCCAGGCCTTTAGGGAGCTGTTGGAAATTGGGAGATAACAAAGAACTTTTCCGATCACTTCTACTCAGAAACAGCGTCGACTTGTTTCAGAGAAACCTTGGCAAAGCAGACTCGCCACGTCCACCTGAACGGTAAAGGTCCCTAAAAGCTTCCTGCCAGGCCTGGGTCATCTTTCCCCGCTCTTCTCTCAATCCAGATGCAGCAGGAATTCAAAGGTGACTCCTGGTGGAGGGGACGGGAACGGCGTTTGTTGCGAAAGGCAATCCAAAGTAGACTGAGGAGATGACTGTTTACGCTTGAGCTCTAAGCCATCAAGTGCTTCAGAGAGAGACGATAATCGCTCTTCGGTGTCGTGCGCTTAGCCCATCTTGCACACAGAATGTTCCATATTCAACACAAAGTTAGATGAGAACGGGAAAGTCAGTTAAAGGTTTGCACCTGAAGAGCAGAACTAACACTTAGACTAACCCAGTTAGCTCTAGGAGCAGGACGGAGGATTCATTCCTGCTCCGGAGGCTGTAGACAAAAGCACTTGTTCCTGTTTAAAACCAGCCGTGTGGTCGGGCCGCGGCTTGAACCCAGAGGAGACGAGGACAGCGAGTGAGAGACGAAGCAGGAGGTAGAAGTCACGGAGCACGAGTGAGTCGAATAAAGGAAATGAATCGGCTCGTTCAAAGCGTTCCCCGCGGAGATTTCTTTCATCATTTCACCTCCAGCTCTTTAAGCGCCTCTTTCTAGACACCATTTCCGACATTAAACAAGTCGTAATGTGCTGTTTCATGGCTCTGTGTGGCTTCCTGTTTGAGAGCTGGAACAGAGAGAGGGTCACTGCGTGGAGCTCTCTGCAGCTCACTAATGGACTCTTATCTGCACGGGAGCTGTCAGTAATCATGCATTTATAATGGGGTCACTTGTTAGGGGAGTTATTGACAACAAAACACCTCAACGTGATGTCACAGGGAACTGTTTGCACCGAAGACGCCGAGTTTATGTCTGGCCTGGACACAAAACAGGTCCGATAACGCTTTCAGTCCATGAGAACTACCCGCTGTCTCGTTATAGTTTGACACACTTTGTCTTATTTTCCTTTAACAGCTCAACTCTGCAAGCGAGATGCTACAAACGCACCGATGGGTTGTGCTGAACTTTGGTTTTAGGGGATCCCTCCACCTGCCGCTGAGATTTCTTTTAATGTAAAATACTTTTGTGTAGACTAGAAAATAAAACTGTGACCAGTCTAGCCTTATACTGTAAATGGCCCACAATCAGCTACTAGAGGTGTTTTAGAGGCACATTGGTGATTTAAGTGTTACATGTGTGTTGTATCCAAGCAGGAAGGCATCCTTTCCTGTTTTTTTTACTGGAGTTAGGAGTGACAGGATAAAAGTGAAGGTTTTCTGTTCTGAGTAACCACTAACACGGCTCGTACATGTTCTTTATCGTGTTTCGTTCTCTAGCCTGAAAGGCTCAGCGTTGCTGTCGCAGTTCTGCTAAAGCTTGCAAAAAAAAATAATAATAAAAAATTTGCTGACTGAGGCTCAGAGCGACCTCTTGGGATGAGGGGGCTGTTGGTTTTTGAGCTGAGAGGTCACACGTAGGACCTTCTGCAGCATATGCTCCTTGTCCTTGTGCCCTTCGCCATTGCAGAGATCAGAACCGTGAGGATGAGGTCATTGCTAATGGCAGACAGGGTCAAGGGTCATTATTGAGTCAGAAGGGGTTTCCCACAGCTGTCCAAACAGGAGATTGCAACAGAACATGAATTAAAATGCAACATCTGGGTTTTTTATAGCTTTAATAAGCATTTACAGTAGCCGTCACCTTTGTCAGATTCTGACAAACACGAACTAGTAAAAACTAAAAGAGCTTTGAGCTGTCATTATGGATATTAAAGAAAATATAACTGTGAAACAGTTTTTTACTTGTTATCTTTGAAATATCAGAGTCACTCTGAGTTTCACATGCGGGCTAAACATGAAAGTAGTCTTCTACCCCAGTTTCCTGCATTCGTTTCTGAGAGAAAAGAGACGCTCTGTTTAGAAAAGCCTGCCATCATGTCATAATATAGCATTCATGGACTCGCCCATCTTGTGATGGGGAAGGCTGTTGTTGGTTTAGCGTCCAGGGAACAGCTGAGGATGTCTCAGCTAGTAGAAGCTAACCATTAGCATTAGCAACCCCACCACATGGCAGAACTCCTCCAGGCTTGAGTTATTGCAGAGCAAATGGAGTGCATGGTAAAGTTACGTTGCTGTTATCCAATCAGAGGTGGGATATCCAAATATCAGGAAATAAGACTCCAACACCTGCCGTCTGAAGCTCAACTCTGATCTGGCTCACTTGCAGTTCCTGAAACAGGAGCACCAGAGCTTTTCCCCCACAGAGATCAACTCACGAGGCAGTAATTTGTACTGGAGACCATTACAAATGTGTTTAAAAAAACAGTGAACATAAATTCTTAAACATCACTTATTTGCTTTAGGACTTACCTTTTTCTTTTTTCTGTTTTAAATCTGAAAGCAGAAGTCAATCCTTCTTGGTAATTTTTTTACTTTTAATTTTATTTAGATTTTATTTTCATTCAGAAGCATGCTCATCCTGCTCCCAACGCCATGGCCTTCAGGGCGCCTTCATGATGAGCACTGATTGGCTGCGGAGCAGTCTAACCTCTAGCATGAGTGCATGCTGAGAACTGTGGGTAATTGGGATATATTTGTTTTGTTTTGTTTTCTATTAACAGACAGGAGAGAAAAGTGAGACAGAATCTGACACTTTATCAGTTAAACGATGCTGAACCATGTTAACTTCGTCATGCGTGAAGCGGGGGGGCCTCTGATTAATGTTAGGCGCTATTATACATTTGCCCCCATCTACTTACAGTATTCATGTGAAAAGATAATATAAAGCTCTCTGTCTTATATTAGCATAAATGAGTAGTGGCGCTGGTGCAATCGCTCTTGGTCATGCTATAAATATATAAAAAACTAAACGTAATGGCTCACTTCCTGTGTGCTACTTTGATGTGAATCAGACAACTTTGAAACGACGAAACATGGCGCAGTAGGACGCAGTCACTTCTCTCTATGGTGTAACTTCAGCTTGCTCACAGCCTTTAGAAAAAGTATTGTTGGAATTTTTTTGTCTCTGATGTTTTTTAAATCACCTCAGTTGCCACCTTGAACGTTACGTATCTTTGATCATGTGCCGTGGTCACTCGCATCGATATTAAGAAGAGTATATCTTTGTTATCTGGAGTATGTCCACGTTCCTACTGTTCCTGACATCTGTACAATTTGTATATTATAAAATGATTTATATTTAATGTCTACAAGCGTCTCTGTGTCTTCTGTGGAAGAAAATGTTTTTTGACACTTGATGAGATCATATTTTTGAGGAATAATCCTTCAGCTTTAATCATGGTTCTTAAACAAATGGTGCTTACAGAGTCTTTCTTCTTTAGCTTAATCACATTTAAATGTTTCAGATCAAGTGTATTTCAGTGTCAAAGATAACATGAGTAAATACAAGAATTAACTATGATCAAACACATTACTAAAGGTTCTCCACCAGGAACACACAGACCTGATAACTACCAGAACTAAAGACATTTTAAAAATCCTTCATTAGAACCAGTCTGACAGCATGAACTAGTCTAAAGGATGTCAAAAAGCAACACATCCTGCCAGTTCTAAGGAAATTCAATGACAAAAGCACTCAGAACAACATATAAAGCACTGCAGAACTCACCTGGTTCAGTAAAAGGTCAGAGGTCATCAGTCTAAGGCCCAATCCCAATACTCGCACTGCGCCTTACAGCCTTTAGTGAAGTGCACTTGGAGGAAGTGCACAGAAGGGCTTCTAGTGTGCAAATAATTGCTGAATTGGGACAGTGACCATTGCGCCATTTACCGCAATGCATGCAGGGATGCTGATCACTGTTTATGCTACTTAAAAAAAATCTTTATTAACAACTTTCAAACAAACAATTTCTTGATCAGAATTACAATAGTTACTGTTCACATTACATCTTAGTCTAAAACATTTAGAGTGAATAATAATTATTAATCGTCTTAAAATGAACTTCTTGCAATCGAAAATACGTATTTTCTAAAGAGGCACTTGAGCCATTGTTCCACCTTCTTCTCAAAATTCCCATGCAGCAATGGATTATAGATCATGGGTGTAAAAGGGGCGTGGTCAGCTTCCACACTTGAGGATCGGGACTCCCCATGCACTTGCTCCCCTGGACTGGAACGGGCAGTTTAAGGTTGCAAGGGTGGAAGTGTGAGTATTGGGACTGGACCAAAATTTCCTCAACGAAAACATCTGCTGACCAAAAACATAAAGAATCGTCTCACATTTATCATAAAAACATCCCAAAGACTCCTGGACACATATCCTCTGGGCTGACGAGACCAAAGCAGAACTTTCTGGAAGGTGTTCCCTTCCATCTGGAGTCAAACATCATAGTAGCAGTCAGACATGGTGGTGGTTGTGTGATGGTCTGCTGCCTGAGGACTACTTGTTATAGCTGATTGAACCATTAGCACTTCTAAAACATGTTGGGCTTGTGTTGGTTTTGGAGATAAAACATCAACATTGGATTTTCTACCCAAGAAAGAAGCAGAAGAGTCACATTGTTATTTAGCCAATCAGAGGCGAGATGTTTACATATTATAAATATCAAAAATTACGACTCAAAATCATGTTGTTCATTTTGCTCTGACAAACTTCTGTCCTCTGAAAATGTGGCTTCAAGTCTTTTTTCCACAGAAAATGACTCAAGACATTCGTTCATAATAAAGACCAAAGCAGATTTACTGAAAATACAAATTAGACTTTTAAGGTGTGGTTGACTGAAAAACATTTTTATGTGTTTTTTTTTCTGATTATACTCAGTCACTCTGAGTTTTTCATGCAGGCTGAAAATGAAAATAGTCTCCTACACCTATCTACTGCATTAGCTTCTGATAGAAAATAGACACTGAAACTCTAGGATTTGAAAAGCCTGACAGATCTATGTCACCCTGTCACTCGTCTTCATGGACTCACTGATCTTGACTCACAACGAGGAAGGCTGTTGTTGGTTTAACGTCCAGGAAACAGCAGAGAACTTCTAGGCTTGTTTAAGCTAACTATTAGCATAAGCAACACCACCGCACAGCAGATGCTCCTCTAGGCTTGAGTTGTTAGTGGAGATAAAACATCACTGATGCAATTCAGTGGTAGAGTCGCACTGATGTTATCTAATCTGAGGCGAGATGTCCAAATATCAGGAAATAAAACTCCAAAACCTGCTGTCTGAAGCTCAGCTGTGATAGGGCAACTTTTAGGTCCTAGAAATGGGTGGGTTGTCGCCCGTTAATGACTTATAAAGCATTAATTTCTACTGAAGACCTCTGCAAATGTATCAATTAAACAAGTGAATCACTCGTTTAAAGCATCATGATTAGTACCTTCATCAGAAACCTACCACATCCAGTCCTACACATGCTACTGCCCCTGGTGGAGGATCTACAGATGGCAAGAGCACACTTTATTTCACTACTGTTGTTAAATAATTACATATTAAAACAAATAATTAGTTAAATAAATTGTCCAAAAACAGATTTTCTAACTACCGTATTTTCCGGACTATAAGCCGCTACTTTTTTCCCACGTGCGGCTTTACTGAAGATTTTCCTTCACCTGCCAGGGGGCGCTTTAGCAGAAAGTGAAACAGGTGGAAGTCAAAAGTGGAAATCGAAGAAAGTGCTCATTTTCATTTAGCACATGCAAGCAGCCGGCACGACGAATAATATTTTTCAAATCCATACATCATCCATCCATCATGGTAACTACACGTATGAGTTCATATGTTGCCGCACGTAAGCTTGGCATGAATGAATCCATGGTTGGGCGCTGGAGACGGCAGCGGGAAGAATTCATTCAAGCCAGCTTCACCCGGGGTATGATGACAGCAACACGGACAGCGACACTGACATCGCCACAGAAAAGGTATGTGACGAAGCTCTTCTGAGGCTGTTCAACTCCGACACTGAAGAAGAGGACTTTAATGGCTTTAGTGCACAAGAGGAAGATGAGAGCGAATGACTTTTTCTGATAGCAAAGGGTGTTTTATTTACTAACCAGGCATGTTTTGTGTGTCTAATCATCCAGGGCTTATTAATGCTGTGTCAGCGCTGTTCTTTTCTTCTAAACATGCAAATTACCGGTAATAACGTTTCAGTTCTGTTTTTATTTTATAACCATCCAGAAATGTGAATGCTATCAGTGCAGGCAGTTCACCCGTGTTTAAATTTTGTTTTGTTGAATTAAAACAATGAAAAACCTCCGTGTAGCGTCTTTCTGTCTAATTATGGTATGGCCATACATGCGCTGTGCGCCGGAGACCTGTGGCTGCTGTGCCGCTGCTTGTTTTTGAGTGCGGCGTGTGTGTGTAGAAAACCTTTTTTTTTTTTGTTGGTGCGGCTTATATTGAGGTGCGCTGTATAGTCTGGAAATTACGGTATTTATATTTCAGGCTTTAAAATGTCATGAAAATATATTTCTGAATATGATAAAGGAGGCCTTCACACGTAGTCCTGCAGGAGTACAGGATTGAATTTTTAAGCTGCAGCACAGGAAGCTTCTGGTCTTTATTAATGCAGAACTACACAAGGACAACCCGAGCTTCCTCTGGATGAACACAGAATGATGAAGCGGCAGCAGCAGCCCTCCAAACACAATCATGTGAAAACCCAGCGTTGAGGTGAGACTTATGGTCCCAAATGATCATTTTCTCTGAGTACAAAGATCTTTCTTCTAGATCTGCTCCATCTGGTTATTACCTTCATTACTGCTTTAGCCTCTGAATGCACCAGCTTGATAATATTACTCCACTACATGAACCCCCCTTTTCCCATCCTAAGATCAAAACAGCACCGTTCAGAGCTGTCCTCCATATGTCAATATTTCACAAGAAAACACAAACGACACACATCACAATGCCCCCGCAGAGTTTCTGAACTAGATTATATTTACAGTTGAGTCAACACAGCAAGTGTAATCTATAAGTCACGAGCCGTGAGGCCCAAGGGAGCGTAAGGTCATTAAAGAGACGACTTTGCCTCCAACCAAAAGCCCAAACATCAAATCCATTCTGCTCACTCCGGGAGGCGTTAATGGCTCTTTAGGCAGACTGGTGAGCCACTGGAGAGCTGCTAAAAGATGGCCAGGAACACCACCAGCCTGTGGTTTGGGATATTAAACTCATGACCTGGGGGCGTTTCATCTCCAAGGTTCCACTCAGAGACCCAGAGGAAATGTTGCTGCGTGCTGAAAACAGGTTTCTTTGAATAATCACGTTTTTTGCAAGTCAAAAAAAATACATTTATTTTTATGGCTGCAATGGAGTTCAGGTAGGTGCTGAGTCTGACTCACTCAGCAGGATCATGAGGTGCAACAAGAGGCAAATACCAGCTCAGATGTGGGGTCAAGTCCCGCCTGGTGCAGCAGCACTGCCCCCTGGTGCCGTGAAGGGAACAAAACTGAATTTTTCTGCTCATGGCAATAATTTCCACTTTATGTAACCGATATTCAGAATGTGTTTTGGGGGAAACGGTTGGATTTATCAGTAATTTAACACAAAAATCAGCCGTAAGTCATCAAACAAAGATGGTTGATGTGTTAAAGTCAGCATTCACAAATCCACCAATGAGATGCTGCAGATCTGGATCAGAGGTCGTGGAGCTTTTAGCTCAGAAACGTCTGATTTCAGGACGGACTGAAGCTGTGTCTGGGTCTAGTAGCTCAGGTTGGAAGGCTGCAGGTTAGTGTGAAGAAGGTTCAGGGTTTCAGAGATTTGTTGCAACTTTTTCATATTTTTGAATCACTTTCTTGAGCCAGTGTGTGCTAAAATGACCCTTTACAGGGTTAAAGAAAAGTCACCCAGCCTCTACCGCCTACTGTGGCCTGAATATCCCACTTTCAACTTCCAAGTCCCGGTCTGGCACTTAGAAGTTGGAGCTGACATACCTGGTGCTGCAGTCTGCTTCCAGCAGGTTTTCTGCATGTTTTGGATCGTGAACAAAGCTAATTTAAGTTAGTGATGAACCACTTCTGTAGACACTAATTTAGGATCGGAGATGCTTCAGCTGTAAGATTAAGGCGTTAAAAAGACAAACACACAGCGAGGAGATACGTTTTGCTTCCGGTTCTTCAATTGGACACTAGGGGGTGCCCAAAGCAAGCCAAGACTGCCTAGTATCCCTTTAAACCCAACAGAGCAAATTCATTTCAGACTTTTTGTGAAACATTTAGAAGATGAAAAGCTCTAAACCAGGGGTAAACAATTCCCTTAGGGCTGGTATCCAGCATGTTTTAGTTGTTTCCCTGCTCCAACACACCTGATTTTAATCCGCATGTGACTAACAGGCTTCTGCAGACTTTGGTGAGCTACTGATCAGGTGAATCAAGTGTGTTTGAGCAGGGAAACAACTAAAACATGCTGGATACCAGACCTCTGGGAAGGGAGGTGTCTACCCTGGCTCTAAACCACTGGTGCTGTCTGCTTGTGTAGCTCTGGAGGATGTGGGTTCAAATCCCACAACTGATCAACTTTTTAAGTACAAAAGAGAAAACGTTCCAACAGACCACCCCCAAGTGTGACGGGTGCTGGTGGAATAGTGAGATAGTTCATAAGTCACCAGAGTGACAGCAACTGGTTCAGATCCTGCTTGTGACTGGTGCCTGTTATGCTGACTGGAATGGTGCCAAGCTGGAAATTTGCTGATGTAACATTTATACAACAAGCAGTAGGACTTCATCAAAGAAAGACTTCTGTTCTCTTCCTCATCTTCCTCTTCCTCAGTCCTTTTGTTTTTGCACTTTTGACACTGAATCCTCCCAAAGTTTGCTGTGATTTGGTTCTTGGCTAGGACTTGGTCATTCAGCGGAAAAATCTGGGGAGTGTTATTTTTTAGGTTGCATTTTTGTGTTCTGTTTAAACTAAAATGTCTTTTGTAAGTTTTAGAAGTTAAACATGAGGTCAGCAACAGCTGAGGTGCGCTACAGCTGGATGTCAGCTGCAAGACCTTCGGAAAACCATTACCTCAGTGTTAGATAACATCCTCCAGTCCCCCCACCCCGTTAGCCGATTAACCACTTACAGATTAATTAGCACAATTACCTCTGTGTGTGCCAGTTTGTGTCTTATCAACCTTTGTCAGACCTTAGACTGTAAATTAATTAACACCCGCTCTCGTCATTTCTTAATCACTTTAGTTCCTGCAGGAATTTAAAGGAAAGCCTGCATCAGCACCTCACGCTGCTCCTGACTTTACTGCACTCTCATTGGTTCAACATGCCGCTCTCACACTGATGATGCCGTGATGTAAGACAGTGCTTCTCAGACTTCCTGTACCCTCGACTCAGAGATAAATATTTGATTCTGTTACTCCTAGTCTCAAACTTTGATCTCAGCACACGTTTTATGGATCATAGCAAACACACCAAAGCCACAATTTAAACGTTTTATTATCTTTGTCATCTTCGGGTTGAACTAGTTGGAGACCGGCTGGGATCAGACTGGTGTCGGATCAGGGTCAGGGGTGGTTACTGAAAGCAAAAACAGCTGAATCAGGCAGTGACAGAAATTCAAGAACTTTGAAATATGGTCGTTTGAATTCTTTGTAACTCATCTCACATGTTATACAGACTGGATGTGGAGCTGTAGCATAAAAAAGCACAAAAAAATAAAAATAATCACATGGATTCAATAAAATCTGCAGTTTCTCCTGTCTCACTTAACAAACTGAATCTCTTCACCTGTAGTCCTAAACAAAAATTCCAGGGAGGATTGTTGGCACATCAGAGAAAAACAAATAAAACAACTCAAAGATGTGGTGCAGAAATAAATAAAGGATATCCAAAACGTATCCCTAATGAAACACTAATGACACATTTTATGGATACAAGGGATTATGTCCTTTGGCTCCTTCTGCAGAACCGCCCACACAGGAACTCAGAATATCCTTTAATCCTTCACAATAAAAGCCTGAAAACATCTTAAACTTGTGAAAATAGTTTCATATTTCGGGGGTCTGATAAAACTCATGGTGGCAGAGGTGGGATGTCTCCCTTTGTGTGTTAGCAGATTGTATTTATGAGTTCAGAACGTTGATCAAACACATGAAGACACCAGCCCTGGGTGTCAGAACCCTGTCCTAAAGAGCAGCTCGACCTGAATCACACCACCAGACCCCTAACAAGTCTGCTGTTTGATTCAGTTATTCTCACCATCATAAATCAGATAAAATAACCTGAGTAAATATCAAATCTTAGCATCATAACTATTTTAGTGTCATTTTATGTTCATTTTTAATAACTTTTTTTAACTGCTTTTAGGAGAACTTGTTTAAAATTTTGGTTTAATTTCCATTCAGTGGCCAAACCCCTCTAACCTCCAGCAGCAACACATTTGTTCTTTTTTGCATTTTTGTATTAATTGGAGTCATTGAGGCCCATAATATGATGTGAATTATTAAATAATTTTAATTTGCGGGGTATAATAACGGAACATTTAACTTGCAGCTAGTCAGAGGCAGTAAAACTGATGCCAAAAACACTTACAGAAAGTTTGCCAAAAGGAACCAAATGTTGTAAATCTTTGTCTTTTGCACTATTTCTTCTTTTTGGGTGTCATGGTGGAACTCTTCATCCCACCTGCTGTTTGTTGCAGCAGAAGAACCGGACGTCGTTCAGGGTGGAGTCGTCCAGACCCCACTGGTAATCTTCCATCTTGGTCTCAATGCCACAGATTCCTCCGTCGCGGCATTCCTCACTCCAGTAGCCGTACTCGCCCCAGTCCAGGCCAGCTCCCTCCAGCGTCGGGTTGCTGCTGCAGCGGAACTTGATGTTGTTGGCGGCCGTGTCGTCTCCAAACAGACCTTTATGGGGCTCCACGCGCATCTGGAAGGAAGTAAGCGTGCCAGTGGGGCAGTACTGGGGATGAGACCACTCTCCAAAGCTGGACAAAAGAAAAGAAAATTGGTGGAAACTCTACAGAGAAATAAGGAACAATCAATGCCCACTTGTAGCCTTAAGGCCTCCAGATGTAGCATCTGGATAAGTACCTTCACCAGAAACCACCTTTATTCCATCTTCTATGTGTCTACTGCCCCCTGGTGGAATGTCTGTATTTATTTTGTTTATTTATTTGTTTAAATGGTAAATGGTAAATGGCCTGTATTAGATATAGCACCTTCTAGAGTTCTTGAAACCCCCCAAGGCACTTTACAACACAATCAGTCATTCACCCATTCACACACACATTCACACACTGGTGGGGATGAGCTACGATGTAGCTACAGCTGCCCTGGGGCACATTGACAGAGGCGAGGCTGCCGAGCACTGGCGCCACCGGTCCCTCCGACCACCACCAGCAGGCAACGTGGGTTAAGTGTCTTGCCCAAGGACACAACGACAGCGACAGACTGAGCGGGGCTCGAACCTGCAACCTTCCGATTAGGTTTAGATTAAAACCTGCTGTGGACTTTTGGGAGATTGGAGCGTTTACAAGACGGCTGCAACGCACTATGTTCAGTTTGCTTTGACTAGCCGTTGACTTATCAATCCTTGCCAGATGTAAACTTGTAAGGCAAGCCGACTTCAAATTGATGAATAATAAAATACTTTTAGAAACTAACCAATCACATCTAATTGTTTTAAATGATAGACTTCATCCTAACAAAGATGGATTATTTAACTAATGAAGGTCTAGAAGAGCTGTTTTGACCCCGTGTTCAGGACTTTAGTTTTAATTCTCTGGAGAAAGTTTTCTTCTCCCATTCACGGGTTTGATGCAAAAAATGTTTGTGTTCAACTTGTATTTTGTTGCCACTTACATGTTTGTTCTTGTCGTATGTAAATAGCTGTTCTCAGAGGTGAAACTCATCATATTTACATTATGTTTAGTTAGTTGGTAAGTTTTGTTTAGATCTATAGGTTTTACTTGAATAAAGAATGAAAGCTGCGTACTATCCAGTGTGGGATTCGATGGAGTACAGGAAGTTTCGGCTCCCGTCTTTGGCGCAGATGAGGCGGATCCCGTTCAAGGCGGTGTCGTCCCCCCCGTACTGGTTAGACTCCACCTTAGGAAACAGAAGAGGCACAAACAGCTTGATGTATTGTCTCTGGTGAAGAAGGAGAGAGATTCGAGTTTTAATCTGTGCAAAGGTTAGCGTGGCTGCGTGATGCTGAAAATGTGTTCTTTTTTCTGAAATATTTACTGAAAAAGAGACAAAAAACTGATCTGCTTGCTACAGAGAGTTTATCCAGGGTCATCATTCGGCCTGTTTTGGAGGTTTCTCAGCTTCAACACACCTGATTTTAATCAGTAGATGATTATCAAGGCTGAACAGGTGATTCAGCAACTAAACCAGGTGTATTAGAGCAGGAAAAAAACACAAATGTGCTGGATAGGAGTCCTCCAAGGACCAGGGTTGGACACCCCTGCCTTATGGTATTAGTTTGTACTTTTAATGGTCAATCACACATGTCTTTGTTATTCTATCCAGGCTGCTGTGGCCCTTTGCAAAGTTTTCAGATGAAGTTTCAGCCTGAAACTCGTGTATTAACAAAAATTCTATATGATCCTTTCAGGAAAAAAAGTCACTCTTCAGTAGCCCAAATTAACAAAAAAAACCACTTTACCAAAACATTCAATTCCTCTTTTTAAAGTCCCCAGCACCCCATTTAGCATAAGAAAAATGCTTTATGACTAGTTTGAGTAAAATTCAAAGAAGCTGTTGCTTCTCCTTGTACGTTTTAAACAAAAACATGAGTGATTTCCCGTTTTATTCTGTTACCCTGACACTGAATCCAACAGCAAAGAAGTTTTCAGGACACATCTCAGGCCAGGTCCAGTTCCCAAACTGCTCTCCGTTGCTCACAGTCAGCACAGATCTGTACTGCCTGCTGTTGAATGCCGTGCCGGCTCGCTGCAGGAAGACCTTCTCCTCACAAAACCCAGCGGACACCAAAGCCAGCACGGTCGCCACAGCGAACAGACTTGCCATGTTGACAGCAGAGAGTCTGTGTTTCACTCTGAAATGCCAAATAACAAGCACCAGAGGTTCTGGCTCAGAGCTCTTATAGCCCCCCCGCTGGTTCTGGTATCAGTGTGAAACATTTACAGAGCCACATTATGGAGCGACGTGGGAATAAACAGCTGGAAGTGGAAAAAGAAAAGACACAGGGTCTCTGCTTTTCATCCTTGGGTGATCTTGTATGGCTCTGCAGCAGGTCTGATGGCGAAAGAAGGAAGGCCTGTTTAACACACCGACCACGCTCCAGCTGCTGCAGAACATTTACAGCTGTTCTAGCATTGCACTGATGACACAAAGGTCAGCAAACAGGATCCTTTTAAACACGTTCAAATAACGAATCTGAGTAAAAAATACACATTCAATAGATCATGATAAAGCTCTAGTGTCAGGTACGTTTGGTTCTTCTCTGGACTCCTGCACAAATTCTGCAACGATTCAAAGCATTTAGTTGAATTTCATTTTAATTTGTTTCTGGTCTAAAATCACCAACAGGTTGCAGAAATTCATCCTTGAAGGTTGAGACTGTTTTCTTTATGACTGCTTTAAAAAACTTGATTTCACAGTCAGTCTAGTTCAGAATGTGCAAAGAATTTCAATTTAAAACATGTTAATGTCAGAAGTTTTACTCTCATTTGTGATTAAGTGATGCAGGTTTGTATCTCTGTGTGAGGAATTTCCATGTTCTGATGCAGACGAGTGATCAGAAGATGATCTTAAAGATTTATTAATAAATGAACATCTGCTGAACGTAAAATAACTCTTAGATCATTCTTTAGGGAAGACTTAGAAACCAGAGACTCTCTTGTGTCCCAGGTATAGACGTGAAGAAAATCTAACTCGTTTGGGAAGAACAGGAGCTGTTCCATGCCAGCATGTCTCCTTCCCACGAAGCTGTTTGTTTCACCTGTTGGTCACATGCTGAGAGCCACCATGTATTTCTTTGTAAAACATTATTTGATATAAAGCAAACCTCTGAGATGACGTGTCAGGATTACATTCAGGGAAAATCAATTAAGACATCTAAAAAAAATAAATTTTTAATCTACTGGAAGAAATCTTTTAAACGCTTTCCAGGAATTCCGCAGCAGTTTCAGGAAATACTGATGCTGGGCCGAAAATGACCTGCAGCTATTAACTGTCCTGCAGCGCCACCTGCTGGTTAAATGAGTCGGGCAAGTATGCATTACAGTTTTTTTCGATTGCTAAAACTCAAAAAGCAAAAATGAGGCACAATTTTCACAACCTCTACTTCTGTTCCCAATCGCTTGACTCAGTTTATCACTACTTAAGATTTCCTTATCAAATTAGAACTCTGATTTTCCTCCTTTACACTCTGATGTCAGTTTCACATCACCTTGCTGTCAAAACACAACACACAATTTGCAGGTTTACACACACTTCTCACTTGAATTCCCACTGAGGAGTTTTTCTCAGCCTGGAGGTGGAAGGTGTACGAAAGGAATCCACAGAGCCAGGTCCCACTGCTTCAAGCCATGGAGGAGGCTTGTAGAGATGTGGCCTTTGAGGCCTGTCAGGGCTTCATGAGGCACTCGAGGCGGTACTTCCAGCGCTGTTTGGACCAGGAGGACATCGCCTGTGATGTTGATGAGGCCCTCTGGCCAGACAGAGACCGGCGGCATTATGCCCCATGATTATGCTTTGGGGGGGGGGGGGGGGGGGGGGGGGTAACTGTAAAAATAAAATGTTTAGTCTCAAAATTTGTGTGACGTCTGATGTTTGTCTCAGAGAAAAGTGGGCACTGTCATACATTCAGTGTGTAATTCATTGTGTTCCCTTTCGACAATTGTGTTTTCAGTTTTGCTCTTCAGTGTTCTTTCCATGCTTGGTAGTGTTCACAAAGGCTACTTGTGTTTAAGCAATGAATGGTGTGTGTGTGTCATGTGAAAATGTGGCTGTGTTTACCAAGTGAAAACACGTGTTCCATTTTGGGAACATGTTACGATATGTGATGGCAGTGTTTTGTGTGTGCAGTTTTGAAAGAAATGTACAGTTTTGAAAAACGCGTTTTAGCAATCGAAAAAAAAACTGTAATGTTCAAATGTGCAACTGCTTGCACCAGAGACAGGTATTACACAAAATGGCTCGTGAACCAATGAACTAAACTATTAGGAAATTACAAGCAAACACACACCTGGAGGCATTTTGATTCAAGATGGCCGCAACAGTTAGGTGGCATTAGCAAAAATGTGCTGTAAGTGCACCAAGAGGCTGCAGGATACATATATTCCTTCAGGGAATTACAGGTTTAACTATTTATAGCATAGTGATTTTTGTATTAATATTTAATATTTCAGGGTTTAAAGCAGGCATTTCCAAAATGAGGGCCGAGGGCCATTTGTGGCCCTAAAAGTGATTTAATGCGGCCCCCCAAAGCCATTTCAGACATGGTTGCTGATGTAGATCGACACTTTTTAAGATTTTATGTTAAGAGTTTGAGCAGTTAAAATAAAGGAGGTCACCAATAAGTAGTGTTTTTTTTTTGAAAAGAGAAAAATGTGACATTTTGGTGCCCAAGAAGGATTTTTACCTTGACTCAAAGGTTTTAAGTCCCATTGTCATCATCACATACTGAAATTCATCTCTGCATTTGATTCATCCCATGGGGAGCGTTGGGCTGCAGCTGTGCTCAGGAACTATTTGATGGTTTAACCCCCCAAACCAACCCCTTAAAGCTGAGTGTCAAGCAGGGAGACATTGGATCCCATTTGTATGACCATACTGGTTTTGAACCCCCATCTCCCAGTCCCAGGGCAGACACTTTACCACTACGCCACTGGGCTGGTTATTTTAGGGCTTACCTTATCATACCAGTTTATTTATAAAGCACATTTAAAAATAACATGGCAGCTAACTAAAGTGCTGCACAGGACAGCGAAAGACTCGACAACAACAAAGACAGCATAGGAGTCAAATTTAAAGCTAAAAACATCTAACACACATGAAAGCAAGGCATAAAATCACAATGAAGTTAACTAACCATAAAACAAGTAAAAGCGCTAAGATAAAATATAAAAGAGAAACAAGTAAAAACTAACTGAGCAACGTTAGTGAGAAAAGAAGAATGTCACAAGCTGCTGTTAATAGAGAAGTGTCACACTGAAGTATGAAGACAGTCATGTGGGAAAAGCCAGACTAAAGTAGTCTTAAAAAGTATGGACAACCTTGTTTAAAGGTGCTGAATACTCATTTAATTGATTGATTTGCAGTGGTCTCTAGAAATGAATACCTCGTAAATCGTACTTTGGGGAAACAAAGCTCTGGTGCACCATTTTCAGGAAGTAGAAATGAGCCACATCAGAGCTGAGCTTCAAGCCCAATCACAATACTCGCACTTGCACCCTTCAATTGTGCCATCCCAGCCAGGGGTGTGAGTGCGTAGGACAGGGCTATTCAATTCTGGACCTCGAGGGCCAGTATCAAGCACATTTTAGTGGTTTCTGTGGTTCAACACAATTGATTTAGTGGTTGAATCACCTGTGCAACTGCTCATCAGGCTCTGCAGAAGCCTGGTTATCACCCACTAATTGAAATTAGGTGTGTTGAAGCAGGGTTAAAACCAAAATGTGCTAGATACCAGCCCTCAAGGCCTGGAATAGAATAGTCCTGGCGTAAGGTGTCCCGATTCTCGAGTGCGGAAGTATACCACACCCTTTTTGCACCCTTGATTCACACTTCGCCCAGAGGCGAAGGGTATTGCCTACGATCCCTTGCTGGGGGAGTAACTTTTCCAAAAATATGTATTTTCAAATGAATTTTGTTCATTTTAGAACAAAAGATGCTTTGAATGTTTTAGGCAAAGCAGCAATGAATGTAAATTGATGTCACATAATTGTTTGTTTTTTTAAGTTGTTAATAAAGATTTGTACAAAAAAAAGTAACAAAGCAACCAGCATCCTGTCAGTGTGTCAGTGACACAATGCTCTCCATCCCAATTCAGCAATTATTTGCACACGCCTGTACGACACACTCAAAGCCTTCCTGCAAGTGCACTTTACAGAAGACTGTAGGGCGCAGTGCAAGAATTGGGATTGGACCTCAGATGGCAGGTTTTGGAGTCTAATTTCCTGATATTTGGTAGCCTGGCAAGCCAGACTAAATAAATGTATTATTTAGTCTGGCCATGCTCCACTGACGGCTCTCGGTTGTGGGGCGGGTTCTACCGTTGTCTTTCAAATGATCTCCGTATGCTACTGGACAATGAATGTGACATACTCTTGTTTCACTCTGTTGCATCATCCCACCCACCAGGCATATAGAGTGCCCTGATTGGCCCACAAAGCGGATAAAGCTCTGTGATTTGTTCACTAAGCAGATAGAGCACTATGATTGGCCCACCATTATGGACCAATCACAGCTCTTTATGTGTTTGGAAACCCCTCTAGAGAGCTGTGATTGGCTAGCCAGAGTCCTGGTAGGAGCTGCTGAGGTTCCAATGGAGCATGCCTAGACCAAACTTTGCAAAGCAAGAATTTGGTCTAGTTCACTAGGCTAGATATTTGGGGCAACGCAAAGACAACTACCACTGACTCCAATTGCTTTGCAACGTTGATGTTTTATCTCCACAAACAACACAAGCCTTAAGGAGTTCTGCAGAGTTGCCAACGTTGACGGTAGCTTCTACTAGTTGAGAACTTCTGTGCTGTTTCCCGGACGCCAAACCAACAACAGCCTTCGCCGTCACGAGTCAAGATGGGCGAGTACATGAATGTTGGGTGACAGTGACGTTGATCTGTCAAGCTTAGAGTTTCACTGTCTACTTTCTATCAGAAGCTAATGCAGAAGATAGGTGTAGGAGACTATTTTCATGTTCATCTGCATGAAAAACTCATGTAAAACATGATCAGCTCCAAAATTAGCTGAACAAGTTGCTGCTCTAAAGCTCGGAGCAGAATCAAGTTCTTGGTTAAAACTGTTTTTACTCAAAACTTCAATAGCAAACGGGGAGAAGAAACATAGGTTCTCATTTGAGGAAGAGAATTAGTGAGGCGGGACTGGATGAAGACCCACACACTCCTAAACACTCTCCATAATGATGCTTTTCAGATTTCCTTCTAATGCAAGTCTAGTTTTTCTAACACTTAACAGATTAAGTTTTTGCAATGAACTGACGTTTAAAGCTGTTACCAGATTTCTTTATGGAGCACGTAAATGGGAGCATGTCACTCCCCTCAGGTTTTACTGTTTAGCTGCCACCTGCTGGGCTAAAATGAACACCACACGTTTAATCCTCTCAGGCTCAAAATAAGTTTTGATAAAAGGACGAACAACTAAGTCCTTCAGGGGTACTTCGAGTTAAAAAATGCTCAAGAAATACGTATATGGAGTAACCAGGTAGGTAGGTTGCAACGTTGCAACTCTGCAACGTCTGCCTCCAGAGGGCTAAACTACCTGCAAAAATGGATTCCGATCACTAGTGAAGTTCAACACAATAGTTTTATTATAAACTAGAAATGTCAAACAGACTCAAACACACACAACAAACCTCACAAACTTTCTACAGGAGAGAGAAACGGTCAGATGGAAGAAAAGGTGAGCAGTTTAAATGGAAGCTTTGATAAAATAAAAAAACTGGAATGATGTGGAAATGAATAGAAATGATAACCAAGAAGAGACTGAACAGGTTAAAGAGAATACCATGTGAAACGGCAAATACAGCAAGTTTTATTTTACAAGCATTCCTTTTCGTCAACATTCAACTGCAACTTTTTACAACTCTTGACGTCTCTCAGGGGTGGGGGGCTTTTTGTGTATTTGGCCTTTATTTGTCTGTTCTTTTATAATCAAATAAATAAAAATTTTAAATTAAATAATATATTAAGGTTTCCAAGTGCTTCAGATGTGCTTAGCAAATTAAAAGCATAAATATTTAGGAGCTAGATGTTGAAAAGAGAAACCTGAACTTGAACATGAAGGAACCTGCACCCAGCTCAGAAACTCACCTGAACTTTTGGTGCCTTTAATAAAGAACAGCATCAAAAACATTTATAATGTTTAAAAATCCTGTTACTAAGGAGCAAATTTGGTTCGAAACGAAACGGGAAACCAGTAAATCAATTAAATCCGAAGAGGTTGTAATCACTGTATGTTAAACTTACCTTACACCATAATATAAATCCACCATGAGCTACTGTACATGATTTAAGAACAGACTAGAGCAGAAATGTCACGGTCGTGCACAAACAAATGAGTCGTGTCAACAGAAGCTAGCACAGAGTCGGTATGGATCACATCTTAGATCCATTATCAGTCTTTTTTAATTATTATTTGAGGTTTTAACCACGTTTGAGATGACCGAACGACTCGAAGGGTTTATCCTACGTTTTAGCTCAGCTAGAGGTCCGATTGTAGAAAAGCGAAGGCTTGCTGTTCAGATTGTGGTGAAATCTGAGGAGATGTGGGTGAATAAACTGATCAGTGTGACTCTTCATTATGAGGGTCAGCCAACAGTAAGGCCCGTCTTCTCGTCACTCCTCCCTCTTCAGGGATCACAATAAAATCTTCTTTATAAAAGAAACATACATTTCTACAGATATTTACAAAGCAAGAGAAAGGAGAAACCAAGGCATTGTTTGTGTTTGGGTTCCAGATCTATTAGAACAAACTCCACCCGATCGGTTTAGACGTGGAGTCCGCTTTCTGTCTCAGGGTGTCGCGTGTCCTAGGCCAGCCCAGGTCCCTGAGTTAGCGAAGCTTCGTCTCGTCATCTCAGCTTGAGTCTGAATCACTGCTGTCTGACGAAGAGGATGAGGATGAAGAGGATGAAGAGTCAGAGCTGGAGCTGCTGCCGCTGAGGCGTGACGGCTGGGCGCGAGTCTCCACAGCGCTGGGCTTTTCCACTGTGACGGGAGGAGATCACAAAGGTTAGAGCGAGTTTTATTTCTGCTCCTGGGCGGAGCTTAACGGTCCAAATACTCCGCTTTTGTGTAAATCTGAACGTTTTCTGGATGATGTACAACATAATAATAACCCTGAGTCACTGACTACATTAGTTTTCCCAGGTAGATTAAAGGCTCGTCGTCTACTGCCTTTCATGTCAGAGTTTTAAACTAAGATTTTATTATATTACAGAAGAAGAGTTCAAACAGTCGCACCAAATCCAGTGGGACACGTTTAAACTGTAAATATATGCATCATGAAAGACTCCCAGCTACTATGACTTCATCTGTAACACCGAGTTAAATCATTTTCTGTTTGCTAATGTGGATTAGCCGCGGCGGCCATATTGAATAGGGCTGTCTTCACAAGTGAATCGGTTATAGATTCAGGCCCTGTCCACACGTAGCCGGGGATCTGCCAAAACAGAGATATTTTTCTACGTTTTGGCCTGTCATCCACACGAAAACGGATCTTTTTAAAAGCTCCGGCCAAAGTGAAGATCTGCGTTTTCTCCGGTTTGGGTGTCTGCGTGTGGACAGACAAAACCGGAGTTTTAAGGTCCGCAGCGTCACTTTCCGCGACAAAAACATGCTGACATCACGTGTGCGACCTGTGTTTACACTAGCCGACATCATGGATGCCCTCAGAGCTGCGCTCGCTTTATCAATTGTCCAAGCGCTTTTTGCTTGTTTGTTTTTGCAAGCGGAATTGCTGCTCCTTGCGGAAGACCACAGACGAAGGACGAGGTTAAGAACGGGGGGAAGTACTGCCGCCTACAGGTCTGGCTTGTCCTTAACAACGCATTTATCCAGGTACTTGTGGACAGAGTTTTTTTTTAAAACGAGGTGGTGTGGATGGAAGTTTTTGGAGGGGCGAATATTCGTTTTTAAAAAACGGCTACGTGTGGACTAGGCTTACATCCGGGGTGATGTTCTGAAATCCATCCAGTGTTTAATGAGATTTAAATGTTCTCCACCATCAGAAACATGAGCATGAAGACAGAACTGATGGAGCTGAGATTTGAGTTTGTTTTTGTAATCCATGAAAAAAGCAGGTGTCAGCTCACCTTTAGGTTTTGTGGGTTTCTTGACCGAGTTGAGCTGACCACTAACATCCTGCAGCCTCCTCTCCAGCGCCCTCTGCTTCTCCAGGGTCAGCTCCTCCTTAGACAGAACCAAGCTGCCTTTCTTCCCTACTGCAGATGAAAACATGACTTGTGTGAATGACTACGGGTTAGCTTTGGGAGAGGAAGGTGTGGTCTTGGAGTGAAAAAACAACAAAAAGTTTTAAGAGACCAGATTATGAAAAATTCACTTTTGGGAGCCTTTTATCGCGTGACATTGTCATTTCCTCATTCATGCATTTTCCTGCCTCAGCTGTAAGTTTTCAGACTCTGAAGAAAGACCTGCAGACACACGGATGGGAACTGCATCATCAGGTCTTTCTACTCCTCATGAAGTTAGTCTCAAATGTGAAGCCTGCCTCCTCTAGAAGTAAGCCACTATCGCCCACTTTCTCTGAGTTGCAAGTGTAGAGCGGTCAGTGAACAGATCTGATAACCAACAACTTTGAACCGTCCCTTTGGCTAGACGCATCAGAAAAGTTGATCAGCCGTTCGCTGTAGGAGCCCCAAAGCTCTGGAATAATCTTCCTACTTGGGTAAAAGACTCCCCTTCCAGTGATTTTTAAACACGCCTATTTTCTTTAGCTTTTGAGTGCTCATAGGCGGTTTAGTGATTTATTATTGAGTCATTGTTTTTCTTTTGTCTAGGGCGAGACATTTATGAATCTATGTTGATCTAGTGGTATGAGGGTTTGCCCTGGGACTGGGAGATCATGGGTTCAAATCCACGGTCAGGGCAAAGACAAAGGGGTTGGACTGGGAGGTTAAACCACCAAATAGTTCCTGAGCGCAGCCACTACTGCAGCTCACCGCTCCCCACGGGGATGGGTCGAATGTGGACATGTAGTTTCACCAGTGTGTGATGACTAACGGGATCTCTGATTGTTTTTAAATGGGCTACACAAATCAAGCTGATCGATTGAAAAGCAGTTGAATTCATGCTATAGTTGAGATTGTTTTAGTCTGACCGTCACTCCACAGATGACTGCTTTAAAAACCTCCACCGGTGCCAGAACGGATATTCTGACAAATGACTTCTGTGTTGGGGACAAAACACTTCCATAAAAACCAAGAGTCCTGTCCAAAAAGGCCAGCACAGAACGTGCGTTAGGCGGCTAAACTTCTGGGATTTGTTTGGAGGGTTGGTGGATACATCCCCTGCCTTGCATGCTGTTTTATGACCTTGTAGTCTCAGCAGTCATTTATTTTCTTCTGTTTCAGCCACACTTGCCAGCATTACACTTCCAACCTTTTATTGGTAAACTGTAAAAAAAAAAAAAAAAAAAAAGATTTGTCTTTGTATGCGTTTATTTAGCCAACTAAAGCCCATGTGAGATGAGCAGAGTAGATCATAGCGACGTCTGTGTTCCGTCCAGAGCTCTGCAACTAAAATGCTGCTTGGAAATGACCAAAGCAGGAAATAATCAATAAAACTAAAACACAAAAAAATGAAATCTGCTCCAACTGGATAAATAAATTACCGCCGACACTGGAAGTCGAACCGACGTCAGGACGTGGCAACACGAGACGAAAGGCAGATGCGTTAAGCACTAGACCAGACCCAGTACAATGGTTGAACTGCCACAGACGCAGCTGTTGTACACGTTTCGTTAGAGCGTGCGTGCGTGGAGCACCGACGCTGGTTCCAAGGATGCTTTTTTTCCTCCTTAGTTGCTTCGTGGTGGCCCATGATGCTTTTTGGGTTACGTAATGTGAGGCTGACTGAAACATTTCTGGGTATAAATTCAGGCTCACAAAAATACCTCATATTTAAGTTAAAATTACATCTCAATAGTGCCAACGGTAAGATTTTGTCATATTTTGTGCCTCCCTTCGTCTGAAAGGTTTAAATAGCATCATCTGGCTCTTTAATGAGTGGGAGTTGAAACAGGAGACCTTTTAGATTCGTGTGAGGAGTGTTTCCTTTACCTTGCTCACCGTAGGGCTTACGGGGCTTCTTCCTCAGACACGTCATGACGTAGCGCTCCAGCTCCTTCAGCGTGGACGGCTTCAGCATTTCAAAATCAATCTCGATCTCCTCGGGATTGGTGTCTCTCAGCGATGGCTCCCTGGACTGGATGATGTGGACCACACGTCCAAGTTTCTCTCCTGGCAGCTTGTTGATGTCGAGGCTGAGCTGGCGCTTCTCGTCGTAGGACATGGGTACGATCTCCTCCTCCTCCTCGGAGTCGTAGTGAGGAAGCATGGAAGTAGGCTCCACCGGAGGGTAGAACGGCTTCTTCGCCATCCTGAAAACAGCAGATAGAATGCTTTCATCGTGATACAAGTTCCTGTTCTGACACAGTAAAAATGACTGTGGCATTGTGGGAAATCTGTTGTCTTACTCACTTGCTGTTCTTGTTGCTCTTTTTCATCTGGCCCTTCTTGGCCTGTGAGCCGCCCGCTTTGGCAGATTTGCTTTTCAGCATCTTTCCCGGCATTTTCCACTCCTCAGAGCCAGCTCTGCTTCTGCCGCCCCGACTTCGCTTGTCGACCTTCTTCTTTTTCTTCTTCTCCTTCTTGTCTTTTTTCTCTTTCTTCTTCTTGGGCTTGACGATGGGGCCTTGGGAGAGGGCAGCCAGCTGCTCGTGCACGGCCCGCAGCTGTGAGACATAACACCATACCAACTTTATTTGTATAGAACTTAAAACACCCGCAGGACCAAAGTGCTGTAGACAAATGACGACAACAGAATCGACAATAAAACCATAAACCCTAGAATAAAGAGAACAGCCAGAGAGGTAAGACGGTAAATTAAGCAGACTAAAATAAATATTAGGGATATGTATTGGTGGAATTATAGTGATATGAATCACGATACAGAGGAAACGATAGGATACGATGTATAACCATAATAGAGGGATTTACATTTCAATGGTGGAATCAAAACCCACTGCTGCCAACTAGTGGTCAGTGTTTGAATTGCACCAAAAGAAAAAATATATACACAAATGTTTGCATGTAAATTCGTCCAAATATTAGATACACGACTTTTGATTATCGATTTAATATTGCAGAAAGAAATATCACGATATATTGTGATATCGATATTTTTGATACACGGCTTTTGAATATCGATATATCGCTTGGAACAAAATCACGATATATTGCTGTGTCGATATTTTCTTACATCTCTAATAAATATGTATTAATGTAAATATATATGAGGTTAAAACAAAACAAAATGCAAAGTAAATAACAATAAAAATGATTCAAAACTAGTTAAAAGTCATCAACTCAGATGGTGTCAAAGGCCAGGGGGAAGATGTGGGTTATAAGCAGTGATTTAAAATCGGAGTGTGTCGGATCATTTCTCTTACGTAGGCTCCAGTAAAACCTCTGTTCTGATCATTCAAACATGCCAAAAAAATTGGTTATGAGTTATGACCCAATTTCTCAAGTACTTTCAAAAGAAATGGCAATTTTCGAAATTGGCCTATAGTTGTTCAAAACAGAGGGATCAACAGTGGGCTTCTTGATCAAAGACAGCTGCACATTTGAGGGTTTCAAGGACCACACCAGAAGACAGCAGAACAAGAACAGAGTACCCTATCCTGGGGACAACCTCTTTAAATAACCGTGGAGGAACTGCATCATTTTGGAGAAGCTGTTGGCTTTAAATGATCAACCATATAAAATATATAAACATCTCAAGTATTTTGGTTGTTTTGCGTAGAGATGGAAGGAAACCCACCTGTGTGCACACCTGGTCCTGTAACTCCGCCAGGCGGTGGGCTCGTTCTTCTTCACTGTCTGAGCTGGGACTGCTCTCGCTCTCTTCACTCTCGCTGCTGGGCTCGCTCTCAGAGGTGGAGGAAGATGATGATGATGAGGAGGAAGACGAAGATGATGAAGAAGACGTTTGATGTCTGCTGATGGACATGGCTGTGTGTTCCATCTGTGGTTCGTCTGGCATCTTAGCAAACTGGAACTCAAACACATCCTGACACACAGACCAGAAAACATTCAAGTCGTTAAAACAGAATTCCTCTGGGGATCTCCCGTGAGGACGTTGGGGTTAGGACCTGCAGCTTCCGGGCCATCGCTACAACATCGTGATCAGGTGGGTTGTACTTGTAGCAGTTGGAGAACATAAGTCGGACATCACTGGCGAACTGTTGAGCGTCTCTGTACTCACGGCAGTCCATCCTCCTCTGATGAAGAGTTCCAACAGAAAAGGGCTTCAGATTATTGTTAAACACCTCAAATTCACCTATTTGATATTTTAAAGGTATTTCACTTTTAAAACAATGTTTCCTCGTGTGAAATCTTAACGGTTACCTTGATGGTGCCCAGGTCCATGGGACACTTGATGATGTCGTGGTAGTCGTGGAGTCCCAGTGCAGCCGTGTCTACAGGTGTGTAGAAGGGCCAGGCGTACGCCGCGTGTTTCTTAGACAGCATGTCCTTCAGCAGCCCGCTGCAGTACCTCAGCTGAGGGTTGAGTTTGCCCTTCTTGGAAGGCTGATGCTGGACAGAGTCAGGCAAGTCCTTGTTGGGGGGTTTAATGGGACGTCCGCTGCCCACCCTGCGTCCGGTGCCGGCCATCATGGGCTGGAGCAGGACAGGACCACCGGGGCTCCTGACCAGGCCCATCCCCGGGGGAGTCTCCAGGCTCATGCCTCCCATCGAGGAGATGGAGTGCATGGAGGTGTCGTGGACTTGTCCCCCGTGTCCTCCTTTCCCTAAACCCACCATGTGTGTTGCTCCTGACATGGCCACAGTAAAGCCCATGGTGGAGGGGGTGGTGGTGTCCGCTTTACGTTTGACACCTTTCTTCTACAGAGGACATGTAGATCAGAAGTTGCTTTATAAAGATGTCATTAAGTCACTAAACATTAAAAAACCAGAATAAATCATTTATTAGTAAATACTTTGGTGGTGGGCTGAGTTGGTGGCAGACCCATGATGTTGGCCGGAGGCAGGCTCTTGGTTAGAACCGTCTGAGGAGAGCTGGCCAGCATGAAGTCACCGGTGTCTGAAGAAGAAGGCGAGTAGGCTGACTGGGACACTGCTGGTACCTGCTGAGCTCGAGAAGCTGCAGATCAAACATACACACACTATTATTATTATTATTATTATTATTATTATTATTAATAACGCCACCAGTTACCTGTTACTTCTATATCACTTAGACTTAAGACAAGTTTGAGTAACAGCTGTTAAATGAGAAGCTCTAGTTACATTTTAAAGGAAACTCTGATCCTACAAACAGATGTGCACTAAAGGTTGCGCTACCTCTTCCTCGGCTGTTTTTGTTGCGAGGAGCAGGAGGGGGAAGCTCAATTTCCTCCTGGGGCATCTGGGCCACCTTCTGGAGGAAGATCTTCTCCAAGGACTGGGCCATCAACACAATGTCGTCTGTCGGCTAAACAAGTACAATAATAAACAAGCAGAAACTAAATGATGTTTAAACCACAGAAGAAAATAAAAGCACTGATCTTTTGTTACATTTTTGTTTCAGAAAGTCACTTTAAACAAACCAGACTTTTAGTGTTTTATCAGCCGTCTACTAAACTGGTGTTCAGAGCCAACCTCGTTAGGAGGAACCAAACTAATCATTTCTCATCTTAAGTACTTTTTTTGGTCCTTTATCCTTTAAATACAGATAAACTTTTGCAATGGCCTGTTTGTTTCTGTGTCCTGAACAGGCTTCGTGTTTAAAAACGACCAGAATCACTCAGGCATGAAACAGATTCAGAAGTGAAACCAAAATCCACACAGGGTTCTTACAGCTTTGCTAAAAAACATGTTTTTAAACTTTCAATGTGTGTTTTCAAGACCTTCCGAGATGTACACGCACAGATAATTAACTCGAAACAGTATTTCACTTCCTTGTCTCAGAAAAGTAAATATTTTCCTAGTTCCAATTTCAAATATAAACGCACCGATGTTGGCGCTCAGGGCCGATACCGATTTTTGTCCTTAATAAAGCCCATTTAAAGTCAGGCACATCTACAGGCAGCCCGGGGCTGTTGCAGAATTTAATTCAAATGTATTTTTTACGTTCACCAACAACATCTGCATAATAAATACTCTAAATTACCTTAATTTATGTGTCTGACTTTAACACTGAGCAGTGCACAATATTAAGATTTAATGATTAAGTTCAGAGTTGAAAAACCGATTCAGCATCAGAAATTTTGTTCATTGTTAATTTTAGTGCCATTTTAGCATGAAAATAAGATGGAAAACGTCTAGATATCGGCAATGAAAACTGGCATTAAACAAAAAAAAAATGGGCATTACATATCGGCCGTCGGCTGATCATGTCTCCTACATATCAGCATCGGCAATAGAAAAACTAATATCGGTCAACCTCTAATTACAGATTACCGATTTCTGTGCAGCTCTGACCTGCTGATACCCATTTAGACATATTTTGATTTCTCTCAAAGAATTATAGGAAAAATGTCCAGTTTTTCATTGCTGGCAGTGGTGCATTCCCTGGCAGATTTCTTTAATTAACCTTTTGAGTCTCCGACGGGAAAATCACTGTTTAAGTTGATCATCAGCACCAGCTGGTTGTTTTGCATCTCATTTCAATAAAAAATAAATAAATAAAGGGCTTCTGCAAACCAAAAAAAGATAAGTTAAAACAATGTTTGAGGACTCAAGTGAGAACTTTGTGTACACCCAAACCTTCATGAAATCTGAAGTTTGATTTATGATGACCAGAGTTTAACCTCCAACTCCTATTCTCCTCACATGCTTTGGGCTTCATGTGTTTTATGTAAAACCTATCACATATTAGCTGTAAACCGTGAGAGAAGTGCCTATAAAAATAAACAAGTTTTACCTTGTTGTAGATGTAGCAGTTGGTGAACATCGTGTTGAAGTCCTGAATGCACTCACTCGCACTTTGGTAAAAGTTATTTTCTAAACGGTTCTTTATTGTCCCCATGTCCATGGGCTGTTTGATAATTTTATAATAATCCTGAAAAAATAAAATAAAAATAAATGAAAAAACTGGACAAAACAGAAAGTATTTAATTAATTTAAGGATACAGGAACAGAGGATCTTGGAGCCAGAACACAAATCAGAAGGGTAAAATAGACTTTAGTCAATACACAAAAAGGAACGAGGAAAGAAACATTTAAGTCAAGGCACTGAGGTGAGCTGCAGAAATCTTTTTTCTTTACAAAAAAAAAAGAAACAAAAAATGACCTAAAACCCACCGGCAGGTTCAGCCTGTAGATGTCCACCGGCTTGTGGAAAGGCCAGGCAAAGTGGTGCCTCCACAAGAACTTGATGAGGGTTTTGTGGAGGTACTGCAGCTGGTTGGTCATGCGGCCGGGCCGGCTGGGGTCCTTCACTGGGGGCTGCGGAGGGGCAGGGGGTGCATGTGGCAGTGAGGGGCTCTCGAAGTCCTCGTACAACAGGGAGGGCTTTCGAATGCGTTTGCCTGAGCTGGTATGCTGGTCCATCACACCACTGGACAACCCACGAGTGGAGTGGAGACAAAGACAACAGAAAGAAAATTATTTTTATTCAATATTTGAATTTTAGAGTTGTACTGTACAGGTATCAAATACACATATATATTAAAATGAGAAAAATAAATGAAAGGAGAACCAATATTTATTCAGCAAAGAGAGATTTAAATGTCCAAAATCATGTAAAATCTACTTTTTGGAGCTTCTGACAATGTCACAGTCATGAAACCTACACCCAAAGTGGTTTTAAGCTTTACTTGTGCATTTTCCTCTCAGCTGCAAATCATCTCTTCTCCGTCCAGCTGCTGCAAAAGCCTGGTGTTGGAGTTTTTGCTGCGTCATCACACCCCGCACCTCCCCTGGACTGTATACACCAACACGCAGTCTCTCTGTGTAGCTAACAAGGAGTTTCCTCTCCAGTTATGAACAGTGATTTCTTGCTTTTCTAGTCTGCACTTAAATAAAGCCTAAAGTGATTTTTTGTCTGCAAGGAGAACAGGATTGTCCGGTCTTCCTGAAGAATTGGCAGAAATGGTTGGATTGTATAAGGAACTTTCCAAAGCTGAGCCAAAATGTGACAATGATTTCACAGACTGCTTGTTAAGACACAAGCCAGTACCGGTGTGGGTTTTCTGAAGGATTACTTCTTCAAACCGGCACCATTCCAACGTAAAAACCCAATAGACAGACTAGAACTGTGAGCACAACATAAATGTTAACCACTAGCTGAATGGTTATAAAGTTCAAGGAAGGACTGGGAAAGTTATTCAGACTGGGAGTCTGCTACCATCTCAGACACCTTTTCTATGTTCAAATCTACACCCTCCGGGTCTGCAGCTGTGTACTATTGTGGAATTCACCCAGGCAGAGGCAGAGCTTCATCAAATCTAAACATCTTGCAGGGTTGATGGAATGGATGCTTATATTTAATAAAAAATTATATTTCAACAGGGTCTACAGTAATATTTTATTCATATTTAGCCTACCAATGCTCTAGTAAACAAAGCATGATACAATTATTTTTAGGATCAGGAGACAAACAAGATAGCATAATTCAATGCTGTTAGATAAAATGACACAAATAATAAATAATCAGCCATCTACTCCCATCAACAGATGTACTAATTGGGAAATATAATGACAAAGTGTCTGCTAACACATACTTCATTCACATGAGTCCACATAAATGTGGCCACCATCCTTTCAGTCAAACAGGAAACCAGGATTCCATCAATAAGCTGCTAGTTTTAGCAGCGTCATGGGAAACACCACAGCAGATTTAACCACTGACCGGGTCCACAGCTGCAAGCAGGCATGCATCCATTACAAGACATGACTGGAGGAGAACAATCCAAGGCCAACTCAATCTGTTCGTACAGTAAGTTCCAAAAATTCTAAGAAAGTGACTCCACTGACAGTAGCTAATGAGACTCATTAATCAAATAACTAAGACCTGGCATTTTATTTAAAACAATAAAACTGAACCTGTCAGAAACCGTACTTTCGTAAAAAAGCCATTTACAACCAAACGGAAGGATATTAAAACATTAGCATTGGGGCCAAGCGATCAAACCCAATAAGCAAAGATTATTACACAAGCTTAAAGGGACAGCCCACCCCTAAGTGAAATTCGGTCTATTTCCGGATCCCCCGGAGTTAGAAAAGCGAGAAAAAAGTATTCTGTAACCAGCACAATAAATCTCCTGGTGTGGCAGCAGTCCGTCTCCTAGCTTAGCATAAACAATGAAAGTGAATATCAGGAACTAGCATTTTGCATTCAATAGAATAGAATATACTTTATTGTATTGTTGTCGTTAAGGCAGCACATAAACTTAGAGAAACAGGAGAAAAATACAAGTCAATTCCATTCATCAATACACAAGTCTATTATTTCAAACTTCAGCAATCAAGAATGAATAAAAATAGAAAATTGAGTTTCCAAGAACATCATAAGACCCAGACATACAAATGTGCATGTGGGTATTGCACAGTAGATTGTTCTGATGTTAGCGTATAACTGCAGTGGAAATGTTTGACCTACAGTAGCGTTCTGTTTGCATCTTGGGTGTCTCAATCTCCCGCTAAAGGAGCTGTCCATGGCCTCCGCAGTGGAATGGGAGTGGTTTTCCAAGATGGAGGTCACCTTCATCAGCATCCTCCTTTCACAGTTTGTTGAAACCAAATCTTGTAATGATCTCAGAACTGAAAATGTGTGTGGCGTGTGTACGTAATAACATAAATTCAGCTTAAATGATTTTCATTCTATACAAAATCTGCTGGTTTTAGAAACATTAATGTCAGTATATCGGTATTGGCAAATATTGGTAATTGGTCATAACAGTGATATTAATATCTGATATCGTTATCAGCCCAAATATTTCATATCGGTGCATCAATACTTTTCAGCAGGTAAGAGATTACTAAATGTTTTATGGCATTTTATAAACCAGTTATTTAGAAACACAGCCATAAAAATGGCAGGTTAACAGTTTGATACTGTTTTCATGTGTCCTCACCGCCAATAACCTTCAGGGTGCTAATGTTTTTAGCAGTTGGCTTAGTGTTGTAACGTGGCACTTATACCTTATTAAAATAAAAACAAACATAGCAGAAATTTTGATTTAAAAAGGCATAAAAAGTTAGTTACAAGTAGATCCTAGCACATAATGATCGTTAGCATTAGTGATAGCATTATTATTAGTGATGCACTGATATCAATTTTTTGGGCCGATACAGATAATAAGATCACTGTTATAGCCGATAACCAATATTTGCCGATACCATTATAATGACATTAATGCTTCTAAAATCAACAGATTTTGTATTGAATGAAAGTCATTAAAGCTGAATTTACATTATGTACACACACCACACACATTTACGGTTCTGAGATGATTTCATTCACTGTTCACATGAACAGTGAATAAACAATCACACATCACCCCCTCACCTTCTGAAACAGGCAAACAAATGGAGACGAGATGGAAAAAATATTGGTTGTTAATATCGGCCCGGTTTTATTTATTGAACTGATTTAAAAAATGACTAACGTCGGCCAATACAGACATTGATGCCTAATTATTATCATGAGCTAATGAATTAAAAATAGCATAATTTACTACTTACCCAAGCAAAAACAAGACAACGGTCACTTAAAGCTTCTTCAGATTACTAAATAGTTAACCAACATGAAATAAAACAGCTGTAGGCTTTCAGGATTGTAAAAAAAACTTTCATTTTGGTAATATACTTGTAATGAGGCATGCAGCACAAGGTAGTTTGTTTTGCCGATTGCTTCTGCGCTGGGTAAATCCTCCAGGGTGTATGAAAGGTCTGACTTTTAAAACTTTATGGGTCATAACCAAAATATGTATTTATTTGCGATATTGCATTCGTGCCAGCTCATTTAAAGCCTTAGTAAAATCGCTTTCATCCATTGTGCTGTGTTTTGTAGCAAAGCACTTCCTGTCCTGCAATAGATTTTCACGTGACTGCAGAGTCACGCGAGTCAAACCCAGAAATTTCAGCTGTTTTATTCATCACATTTGCCGTACCTTCCAGAATGAGCCGTTTAGGGCTGTTTTTTCTTCTTTCAAGAAAACAAGCAGAAGCTGGCCACGCCCACCCATCCGATGATTAGATGCAATGAGACGAGGAGCCCGAAAATCAGTGTGTGTGTGTGTGTGGGGGGGGCTCAGAGTAGAGCCACTGCTCTGTACCCTTCTTTTCAAATAAAATAATTAAGTTTGACAGGCAGAAGTTCATGTTTTCCTTCACAAGTTAATTCCAAATGTAAAAATCTTGTTTACAGTAGTTGGTCTGGTAAATTAAAGTGTGACTGATCACCCAGGTCCTGGTGTTTAAGCCACGATTGTCAAACATCAGCTACACTCTTGTTTTCCACTGGTCCACTTTAACCCCATATTACGCATGTGTGTTTAGCATGCTCCTACCCCAGGACAACAGGTCAGAGTGGGGTCAACCTTTATCTTTGAAAATTATTTTTTTTGCGAACAATTGCTGCATAATAAAATCATAAGCATGTTAAGTATCTGTGGTTTTCAGATGAGGAGTTTACCCAGCAGCATCCCAAACTCTCCATTTCCTCTCAGCAGAAACCAGATTAGGGATTTTAAAAAAAAAGTCATCAGGTCACACACACCTGTTCCACTGACACACAAACTGTAGACAAGCCTCTGGCCTGATTTCACCCTGTGTGAACTGAAGAAAGTGATTTGTTTTGCCAATAATATGTTTGTGTTTTTGATGCATTGATGAAAATTCATACATCTAACAAACAATTCATTTTAAAAATGATAACTATACCATTAAAGCAACAACTGTAGCTATTGTGCTATTTGCATGTGTTTTTTAATGGACGAGTTTTATTCCCAAGCCATTTTAGATGCTGATAAATTAGTTACTCTATTGAAGTTGCTTTGATTTTGTTTAGCTTAAATCTGCTTCGGATCACCTTGTTTCAGCGAAAAGGTCCGATGCGCTCTAACACAATCCACCAGTTGGTGATCGCGTGGTTTGGACGCCACGCCTCCGTTATTTGTAAACACAGACGGTTCGCAAACGCAAGAACTTAAATCAGCAGTAATATTCGATCAAACTCTGACATTTGAGCTTTGGAAATTAGCTGGCCGTGGCTCCGTGCCATTTTGCCGCAGTATAGAAATGTTCTTTCATCAGAAGGGAGGCTGTAGCTAAAGCAAGCTAACATCCACCCATTTGTCGGCCGTTAGCTAGCGGTCCGCTGAGGGCATCCAACTAACTTGTGCGGACACAACATAGATAAATTGAGTGGGTTCAGCTTAGCGATGGTAAAAGTATAAAGGATGTGTTTCTTTTTATTTTACCAGGCTATCTAAGCAATGAATGACTCGACTGAGCTAGCGGGGAGCAACTCCCCAGACAGCCGATGGCGCTGCAGCTGTCATCCGCATCCACCGCCTGCCTCCTGGATTACAGTATGGTTTTAAAACATCTAAACCGTGAAAAGTTTAAGATGTACTTACATCGGAATCGGACATGATGCTAACAGCTTGATTTGAAAGCTAGCCAATTCATTTCCCAAAAAGGTAACCGTAGGAAAAGATCACAATTCTACAGCGTCGCAATCGTGACAAAATTTTTAACCTTTCAGAAAAGACGAAACCCCTGTAAACTTTAGTTTGCTTGCAGATGCTGCGGACAATACCTGTCGTGAGGTGGGTTGATGGCCGCTTCCATTGGTCTGAGGGCGCTGTTTTTAACCATTCAATTTTTTTTCCTGCCTCCGTTGACGCTGCACTGGATGATCTATGCAGCTTTAGAATGAAATGGCGCCCGCCCGCTTCCGTTTGACTGTCACGTGGCAGGTGCTGCGTTTGTCCGGTCACGTTATCACAGATCCTGCGTTCCCATTGGCTAAAACCTCCTGCCTGTCAAACTAAGCCTAAACCCCACTATGCAGCGGTGAAACAAAAACAGAAATGGCCCACAATATCAGAAAATGCTTATTAAGCTTGTATTAAAACATTTAAGTCGTTTTTTCTGGCCTTGCCACAAGCCTATGGATACATGTTTAGAAAAAATATCAACCACAGTATTTGAAAAATGTGAAAAATATGCACAAAGAACATTCAGAAACTCTAGGATATTAACAAAATAACATGACTTATAAATTAGAATGTTTATGTTTACAACTGCAACCTCAAGGAGTGTGAAGCAACAAAACACAAACACCAAAGTAAAAGTGACACAACATAAAACAAGTTTTACTTTATTATTATCGTGTTTATGAGCTCATATCAATGAGCAAAAGTCAGGTTTATTTCTGACTACTTTATGTAACTAATCATAGACATAAATACGTAGATGTGCCATTTGGCGCTAGTGTAATCAGCTTTGCTGCCATATTGGATGGGTCTTTAACTAGCCTGCCAAACCCAACTGGAGTCTAAGCAGTCAGTGAGCAATTATGCCCCCTTTTGTGCAGCCTATGGTTAGCCTGGCAAGCCAGACTAAATAAATATATTATTTACAAAGCAAGAATTTGGTCTAGTTCACTAGGCTAGCCTACGTTTGCAACAACCGGCAAAAAACAAATCACATAGGATTATTGTTGACTTTCCTTGCCTGCCTTTTGGGATATATATATATATATATATATATATATATGTGTGTGTGTGTGTGTGTGTGTGTGTGTGTGTGTGTGTGTGTGTGTGTGTGTGTGTGATTTTGTGATAAAGCTTAAAATGTGTTTTTTTAGTTTTGTAAACACCATCCTCAGTAGAAATAAATGCACTGGTGTGAATGGAGACCCATCAAAGATGGCGGCCTGCCACTACGCCAGCTCCAGTCAACATTGGCTCGTCTATGTATAGGATGTCTGTGTAACTGATGATGCCTGAACATTTCTAGGTAAAAAAATAATAATAATAATAATTGGTCTTGGGTCACTTCACTGTGCCAGAATATTGCCATGGGCCTCGAAGGTTCCTATGGACCCTTCCTAGACCAAACTTTGCAAAGCAAGAGTTTGGTCTAGTTCATTAGGCTAGCAGAAGTAACGACAAAAGGTGGGATTTCTTGCTCCAGGTAAATAAGCAGTTGCATAACGAGTATTAGAGTCAATGTTTTTAAAGTTCACACAGCTTTGAACCTTCTTGCTGCAAACGAGCTGCTAACTGCACCACCATGCAACCCTGAACATTTTCTTTAAGTGCTTTATCTCAGGATACTTCTTTATGAATGTTCTGATTTTTATGTTTTGTTGGCTAAATATCAACAGTCCAGATCAGTTATTGTAATTTAAAATTTGAATAGATTTTTTACACTAATGACACTAAATGTACTAACAGATGATCTGAAGTAGTGAAAATGTCTAAAGTAGATAGCACAATCGCTGACTTTCAAGGTGCAACAGTCAAGCAAACACTTAAATTATAAAGCACGGTCTCATAATAATGAGAGTGGATCCATTTAGGAGCCTAGGTTTTAAAACCACATATCCAACTTCAGTCATTCGTGTCACTGCTCAGCACCGCCCTCTTCTCTTGGACGGTTAAAACCTGTTTCCTGCTTTTTCACCATTTCAGCATAATGACCGCTTTTCTTCATCAGTTCTTCATGACTGCCCTCCTCTGTAACTGCCCCATTGTTGAGGACGATGATGTGGTTGGCTTTCTCTACGATGCTCATCTTATTGGATATCATCAGCACAGAGCAGCTCTTCGCTAGCTTTGTCAGGGCCTCATGGACCTGAAATCAAGACTTGGTGTTAAATGTATAAAAATAAAAACTACACACAAACTTGGCAGATGTAGCGATTCCTTACCTGGTATTCGTTTTCAGTGTCCAAATCACTGGTGGCATTGTCCAGGATCAGGATCTTTGGTTTTTTGATTAAAGCTCTGGCGATGGCGATGCGCTGCTTCTGGCCTCCAGATACCTGGCCTCCCTTTTCTCCTGCATCTAATAACAAAATGAGAATACCGCATTACTTTGTTTATTAATCTAATAATTTGATATTCTGTTGAAGTTCCTTTGCTATGTCAGCTCCAGACATTCTGAAACACGAACATCAGTTTGTGTCATTTATTGCATCGGCGAGGGGACTTCTGGGTCGAACCTGTGTCGTATCCTTTTGACAGCTCGCTGATGAACTTGTGAGCACTGGCCTGCTCAGCAGCTTGGTACATCTCTTTATCTGAAGCACCCTCACAGCCATACTTGATGTTCTCTCGAACAGAGCGAGCAAACAGCACACAATCCTGGCTCACCACAGCGATCTATCAATTAAAACAGGGACAAGAAGAAGACTTGAGATTTGGAATAAGCGTCTTTTTCTTTCAGTGCGTTTTTGTGTTGCTTTCACATGCAGGTTTGTTCACTAGAGGTGCACGACTTTATTGACACTGACATTCATAGTTAGTCATCTGTTAACATATCCGAATCCGGCATTTGGTTAAAACTAGATTGATATTACAGGTCTCGTTCCCTGAGAAACTGTGTATATATCACTCTGAGTTTGCATATGCTGAAGGTGAAAAGTTCTCCATCCCCCATCTCATGCATTAGCCATAGAAAATGAAATAGATGGGAAAACGATCGGGTCAGAAATAGCCAGTCTCTTCTATGTCACACGAATATTAGCATAAACCGCCCTGTCCACCTTGGCTTACGACCACCCAGAGTAAGCAGGAGCAGAGCGTGTCTTGGCTAGTAGAAGCTAATCATTAGCGTTAGCAACTCCACAACACAGCAGCGCACACTCAAGCTTGTGTTATTTGTGGAGAAAAAATCTCAACATTGCTATTTTTACCCAAGAAAGAAGAGCAAGTGTCATGCTGCTGTTAGCCAATCAGAGGCAACATGAACTTATTATGAATATTAATGAGTAGGACGTGTAATCGATTTGCAAGCCCCCACTCCTCCGACTTGCTGAAACAGGAGCACCACAGCTCTTTTTTCACAGAAAACGATACAAGGAACCACAGCAGATTTACTGACAAAAACATGTAAATGTAACCTTTATCAATCAATGTTTATTTCCATGTAGTTATAGTTTATGTATCTGTTTCAGGAGGGGGTTAGTCGGGCAATATTAGTTTGGTCATTTGACAGTGATTTTGGATGTATTGCTGAAATATCGGATATATATAATAATTAGAATTAGAATACTGGCACTTATCAACCATAACAGCCGTATTAGTACTGAAAATTGGTGTCGACCTAAATCATATCGGTGCATCCCTGGTATTTATGTCTTCATCTGCACATCCCAGTTGTATTCTCCTGTGTATTTGTGTGTATTTTTGGGAACTGTTATAATAATTAGCTAATAGACCCTGTGCACGAGGAAAGCCTAACTTCCTGTTTTGAGACCGGATGTAGAGTTGTTAATTTCCTCTAACTTTATTGTGCTTTTACTTTGCTGAATCGCAACTGTTGCAGACTCAAAAGTCATCAAAATTACAAAAACGGAAATATTGCCTTAAACTACAAAGAGCAGAAGGTGGGAACACTCATCACTGCGGCGTCCAGCTGTGTACTGCTGGGGGGAGATTTAACAAAACGATTAGTTTTCACTTCTTTCCCAAGGATCCTCAGTTGTGGGCACAATGGCTGATAAAAATCAAACGGGACCACTTCAGAGTTACGGCCAGCTCTAGAGTGTAGTCGGCATTTTGAGACTGGCAAGATCTTCTTGTCTTCCTCTGGAAAGTGATGTCTTCAGCCAAAAGTTGTTCCGTCTTTATTCCACTGGAATGACTTCACGAAAAAGCCAGAGCGACCCGGAGTTTGGGAGCACCGCCCTCGGCCTGTTGACACCGTGGCTATGGCAACCGAGGATGACAACACAGAGGATGGAAACACCGATATCCCTATCGCGGGTTATGCTAAGTCTGCTCCAGCCTCCATCCCCATGACTGAAGATCATGATTATGCAGCAAGCTCTTGGATTGTCGTGGATCGCATTAAATATGAATCTATGTCAAGGGAGATCGAGGAGCTCAGGCAGCAGTTTCTCTCTTTTGCTCTGAGGTGCGGGGGGGGGGGGGGGGGATCACCAAGTCGATTAACATCATCTACAGAAATATTCGGCAAATGCCCAAGACATCTTGAGAAGTTTAAATCGCCGCTTCTGATGGAAAACCCAACCGTAAATCATGCAGCGGCTCACAACGGAAGTGAAATGCTCTACAGGAGTTTTTCCCCTAGAAGTAGCATATGCTAAGATGCACAGAGTCTATTAAAAGTGTAACAACAGTGCTGGCTTGGGAATTCATATTAATCTGACAAAGAGAAACCACTTTAGATTTTTGAAAAACTGAGGAAACATTCACCAGTTATTTCAGAAACACATATGAATGATAAAAAAATCGAACAGATCACCTCTTATTCTTTATATTTTGGATGAACTAATTACTGAACTAATTACCTTTTGACGTAGGAACTGGTCCTTGTAACTTAGCAGTGGCTCTCCATCCAGAAGGATCTCCCCAGCTTGTGGCTGGTAAAACCTCTCCAGCAGCTTGACACAGGTGGTCTTTCCTGATCTGTTAAGTCCCACCAGGGCAGTGATTTGTCCTGGCTTGACCTCCAGAGACACATCCTGTAGGTAGAAATGTAAATGTTTCACCAAGCTTTTCATCAAAATAATAAATAGCAGAACCAACACATACCTTCAACACAAGATTGTTTTCTTCAGTTTTCCCAGAATAAGAAAATCGAACATTTTTAAACCGAATATGTCCTCTGAGATTCTCAGGGGCCAAACTGCCTGAAGGAGGGATTTTAGGTTTCCTGTCCAGATACTCAAATATCTTCTCAGAGGCGCCGATTGCTTTCTTCACCTCTGGGTAGTAACGCATCACAGACTGTAAGAGGGAGCAATAAAGAAATAAACAATGTAAACAAAAATGTGATGTTTTGTCTTGGTTTGCAGCTCACCTCAACAGCAGAAGCAAACTGCAGCTCATAGAGAACAAACGAAACCAGGTCTCCGCTGCTAACTGACCCCCGGGTCACGAGCGTCCCTCCGTAGTACAAAATACACACCTTCAAAGCCAAAGTGGTCATCTGAAAACATGAAAACAGGAGTCCATAAAGAACTTTCTATTAATTAGTTCAGTTAGTTTTACAGATACCGAGCTACAATCTGGTGTGACAGAAGCGGAGAGTCTTCTACTTCTCGGTCTCTGATTCAGCACTCAGCATTCAAACAGCATTTCTACCAAACAATGTAATCCTCCTTTTGTTTAAGTTCCTATCCAATTGCTTTTCTGTCAGCAGGGTTGCATCCCCCTTTGGATGCAACCCTGCTGCAGGTTTTTCCACATTTAATTTAAAATAAACTGAATTTAATCCCCTATTGAACAGGGGTGGATTTAGGACTGAAGAAGATCCGGGGCTTAACACACACGTGCGCGCACGCACACGCACACACACACACACGTGACACACACTAGTCAACATATATATATGTCTTGTACCACATAATTTTTTATCTGAAGCTACATATTAAGCATATTCAGGGCAGAGTATTGTTCCTGTTAGTGTTTAGTGTGAGATGATAATAAATATTCCCTTTCTTTCTCCAACAACTTTACCTGATAGTAAGCTAACTTTAGGCAAACCAGCAGCACAACAAATATTTTCAAATAAGCCTCACAAACCTGAGTCAACACCAGTATCATCAAAGCTGGGGTTCTGTCGCGGTACTTTTGGTCTAAAAAAACGCCCTTATGTCCATGTTTACATTTGCGTTTCAGGCAGAGAGTGTAGAAAAAGCCGGCTGCTGAAGGGCTTCTTCAGTGGTGGAGGCTCAGGCAGGCTGTATACAAACTACTGCCAGCTGCTCCCTCTCTGTTGGACTTTGGTACTGCCTAACGCCGCCCCTGCTATTGAACACACTGCTGCATTCTGGTAAACAAAAGCAAATGCAGGTTAGATTAGAACTCACGCTGTTGGCACAGGTTGAAGCAGCATAAGCAACAGCCTCCTTTTTATTCAGAGAGTATGTGTCCTCCATGCACTTCCTGTACTTCTCTGTCTCACCGTCCTCGTTGGCAAAACTCCTCACTGTCTTCATGCAGGAGAAGGTCTCTGTGGCCACCTGGTTGGCCTTAGCCAGGGACTCCTGAACCTTCACGGCAATGGTCTTACAAAGCACAGCAGAGTTAGTTTAGCTACAGGTCCATTTTATTCTTAACATTAAGACACATCTTCCAGTTTGGGGGTTTTCTGATCAACCAGTGATTCCAGAATGATTGTTGTTATCACCTGGTGGAAGTGTCCGGTGAGCTCAGGGATGACCCAGATGATGGGAAGTCCCATACAGGTGAGCAGGGTCATTTTCCATGATTGGCTCATCATGAAGTAAAAAAGGAAGCCAAAACGAGCCATGTACCACATGACAAGACTCAGTTTCTCACTCAGTGCCTCACTCACGTCGTTGGTGTCCGTGGTGATGCGGGACACCAACTCACCTGAGACAAAATGAACGTTTTAGAAGAGATTACAATTCCAGAAGGTTATTGTTGCTGTTCATTAGCCTTCTTGTGACACCAGTGTACATAAAAAGCAAGAAGATGAAACCAAACACAGATTTTCTGCAAATCAGCTTGTTTGTGGGACTGTGTCCACCTGTTGGTGTTGCATCAAAGAAAGCGATCTCCTGTTTGAGTACAGCCTGGAAGACAGCTCCCTGCACCGAGGTGTGTATGAGGCTCATGGTGATGTTGTACATGAGGTCACACACAAACTCGAGCACAGCGCTAGAACACACATAAAAATGATCAAATGTCACTAAAAGCAACGGACTGAAAGTCTGCATTGAAGCACCTAAAATGGCTAAAAAATCCTCACAATCTTGTAGATTTAATAACATTTCACAAACTAAAAATATATTTTTACTGTATATTACATGTTTTACATGTTTAATGTATGAATAATACATTTTAAATGCAGTCTTGTAATAAAACATGGACTACAATAAAGGCTGCACTACCTGGCCATGGTCATTAGTGTCATCATTGTGATGGCCTGTGTGAATGCATCAGGTGCTTCTTCGCTTATGATCCAGTCAGCCATACGACCCGTGTACTGGGGAATAGCCATCTCACCTGCAGCCAGATATTGAAATGATCAGTTCTGACCATTGGGAAAGCAAAACTGTCAAATAGGATTTAAATGTCCCGCACTTGTATGGCGCCTTTCCCAGTTAGAGGACTCCAAAGTGCTTTACAATGCAGTGTATGATTCATCCATTCACACACACATGTACCCGCTGGTGGTGAGGAGCCCATTCGGCCAGGACATGAATAATAAATTAGGTGTGTGTTAGGGCTGCACGATATTAGGAAAACCTGCGATATGCGGTAACAGTGACTGATATTGTGATGACGATATTACTTGCAATAAATAAAAACTTAACTCAGGAACAAGAATAATCAAAAACAAATACATAAAAAAATCATAAAAATGAGAAAAGCAAAAAGTGTGAGGAAAGGGAAAAAGAAAATAAACAAGAAAAGGCAATCAGTGGATCCCGGGAAAAGCAGAATCAGCGGGAAGAGCAGAACAAAGCTAACTCAGGTGTTTGCTAACCATCAAAATTAAATGCCGTCCGCCTCGGAGGCGGGCATCTAACCTATGAGAACCCACCCAATTGGCCAAATGGGTGAAGAGCTTTATTTGATTTGTTAAAAAAACATCATGCTTTCGTTTGATTGACAGAATGCATTATGTGTAGCAAACATTTGAGCTGACCATTCATTGCGATATTTATCTGTTCTTTGTGATATGCATATTGCACATGCTGATATCGCAATAACGAAATATCTGCGATATATTGTGCAGCCCTAGTGCATGCTGGTTGGCTGGTTTAACCAAATGAATCTATGATGCTGCTTGAAGCTAGAAACCCTGTGTACAGCTGTGTTCAGTATTCAGATAACTCAATAGGCAAGCTATAGATCTATCTGACATTCATTAGAAATCTGGATATTCCCAGAACATCCTGGATCCTTCCATGTGCATTCTAATTTCTTCTTTATTGCTGTCCTCTTGTCCAATAAGGACGGTAACAGATTGACCTAGCATCAGCAGTAGTTTGCTATGCAGTTAGCATTCTCACCACCAATGTATATATGTGGCTGACACTGAAGTGGTTGGGACGTGCTGATTTAAGGTCTATCAAAGCTTATGGCGTGTTAACCAGCTTTTCTCGGAGCAAACCCTTTCTCTGTGGCCATTACAACATTTCTATTTTACATAGGAAAGCAGGTCAGGGATGGCACAGACGTTTTGGTATATTTGACACCCCACGCTGCTTTTATTCAACAACAAGGTAAATGTGGTTTTGAATTCTAGGACACCTTTTAAGTATGCTTTGGTCGAACGTACCATAAGACGAGAGAACCACCAGAATCAGCACTAAAACAAATCTAAAAAAATAAGGCTTCATGTATCCCATCAGCCTCTTCAGAGAGGAACTACTGTCCAGTTCAGTCTTCTTCCCGGATGGCTTCTTCTTTGTGAAAAACAACGAGACATATTGACTCCAGTAGAGCCAAGACACGGCCGTCACGGCGTAACCCTGCAACATCTGGGAGAGATTACTTTAATCAACACAGAGAAATTTTAAATGGCTCAAATAAGAGAAGAAGAAAAAACGTGCAAATCATCCGATTAGCTTCAAAGCAACAAAACATAAATGGAAGATAAATAATGGTTTAGTTTGGTTTCAGCTTGTTACCAGTTGCGAGTTCAGGCCTTGACTTTAAAGACCAAGTTCACTTGTTTTTCAACACATTTGCAATGGTCTCTTAACCTTTGGTTTGGAGGAAAGGATGATGCGATGGAGCAACAACTAATATGGCGGCGGTTCTTTTGAAACAGCATTGGCATCACCTTTGGACTATTAAGACCTGGGCTTTTCTTTGAGTCAAGAGCAGAGAGAGGTACCAAAGTCCTTAATTTAGAAAAAGGATGTATTTGCATTATTTTCAACATTGTATTTGTATTCAACATTGTATTGCAGACTGCCCCATTGACTGACATCCTTAGCAGTGAGTATGTCACATTGTTCGTTGTCCAATAAATGAATAAATGACCCGCACTTGTATAGCGCCTCTCAGAGTAAGGACTCCAAAGCGCTTTACACTACAGTGTATAATAGCATGCAGAGACAGTTTGAAAAACAGTCTGCCTCACGACCATGCTCTGTCTATGGGACATGGCCAGACTACTTGTTCACATATGGCTTGCTAGGCTAGTGGATCTCTAGTATAAATGAATGCCATGTGAGTCCATCTCTGTGGGAAAAAAAGCTCTAGCACTCCTGTTTCAGGAAGTAGAAGTGGGTCAGATGAGAACTGAGCCGGAGACGGCAGGATTTGGTCTTTTTTTCTGAAATTCTAACATCTATCATCTGATTTGCTAGCCTGGCCTGCCTGACCCCGGGTTTCCACGGGAGCCGTCAGCAGCACGTTACTGCAGCAGCACGTCTTGCTCACGTAAGCTGCTGCTTGGCCCTTCCCACGAGACGCGAAGCAGCAGGGGAGCAGCTGTCACCGACAGAGCACAAAGTCACACGAGCAGTAGAAAATTACAACATGGTTTGTGTTTTATGTTCTGTCCGTTTTATAATCGCCAATACGGACCTGAAAAACAAAGGAGACTGCTAGCTAGGTGATAACTTCTCACGGGGCCGCACAGTTAGTAACCTTTTTTAAAAGTAAAGCAACCGGAAGGCAGTACGTTCTTTATCCTGAAAATCTCGGTAGCTTCTCTCCATTTCCGCATCCGATTTCCTGTCTTTCCTTCTCCAAAAATGTCAAACTTGACCCGTTTCAGACGCGTTGCGCGTAGAAAATAGAACCGGCGCGTAAAGGCATGCTGCTCCTGAGACGCGGCCGACTCGCGCTGCTGACGGCTGCCGACGGCTCTGCCGACGGCTCTAGTGGAAAAGGTTCTGTTGACCACAGCGGTTCCTTTCAGCAACTATGACGTGCTGCTGACGGCTCCAGTGGAAAAGGTTCTGTTGACCACAGCGGTTCCTTTCAGCAACTATGACGTGCTGCTGACGGCTCCAGTGGAAAAGGTTCTGTTGACCACAGCGGTTCCTTTCAGCAACTATGACGTGCTGCTGCAGTAACGTGCTGCTGACGGCTCCCGTGGAAAGCCGGGGTGACTCGTCCTCTGTGACTCTGCACAGAGAAAGGTCTGGTAACTTACAGGCAGAGAGGCACTTGAGGGGCGGGACTAGGCAGCTCAAAAATAACCAATCAGAAAAAAGACGGAAATGCCGACTGTACCGCGCAACAGCGATGCTGTAGTTTTTTAGCTGTAGTAAAAAAAAAGGCATCTGGCAACGGAGCAAACATCTTTTACTTTTTTTAGAAGAAAAGATTTTAGCGCTTCTACTTGTGGTTTTAAAGACATTCAAGTCATATAGAACAGAGGAAAGAGTCGCAGCGACCTCCGTCGCTGTCTTCGTTGTTTATGAGAAACTGAGCATCGCTGTGTGTGCCGTCCGCAACCCTGTAGTTTTTTAGCTGTAGTCAAAAATGGAATTTGGCGACAGAGCAAACATCTTTCTTTAGAAAAAATGCTTTTAGCGCTTCTACTTGTTGTGGTTTTAAAGACATGTCAAAGTCATTTAGAACAGAGGAAAGAGCCGCAGGGAACTCCGCTTCAGTCACCATGTTCGACAAACTCGGTGTTATGGTGTGTGACGTACGCTACTCAGCGCTGATTGGCTCAGTTAGAATTCTCAGGGGGTGGGGTTATTTGAATAGGAGAGTTCCCAGACCCTTTCTCTGTGCAGAATTAAACAGAGGAGGAGTCTGGCAGGCCAGGCTACTGATTTGCTAACAGCAATGTAACTCTGATTCAGTTTGCTCTGCAACGTTGGCGCTTTAGTTTGACAAATAACACAAGACTGAAGGAGCTCTGCCATGCTGGGGATTTGCTAATGCTAATGGTTAGCTTCTACTAACCGAGATGTTCTCTGCTGTTTCCTGGACACTAAACTGACAACAGCCTTTCCTGTCGCAAGCCAAGATGGGTGAGTCCACGAATGCTAATTTTTAATGTGACGTAGATCTGAGTGGCTTTTCTAATCTGAGCATTTCCCCGTCTGTTTTCTATCAGCGGCTAATTCAGGAAATAGGAGTAGAAAAATACTGCTATTGCTGACACTGGGGCAGCAGTAGCTCAGGAGGAAGAGCAGGTTGTCCAGTAATCAAGAGGGTTGTAGGATCAATCCCGGCTCCCAGCAGAGAATGCTGTTTTTGTGTCCTTGGGCAAGACACTCAACTCACCTTGCCTGCTGGTGGTGGTCGGAGGGACCGGTGGACTCACCTCCGTCAGTGCGTCCCAAGGCAGCTGTGGCTACATTGTAGCTCATCCCCACCAGTGTATGATTGTGTGTGTGAATGGGTGAATGGCTTGTAAAGCACTTTGGGGGGTTCTAGAACTCTAGAAGGCACTACATAGAATACATTTACACATTTAGCCAGTATGGTAAATTCAGAATGATGATCACATTTAAAAAATAACAGTGAACTTGGCCTTTAAAATGCTTCCTAACAATTAATTTGGTATTACTTTACACAAAAGTCAGTCCCCGTGCATGAATTACATGATTTTAGGGGTATTAGTTAAAAGTCTGCACACCCTTCTTACTCATAATTAACAATACTTTATGATTTTGAAGGTCTAAAACATCTTGTTCCTTTTTATCTCTAATAATTCGAGACAGAGATGTAGAGTTATGTACGAAATAATCCATTATAACTCACACCAGTGTTGCCAGTATCAGAAACCTGTGGAAATACTACCTAAATAATCCCTAAACAGCCTCCCAGTTTCATTAAGATCATAAATTTCTAATTTAAATGTGACAGATTTAGATTTCATTTTCAGCTTTAATTCAAAAATGTTTGTGTTAAAACTTTATTCTGCAGAGCAAATATGCTGCAGTGGTTAAAAATGGAATAAAGAACATTTTCCACTCCTTTGTGTGGAATATTATGGAATTTTCCATCTTCCACCATCTCAGAATACTATCTGGTGCATTTAGGTGAATTTATTAAAGCCATGATTTCTGATAAACTTCTACAGTTTTAAACCCCATCGACTCACCCATTCCCAGGAGTGCCAGCCCCAAAGTTCCTCCACCGTGGACTTCCCCAGAAACCAGAGAAGACTGATGTACACCGGGAAATGGAAGCAAAGGACCCCCAAGCTCTGGAGCCCCTCGAAGCTTCTCATCCACGCAACCCCTCCATAATAGGTGAAGGTGAGGAAGGTGAGGATGGAGGCTCTGGTCAGTGCTCCCCCCCACAGGGTGATGAAAGGATGAGGGATGAGGAGAGGCGAGAGCTGGGTCAGGCGGATGGCATGCATCACGCACACATCCAGGGAGAAGGAAAGCAGAGGGAAGAAGTAGCTCATCTTCTGCATACCGGGGCCAGGATGATTCTGCAGAAAGAGCCTTTAATTCAGTTATTAAAACTTCAGCGGTCACACCAGGAACCACAATATTATTTATTGTCCTCTGGCGAAATGTTATGCACTCATTATTGCTTCAACAGTAAAGCAAAACTGTGATCGGTCACATAAAAAAGTGCTAATAAACATATTAGATGCTCCACTTACACACCCTGATCTGCTGCTTATTTCTTATGTCCTGACTGTTTAGCTGTTATTTGGAGAAAGTTACCAATTTGGTTCTTAAAATGTTTGCATTTAATAAGAGGAAAGAAATAATCCCACATTTTAAAAGCATGTAAGTGTGGTTTTCTTTGCAGGATTTTAACTCTTTAACTGGCAGGTGGGTGGTATATTCACTGAACTTGGCTGAAAACACTAAAAACATTATTACAGGTTTAATTACAGGTTTTAAAACAATTATAATAAACAGGTTACCCATTAGATCCCATTACTGTTTCATTATTAATATTATTTTTTTTAATTATTCATTTGTATTGCTTTAATCCTCACTTCTCTGAATTATTTTTAATTACTAAAAGGAAATTTTTACTTTTTTCCATTGGTGTGGAGTTAGAGAGTCTATTTATTTAAGAGACTGTGGCTTATAATGAAGCATAAACTAAGATTAATGTTCAGTAACAAGGTAAAAACAATAGTTTTCCAAGTTTATATTATAAAAATAATTTTTAGTTTACGAACTTTCTGATTTTATCCTTTACTTGTTCAGAGCGTGCATCACTGAGATAAAACAGACTAAAATGTTTTTTACTAAATTATTTAAATGATAACAAAAATAATCATTTTTGTACTATTTTGTCATTCTGTTCTCATGTGTCCAGTACAGTGTATCAGCCTTTAAAAGATTTGGATTCCCTGTTAAAACGAACCATGTGTTTAAAGAGCAAGTCAACCCCAAATCTTTTTTAGCTGTTAAACTATAGTGAGTGTCTAATCGTGCTGTAGACACGTGTAGTCAATAATTTGGCACTTTAGTGCATCTTAGTTAAAATTGAAATATACTGCCTAAAACTGTCAGTGTTGCGCCCCCTTCAGGTAAAAATTCTGCACTATATTTAAATTTGAATCAGCCATTGCTATTGGCTAAGAGGTACACTATGACGTTGCTGGAACATTATGATGTTCAATGTAGTCGTGAGCCTGTGTGTGTGTATTTGTTAGTGGCTCCGCCCTCTCGGTCTGCCAGGCAACAGCATTTGTTGCACACAGGAAGTGGGAGTGGAGTAAGACTTTGGTAGGGGGTGACTTGCTCTTTGATAAAATATTTTATAATTTTTCTACAATCACCGGACATGCATCCTGATACCCATTAATAATAAGAACAACAACAATGATAATAATAATAATAAGCCACACACCAGATCAATAGCTTTGTAGCCCTTGAATAAAAAGCTACTTTCACTTTGCTTTATGGGTTAATATTACTTTCACTTTCTGCTGCTCGGCTCGTTTCTGTGAAACTCAGCGGATGAACAAAGCGATTCTAGCTCAAATGTGCCACAAAGACACAAACTACCTGCATTTGTATTAAACACCATAGCATCTGTGTTACTGATCTCAAAATGAAACATACTTACTAAATTTCGTCTGGAGAAGTTAAGTTCACTGTGACGAACGCCTCGAAGCCTAAGACAACTTAAACTCTCCCAAACTATTACCTTCGAACCTTGACCAGCAGCTAAACCAGACTCCCACTAAGCGAGCTGCTTTTGCAAAGAAGAACGAAACTGAAACTATTTAAACTGCTCCTTCGAGCGGAAAGCCCCTTATGAGTCTGGTCGGTAAAAAACGAGATTTAAACGTTACCTGCCTCCAGTAACTGGTCGTTTTACCTACAAAGATGAATAAAATCAAATTAAATATTCTCTGCAGATCATCCACACCATATCTATGTCTCCTTCGCCCCCAGTGCATTCATTTCTACAAAGGAACGATCGGGGCGGGGCGAAACGTGGGCGGAGTCAAACGTTTAACTACGCCCATCACGCGGACGCCATGTTGAAAAAAGCATGTAGAGGCCGGACGCCATTTTGGATAGGTCTTCTTCGCCCCCAGTGCATTCATTTCTACAAAGGACATCCCACATGGATCCCTATTATGGAATAACAGGTGCATTCTTATTACCAGGAATTCAATATTTACACCTGAATGGCAGGAGAAAGGTGTTGCCTTTGTTATAGATTTGATGGACAATGATGGCCTCTTCTTGGAACATGAAGTGTTTCAGAACAAGTTCAATATACATTGTACCAAAAAGGAATATTAAAAAATTTGTAAAGCTGTTCCAGAGGCTTTAGAGCATTTAATTCTAAACACTTTGGCCTATTTTAAAGTTTCTCCCACCCTGCCTAAACTACAAATATTAAATTATCCACTCAATGATAAAAGATGCAATCCTACTTACTACAACTCTTAAATCTAAACTTCATCATAATTACAATAGGGACCCTCCACCTGACTTTTCAGTTAAAGTGCATGTAAGATATCTCAAATTACCTATCGCTCCAACGGTGAAGGAAACACATTTCAAAAATTTTAATAGGACTTATCCAGGGGATTTTTTCCTCCATAGAAGATTTAAATTTGAACTGACGGCATGCGTTTTTTGCAAATCCTCCAATGAATCACTTGATCACCTATTCTTAATCTGCCCTGTGTCCAACAGGTTTTGGCTAGACATCAAGGAGCGGTTGAATCTCAAAACACATATTCTCCCAAATGTAACTTTAAAACATGGTACAGAATTTGTAGATGATGTAATATGAAATTCAAACATAACCAGATACATTGAGTTGTGAGTGTTATTGAAATCCCAACAAAGCTGTAATCCTTTTAATTATAGCAAAACATTTTAAACTGCTATAAGCAACTTTGTTGTGTAAGGAAAAAATATAAATATATTTACACTGAGTATCCAATGTCCAGGTATGAATACTGGGAGAAGAATCTACTGCAGACTGGCTGTATTGTCCTGTAAAAAGACATCAATAGCTAAATATGAAATGCTCAAACTTCGCTCAGAAAAGCAAAAACAAACTACAACCAAATTACTGTTAGGTGATCCATGTGGTTCATTGATGAGGGCGGGAACCAAGTGGAAATGACATAGCTGTTTGCAGCAAACTATTTCTCTACTCTCTGTAACAAAGTTTGTTAATCTGTTACTCTGAAAATATATTGACTGTTGAACTATAATAACCAATCCATATGAACTAAATTCACAAGAGCCATGCTACCTTCTCGGTCACTATTAGACAACAGTTCAGGGTCTAGTAAAACACATAAACACAAAATATCAAATGATTTTGAAAATATTTGATAATCAATATCACCACAGCATGTTCTTTATGCCTACCATTCCTTCAATGTCTTGCTCCAAACCCAGACTACAAAAGTCAAAGCGGGTCAAGTTGATTCTATTTACCATTGCAAGGTGCTGAGTGGGACTTTTGGTCTCATCCAAGACCTGTGACAGCTAGTGGAAGAAAACAAAATCATTACATATATGCGTGATTATATAACTGACATTCATACAACCCCAAATGTGGACCCACCACCCGCAGGAGGAACATGAAGGGTCCAGTGCAGTGTGGATCGGGTGGCATACCGAGGCGGGAGCCTTGGCGGTCCGATCCCCGGACAAGGAAACTGGTTTTTGGGACATGGAACGTCACCTCGCTGGGGGGAAGGAGCAGGAGCTTGTGGCAGAGGTTGAGCGGTACGGGCTAGATATAGTCGGACTCACCTCAACACATAGCATTGGCTCTGGAACCCAAGTCCTTGAGAGGGGTTGGACACTCTCCTTTGCTGGAGTTGCTCTGGGTGAGAGGCGGAGGGCTGGGGTTGGCTTTTTGTTTGCCCCAAGACTCTCTGCCTGTGTGTTAGGGTTTACCCTGGGGGACGAGAGGGTAGCTTCCCTGCACCTTCGAGTCGGGGAATGGGTCCTGACTGTTGTTTGTGCTTATGGGCCAAGTATAAGTTCAGAGTACCCACCCTTTTTGGAGTCCCTGGGACGAGTGCTAGATAGTGCTCCATCAGGGGACTCCATTGTCCTGCTGGGGGACGTCAATGCTCACGTGGGCGATGACAGCATGACCTGGAGGGGTGTGATTGGGAGGAACGGCCCCGCCTGAGCTGAACTCGAGTGGTGCATCGTTATTGGATTTCTGTGCAAGCCACAGTTTGGCCATAACGAACACCATGTTTGAACATAAGGATGCCCATCGGTACACTTGGTACCAGGGCAGCCTAGGTCGCAGGTCGATGATAGAATTTGTAGTCGTATCATCTGACCTGCGGCCGTATGTTTGGACACCCGAGTGAAGAGAGGAGCGGAGCTGTCAACTGATCACCACCTGGTGGTGAGTTGGATCAGATGGCAGGGGAAGATGCCGCGTAGACCTGGCAGACCCAAACGCATAGTGAGGGTCTGCTGGGAATGCCTGGCAGAAGAACCTGTCAAGACGGTCTTCAACTTCCACCTCCAGCAGAGCTTTGACCGCGTCCCGAGAGCAGTGGGGGACATTGACTCAGAGTGGGCCTTGTTCCACTCTGCGATTGTTGAGGCAGCTGTTACTAGCTGTGGTCGCAAGGTGGCCGGTGCCAGTCGTGGTGGCAACCCCCGTACCCACTGGTGGACACCAGAGGTTCGGGGAGCCGTCAGGCTGAAGAAGGAGGCCTACAGGGCGTGGCTGGTCTGTGGGTCTCCGGAGGCAGCAGACAGGTACCGGATAGCCAAGCGGGGTGCAGCAGTGGCAGTTGCTGAGGCAAAATCTCGTAAAATAAATGTAACAGCAGCGAACCGGTGAATAATCCTTTGACTCTGAGATGGGAGAGGATCCAACGATGAAGCAAGTCTGTGGGTGAGTATCCAAGCAGAAAAACGAGCTCAGGATAAAATGAGTTCCAAAATTTCAAAACAAGACGAGGTTCAAAATCACTATGAGGCTAGAGTCTACCAGGCAGTAGATAATCATCCGGCGTCGAATGAGGATAATCGTCCACCTTTTGAAGCCGGCCCGCTGATCAGTCTGATGTGGATCAGCTGCGCTCCCTCTCCTGCAGGCAAAAACTCAGAAATGATGAGATGATGGGCAGAGTACTCACCCCGGCTCATGACAGATGCACTGTCATCAGGTCCTATCTCATTTTGGATTTGGTTGTCAGGAGGCTTAATACAAAATTCATGTGAATGGCCAACATTTGATAACCACCCTTTGGCATCATCCGCAAAGTTCAAAAACACTTTTTTCCTTTTCATCAAAATATGTATTTTGTTTTTCTCTTTCATCCTGAGGTAAGTCCAGCGACATGAATGACAAATGATGTCGTTTTGCCTCATCAACACAAATTATCACTCCATCCAAAAGAGACTTGACTTTATTGATATTGTCTGCAGAATGCATCAGTTTGTCTATTTGTTTCATGTATGTTTTGGCTTGTTTAAATTTCATTGATCGTTTTTCTTGGCGTGTAATGTAGTTGCAGGTAATCTATTAGATCTAAATCTAGTCGGCAGGTTTATTAACTGAAGATTACAGACAGCTACTGTGTCACCATGGGGTTACACGTGTTTTAAAGCTGTCCTCATGTTTGTGGCTGTTGAAATTAACTTTCATTTAACACTCTGTTTCAAATCATTCAAATTACATATTAAAACATGAGAAATGTTTCTTTTCAAGCAGTAAAATACAAAAAAAACTCAGTTATTTATGAATGATTTTTATTTGCAGCCTAATCCAGAAATCTTTGTGAAATTAGGAAACAAAAATCTCAAATTACTTGAAAAAAGCATAAAAAAAGCAGCAACATGAAAAAACCTGGATGGTTAGAAAGTTTGTATTGTTCCATTGTCGGTGTCAGTTTTACTTTCAGGGTAAATTGAAGGAAGACCAGGAATGGTTGGAAAGATCAGAATTTATGATTTACATGTTTAGAATTACCACATAATTTTATATGTTAAAGAAGCTTTTCCACTTTTGCACAGTTCTTCTAACCCTTCTCTGAATATCCTGGTGAACTAGAGTATTGTTCAAATGGAGCTCTTTGTTTGAACTGCGACACACGGACAGACTATACTAATTTATCTCTGATTTAGAACGACTGAACTAATCTTAATCTGTTACAGGTTTAATGCAAAGTGGAAATCATTCCAAGAAATACGCCTCAAATGTATAAAATCTAACTTCCCAGCAGGATTTTAATGATTCTGTTATTTTCCTAGCCTAGTGAACTAGACCAAATTCTTGCTTTGCAAAGTTTGGTCTAGGCATGCTCCATTGGAACCTCCACAGCTCCTACCAGGACTCTGGCTAGCCAATCACAGCTCTCTAGAGGGGTTTCAAACACATAAAGAGCTGTGATTGGTCCATAATGGTGGGCCAATCATAGTGCTCTATCTGCTTAGTGAACAAATCACAGAGCTTTATCCGCTTTGTGGGCCAATCAGGGCACTCTATATGCCTGGTGGGTGGGATGATGCAACAGAGTGAAACAAGAGTATGTCACATTCATTGTCCAGTAGCATGCGGAGATCATTTGAAAGACAACCGTAGAACCTGCCCCACAACCGAGAGCCGTCAATGGAGCGTGGCCAGACTAAATAATAAATTTATTTAGTCTGGCTTGCCAGGCTATTATTTTCCTCCTTTAATAATGCTGCAGAGATCACAATACAAACTGTTCCAAGTATATTTAAAAGAATACAACTGCATCCACCTTTATTAGAAAACTGTCCAGAGCTCGAGGGAGGGGAGCGAGTGGACAAATGAGTCCACATTTTGGGTCCAAGTCTTCATCACACTTTGTTTCTGCTGGAATTTAAGGCAGCAGAGGGTTCTGTCTCCTACAGGATGGTTTGAGTGGAGTCGGTGGTGCTGTTGGACCTCTCACCGCTGGGTTTCTGCTCTGTGTTTGTAGAACTCCCTGCTGCTGGTTCTGCTCTGCGGGGATGGTCACCCCTCAGAGCATCTGGGGGAGGAGAAACCAGCACTCGCTCAATTTGCTCACTGGCTGTTCTGTCTGTCACAATCAGGTAGTTGGGCTCAGGGTGGTGGGCGCTGGAGCGATGCTGCAGTGCATGCTGGGTGCAGGAAAAGGAGCGCTGCCGGGGGGCGGGCTGTGGCGACAGGAAATGAGGCGTGGTGGCTCGAGGAGCGTCCTGATGCCTGTCGCGGTCCTCATCCTCTGAGGTCACCTCCTGTAAGGTGCTGATTGGTCGAGGGGAGCGGCCCATGATTCTTGGGGGAACGAGCGCAGTCGCTGATTGGTTGAGCTGTGGCCGCCAGTTCTGAGGGGAGGGGTACTGAACCTGGCCCACTGACCAATCACTGGTAAGAAAAAGATTTAACACGTGTTAGAAGTAGCTCCTTTAGTACTATTGGTGACTAGCTGGAGACAAAAATGTAAGAAAATCAGCAAATTTTCAGTTGAATTGCACTTCTGACACTCGTGGCAAGTTTAATCACGGCTGGTCTTGTGGAGCACGTGATGTCACTAGGATTTAAGGGTTCAAAAGGTGTATTTTTTCAGGCGTATGTGCAAATGGGATGTAACATGAAATGATTCATAATGTGAGGAATGCAGTGCACAAGGTAAACCGGAGCTAGTTTAAGTTGTAGTTGCAGTGCTTGATCTGTCTGCGGAGCCTCATATTCTGGGTAAAAGCTCCTCCTGAGTCTTTCAGGTCTTGCTGACAGGCTGCAGAAGCTTTCAGCAGCCGAAATAGACACGAGGCTCATAGTCAGGATGTTTTTTTTCCACAGCGGTGAAGTAAAAGTCTTTTGTGTGTTTCTTCTAACCGCATTACTTTGTTCTTTTTTGAACACAGAAAAGGGTTGTTTTACTGTTTTTTGCTGACGTTTCGACTACGACTGCAGTCTTTTTCAGAGCTTGCCGCCGTTGGCGAGCTCTGAAGATGACTGCAGGAGTAGTCAAAACGTCAAGTAACCCAGTGATGTAAAAGGTTTTGAGGATCCCCGAAGAGATCCCAAATCTCCTCAGCTGCCTCAGGTGGTAAAGCCACCGTCTTGCCTTCTTAGCCGAGTCTGTCTGTTAGGTGGACTCTGAGGCCCGCGGGCACGAGGGAGTGAGCTAGACTCATTAAAGATTCAAGTAAAGACACTACTTTGATGATTTGCGCAGCTTCCCAGGAACCGCCCAGAGATGCCATCAGAAGATTTTCTAATGATTACACGCTTCAGTCACAGTTGCAAACTATCTATGTTGGGATTTATTCAGAAATTACCATCTTATCCTTCCAAATTGATCCTTTCCAAAGTTGTTTAGCATTTTTTGCACTTCTGACTTGTGGAAACTAAATTGGGAGAAGTTTGAGATGGGCTGTGAGGCCCTGCATCTCACACTGAATGTTTGGAGACATCTAGGAGACTCCCTCACTAATGTTGTAATGTGAAGTCTCACAGCCCACTGATTTTCTCCGTGAATCTCCAAACTGAGCTCCCTCTGATGCAGCTTAGATACCGACAGTCCCACCTTAAAAGATCCAGCTGATCAGAGATCTGTCATAACTTAGGTGCTTAGTTTAAGATGTCCTCTCTGAGTTTCTGAAACCTTACTTTTGTGCTTGTGGGGTCATGTCTCTGTGACCAATGATCCCAGAGAAGGAGGCGCTTCTTCCAGGCAGGCCCTGTGGTCCGACCCATGGAGAGTAGATCAGAGCGTGCTCCTCCCACATCACATCGCTGGCCGGGCTGACGGGGACCGGCGCCCTCTGCATCTGGTGAGCCAGGAGGAGCTCCAGGACCTGGTGGTGCATAGCCTCTCTGGCCACGTCAGTTGGACGACGACCTCTTCGGTCGTGCAGCTCCAGATTGGCACCGTGAAGAAGGAGAAGCCTGGCTGTGTCGTAGCAGCCGTGGAGGGCAGAGATGAAGAGTGCCGTCTCACCCTAACAGGAAATTAATTCAGAGGTGAGAAAACTATAAAACTTCTCCATATTTAGATTTCAATTTTCTTTTTCAGGAACTAAAATAGGAGCTACCCAGCAGCAGATTGAGGATTAAATGTGATCTCTGAATAATATTCAGAAACAGCAAGTACCTTATTGTCCTGAAGGTCCACCGCGGCCCCGTAGCGTATGAGGGTCCTGGCCAGGGAGAGGTGGTTCACTGAGCATGCCCAGTGCAGGGCTGATCTCCCTGAGAGAGACAGTGTGAATGAAAGGGACAGTGAGGGGGGAAGAAGGGAGGGAGTAAGTCAGCCAGTGAACAACCATTACACAACAGAGTCGAGCTCAGATGATGAAGAGACGGGAGATGAGGAGGAGGAACGCCTCGGCTGAAGTGGGGCGGGGATGATGGGAAAGAAAATAAAGACTGAAGGAGAGGAACTCGGAAGTTTTGCAGAAAGCTGAAGCAAGGAGGAGGATGAGACACAAAGCTAATATGTCCATGGACCCGAGGACATTAACTTTGTTCTGAGTCAGAGGAGGACAGCAGGGGAGCTGGAGGAGACAGAGGAGAAACACAAAGAGAGGACGTGAGAGAGATGGGGTAAGTTACAGATCACGCTGCCCCCTTCAGTTTGAAGTTCAGAAAAAAAGATAATTTTCTCATCAGCTTTTTTAAAATTCATTAGAAACGTCTCTGTAACATTTTCAGCACACAACCAAATTAAAATGTGATGAATAAATAAAATGAGTTGAGGAACAAACTTGAGACCATATTTAATTATGATCTGCAGGAACCTTCTCCATCAGAGCCAAAATAGCACTGCTGCTGTAAACTCCTTAGAGACGAAGGCAAGCAGCTCGCCAGAGACATGTTAAATCAGAGCCTGCAGGAAACAGAAGCCTACCAGTGTGATCTGTGTTGTTTACGGGGACTCCGGCTTGGAGCAGCTCCAAGACCACCCTGTCCAGTCCGCTACGCACAGCTCGGATCAGAACCACAGACCCATCTGGACCACACCACTCTGCCGACTGTCCACGTGACACATACAAACACATAAAGCATATCCACGACACACATAAATTACCTTCTGTTTCAGGTTTCAAATAATAACAGATGCTTCTAAACATAAGGATGAACATTTTTAAACAAAAATAAAATAAACAGAAGACCTGCTGAGGAGGGCTGAGTAGAGGAGGAGGCATGACGTTCCTCTCCCATCCTCTAGATGGAGCTAAAAAAAAACAAAAAACATTTCAGAATGGGTGTGTGTGTGTGTGTGTGTGTGTGTGTGTGTGTGTGTGCGCGTGTGTGTGCAAGGTGATTTTATTTTATTGAGCAAAAAAAGCTGGTGCGTTATGGTTGTGCACAACCCTCTTTAGGGCATGAAGAAGATGGTTTGAGAGAGGAGTTCAGGAAGCTATCTATGCCAAGTGGGAAAACCTGATTTAAATAGAGGGGGAGGTCTCAGGTTTGACCTTTCCAGCACCTATAATGCAGCTCTGCATCTAATCCCCAAACATTTTCAGTCTAGGCCACAACCTCCTGCATCTAATCAATATGATTCCCTTACAATAGAGATTAACGACCTCGATGACTTGTCAGGAGGTAGGGAGGAGGGTTATGCATAAGTAGTTTCTACTCATTAAGCAACAATAGACAGCTACAGTTTATAAGGTCAGAATTGACAAAAACTCCTCGGATGAGAATTGAAATGTCGTTAAGAAACCAAAGTAGTCCAGTTGCCTTCATTTGAAGCCCTTTGGACATGACCTGGATGACTGAGAACCTTCACCAGCCAAAGATACTCCTCCTACGTTTTTTCCCTACATTGACGGTAATAAGCTTCCGTAGACCTGTCAGTGAAAGTTAAAGGGTTAATTAAAAATCATAATGGACTCCGTTTCATTACGCTGTATAGGTCTGCAGTTCTGGGAGGCTCCAGGCCGAAAGTGTCTCTGCTCCGGGCTTCTGTGGTCACAGATGGACGGGTCCTCCTGTCTCCTGGAATAATTCATGCTGATGTCCTCCATTGAGCTTTGGGTGAAGTCTGTGTCACTACCCACTTCCTGGTCCCTTTTGAGAGGCCTGAAACCCAAAATATGCATTTATTTCAGCAACATTCGGCAAAAACAATGGTCTCTAATGACAAAAATCTATTTATCTAAATGAACATACAGTCATGAGTGCTGCAGCCCAGCACATAAGACCACAGTATTGCCATGTTGGATTTAGGCTTTTTAAAGTAAGCACGATAGTAGTTTTAGTCCTGGATCAAGGAGATGAGCAGCTGTGAAATGTTATATTTTTGTACCTTTGTCATTCGTCTTTAGAAGAACATTAACTTAAATCCTACCTCTGTAACTTTATAAGCTGCCACCAATGTGCAGCCAAAACATTTCTATCAATACTTTAGAGCAGTCCAGTTTAGGGCCCTCATTCATCAACTACTTATGGACATGTCTGTACAGATTTCTTTTATAGGAACAATTTTAAACATTATGTGATATTTACCATCTTGTACGTTTTGTGTAGAAATGTGTCTAATTATAAGAACAGCTCTGACCATGCGTAAGAACAGCATCAAAACTGCAATACTGAAGATCTCAGTCATCCACACGTGTTCCTCATCCACAAATTATATTTAGCAAGTAAGTAATTATGCCAATGGAGAAACTGCTTAATCCCATAACAGATGTTGGAACTTATAGAAGACACCTGTGGCTGATGGGAATTTGATCACTGATCTTGTGTTATTGGAGGATTTGGTAGAGTGTGTACTCAAGACATGTCTTCTGAGAGCGCACTGGTCTGATTCCTGAAGGAGAGCCTCCGGGAGTGAAGCTGTAATTTGGGACCCAATGTGGATCGACAAATCCAACTCCAGTCTCTATTCAATTAGGATTTTTGCCACCAAGACCTTCCAGCATGAGATAGCAAACAACGGGCAGCAGCCATCACTGAGTTGCATCATTCTATTATGAGTACTGTAACATGTTACGGGTGAAGAATCAGGTCATTTGTAAATGACTGGGAACAGACACACGCACAAGTACGCACAAGTGGGATTTATCAGCCGTCGATTGCGGAGGAACTTGCATACGAGTGGCCACCGCACATTTCACAAATCAGGATGTTGTTCTTTTGTATGAACATTCTTAGTTTCTACGAATGTTTGAAGGGCACTCGTGTCTTAGTTTTTTTCCCTGCTTCACAAGAAGAAGAAGAAAAGAAGAAAGTATCATTTCTATAGCGCCTCTCAAGATAAAAATCATGAGGAACTTCACAAAAACAAAAAATGTAAAAATATAAAAAAGCATTTAGAAAATGTTTAAAAATATATTTAAAATGAGCAAAAATAGACAATTGTGATTAAAAAAATGTTAAGAAAGAGAGAGTGAACAAGAAAGAGGGAAATCAGTGGATCCTGAGGAAGGTGGAAGAGCAGAATAAAGAGAGAGTGGTGGAGAAGGTCATACAAAAGCTAGATTGAACAAGTGAGTCTTCAGCTGCTTTTTAAAGGAGACCACTGAGTTCACAACTGACTAGTTGAATCACCTGTTCAGCAGGTCTTTAGGTTCAGAAGAGTGGATTCAAATCAGGGTCCTCATTTATCGAATGTTTGTAGAAAATGTCCAGTATTCCTTCCTACGAACGAAATTTTGTTCGTACAAAAGGTCAAAGTTCTGATTTACGAAACATGCGTAAAATTCTTCCAATACATGAAATACGCACACATCTGTGCATAAGTATGGTTGATGAAGGAGGACCCTGGTGTGTTGGTGAGAAAACATCTGAAACATGCAGGATAATGCACACCACTATAGATCCTCAGGTTATTAATGGGCAACCAAGAACCCATAGTTGGTTGTTTGTTTAAAATTTAAAACATTTTATCTTAGTCACATGAAAAAAAAATTGTCTGAAATTGTTTTATTTTGTACTCCGGACTTTACCTAATTAACACCAAAAGTTTGAAAAAAGCTCCTGGTATTGGTTCACATTGAACTATAGAGTCATCTTGGTTTTTTTTCTTCATGTTCAAAGAGATTAAACATTAAACTCTATTAAGAAAATAAAACATTAAAGCAAGTGTGGACTGGTAAATTAGTCTGTTTCACACGACCATCCCACCAACCTGTTTGGCTGCATCTTTAGCTAGCTCTTTTGTTTCTTTATATCAGGCATGTCCATAGTGCGGCCCGGGGGCCATTTCTGGCCGTCCCAGCAATTATGTGCGACCCACACTTGAATTTTTAGAATGATGAATTTTGTCTCTTCAGGAAGCTGTTGATATATAGATCATGTTTATGTTTCCATTTGTACTTATAAGCCTATTTTTGATTTATTTTGAAGGGTACAAATAAAAAAAATTACTGTAAAAAATATTTGCATTTTTGTCATTGAGAAAATCACGTTATTAAGTTCAAACATGACAATTTTGGCCCTCGTCTTGAAAAGTTTGGACGTCCCTGCTTTCTATAATGATTTCACGCTATCAGACCTTTGAATGACTTCAAAATGAGTCAAGATTCAGTTAATTATACTTCCTTCTCAATTAACCAAAAAAAAAACGTATTTAAAGTAGATCAAAAGGGAACCTATTATAGAGTATATTTCGTCATATAAGAGAGGATTTGCAGGTTTAAATTTAAAAGAAGCGATGTTCCAGAAGTGAATTTCTATAGAACAAAATTAACTGAACCAGGAGACGAGGATATATTTTGACTGTGGAGATTGCAGGAAAAGTGAGATCATTAATCCAGTAGCCACAACATCCTGCTAGAACAGCTCCAGTAACCTCATTCGGATGGCGTCCTCGCCCAGCGGCTCCCTCCTTCTCTTCTTCTCAGCTTCCTTTGCCTTCTTCTTCTTCCTCAGGCTGATTTTATCTTTCTCTCTGCTGGATTTGACTCGTTCCTGGTGCGCTGTGTGCTGCATCCAGGCCTTCTCTTTGCTGTCCTCGTCCTCTGTGACTTTAGGCCGATGTCTGACCCTGACGCTGCTGTTGCCATTGCTCTCCGCTCGCTGTGACCTCACCTTCCTCATTACCAAGAGAGCCACCAGCGGCAGCACAAGCAGGAGGCCAATCGCTATGGCAATGACGGCCCAGATCCACGCAGGGGTCGGCTCTTTAAATAAAACAATATAAAAATTAGAAATTAAACAACTGAAGTATTTTACTTTTTTATAATCACAATAACAAATGTGAGGAAAACACTGCAAATAATTGAAAAATAAGATTTTTATTCAAATACTCTCATAATTTTTCTGGGAACGTGCACACTTCTCTATTTCTGACATTAAAAAATGTTAAAAGTCTTGTAAAAATGCACAATAGATGAACACACTGGAAACACAAAGTTATCTCAGTGTTTAGTTTGGATGGGATTTTAACGCTGGATGTGTGTGAAGAAACCAGAAATGACAGCGCCTACCTCTGACTTCCATTTCCTCCTCTCTGCTTCCTATTTCCTCTCGGACCCCTCTGATGCTGATGATGGCCTTAAGCTCTGGGAAGGTTGGGAACGTGGAGGGCTTCAGCAGCATCACTGCGCGTAGGAAACTGGCCGCCTCGGTAGCGTAAGGAAAACAGGTTAAAGATGAGCGGGAGCATGGCCTATTGTCCACTTGGAGGAAAAGAAGGAATCTAAGAGAGACAGATTGAACTGGTCATTTCATTTTCATTATTATTTTCTTCTTCATTATTAACTTTCCCTTGTGTCAGGATTTCATAGATCAATGAACTTTTTGGTTTGAGCATTGCTGCATGGGTCTAGAACAGGGGTGTCAAACTCATTTTAGCTCAGGGGCCACATTGAGGGAAATCTAGTCCCAAGTAGGCCGGGCCGGTAAATTAAAAACAACTTCAGATTGTTTTCTTTGTTTTAATACAATCAATATAAAACAAGGCTGGAGCCTGAGGACAGTGTATCCAAAACAGTACAAGTACAACACCTGAAGTGTACTTGCAAATTTGAAAAAAATAAAAAACTCAATAAATAACAAAACATTCCTTAGTGATTCAAAGAGCTTACAGATCACATGGCTAGATCAGTTTCATGCAGCACTTAAAGTATATTTGACTCATTTTACATTACATCTTTTAGCTTTCACCAGCACATCAATATCAGAAGTCACATCCTGGGTGGCGGCCAACTTCAGGATGTGATTCAAGTTCTTGTGTGAGCCTTGAGCGCAGCTTTGTTTTATTTATACTCATTACAGAGAAAACTTGCTCACAAAGATAAGTGTATTTTCACTCTACATTGTAAAGTATGAAAATAAAGTTTACACAGCCATCTCGCGGGCCGGATTTAACCTGCTTGCGAGCCGGATGCAGCCCGCGGGCCGCATATTTGACACCCCTGGTCTAGAATGTCTTTTAGATTATTGTCAGCTGCAGCTGAATGAGTCTTGTCTTCTAAAACTCATATGATTAAAGTCTGACTTCTCTGTTGTGATGGAGCCGATGGTTGGAGCTCAGCAGCCTGAAGTTTTAGTAAAGTTTTTAAGAGATGTCTTTATGGTGGGTTAACCGGGGTTAAATAGTCAACCCAGTTAATCCTTGCAACCCTATTTATAATGCAGAGTGATGATGTATCCATACACACATCCGCCCTAGATCTTCCCTTAAGCAGCAGGTCTACTCCAAGCCCCTCCCGGATGATCAAGCTTCTCACCCTATCTCTAAGGGAGAGCCCAGCCACCCTGCGGAGAAAACTCATTTTGGTTGCTTGTATCCATGATGTCGTTCTTTCGGTCACTACCCAAAGCTCGTCACCATAGCTGAGGGTTAAGGTAGATCAAACAGTAAACCGAGAGCTTCACCTTCCAGCTCAGCTCTCTCTTCACCACGACAGATCAGTCCAACACCCACATCACTGCAGACACAGCACCAATCTGCTCATCAATCTCTGGCTCCATTTGTTTTTTCTACATTCGTGAATTAGACCCCAAGATACTTCCACTTGGGGCAGGACTTCCTCCCTGATCTGGAGGAAGCATACTATACCCTTTTCTGACTCAAGAACATGATCTCAGATTTAGAGGACCTGATTCTTATTTCAGCTGCTTCACACTTAACTGTAAACTGCCCCAGCAAAATCCGGAGATCACAGTCTGAGGACTCCAACAGAACCACATCATCTGCAAATAGCAGATCCTCTCACCACCTAAGCTGAGTCTATAAATCCTGTCCGTAAAAGTCACGAACAGAATCAGCAACAAAGGGCAGCCTTGGTGAAGTCCAACTCTCACCGGAAGTAAGCCCGACTTGTTGCCAGCAATGCAGACCGAGCTCTGACACCGGTCATACAGGGACCTAACAGCCCGAATAAGAGGGCCTGGTTCCCCATACTCCCTGAGTTACCCCACAGGAAACCCTGAGGAACACAGCTGAACATCTTCTCTAAATCCAGAAAACACACGTGGATTGGTTGGGCAAACTCTCATGCACCTTCCATGACCCCCAGAAGGGTACAGAGCAGGTCCAGTGTTCCACAGCCAGGACAAACACCACATTGCTCCTCCTAAATCTGAAGACAGACAATCCGATGGACTCTCTTCTCCAGAACTCCTGAATAGGCTTTACCAGGGAGGCTCAGGAGTTTGATTCCCCTGTAGTTGGAACTACACATAATTTGAACAAAAGGACAAACATGGAGACGTTTTTGCTTTGACTGGTGCAAGTGGACGAGAATATGCGTACTTGACTACTCAGCTTAAGCAAAAGTTGAACATTGGTCTTTTGCAATCCTGAGTTGTGAGATGCCCTCTGCTGTCACCATTTTTGGTTTCTAAATTAGATTGAATGGAGGTGGTGGGGGTCAAGTTTTACACTCATTTTTAGAATATATGGTCACTAGACCTAATTAATATAAAGTTCTACCCTTCAGTAAAAATAAACAGAAGTCATGAAGGAATCCGAGCTGCTATATGAAAATGCCATTGACACCAGCCTATTATTAAGATCCCCTAAAGCATGAAGCAAAGGAAGATAAGCTGTACGTAAATTATGAATAAGTGGTGCATGTTGAGATCCTTCTTTTCCCAATCATGCCTCCAGTGGATTTTAGACATAAAACCATAACAGAAATTATAAATACTGATGTTGCAGATCTTTGGTTTACAACAAAAGCATTTAACCGTTCTATTTACTACCCACCCATTGGAGTCAGATTGGGAGGGGTGTGCAAGCAGCTCAGCAAGCTCCTTAGGGTCAAGGTCAAACAGGTTGATACTTGCAGCGAGAGACAGGGAGCCTCTGAGTGTGAGCGGCGTCTGAAGGAGGCTGCTGAGTGTCCAAAGTAGAGGGCTGATGGAGAAGCTGGCATTTTGTTTTGGGATTTTAGTGTGAAGGAGCAGGGTGCCTTTAGCCCACAGAGGGCTCTGGCCTTTGAAACAATCACTGCCGTCCCATCCACAGGCGGCATTGTTGCATCCTTGATCGCAGCGACCGCTGGCGTAATAAGCACGGCAGTACTCGGTGTGGCCAGGACTGAAGGTTACAGAGAGAGTGAGAGACACAATTAGTGATGAACATGCATACTATAGTAGTATTGATATAGGAGGTCAAGAATAAACTCGACTGGCTTGTCAGAAAAAAAATTTTTTTAAATGTAAATAGGAGCAACATAATCATTGTAATCACAGTCGGTTGTACGTCGCATTCAGGTGAATGTTAAGGTACTTAAAGAGCAAGTCACCCCTTACAAGAAGCGTACTTCACTCCCACTTCATGTTTGAAAAATGCAACAAATGCTGTTGCCTAGCAGACCGAGAGGGTGGAGCCACTAACAAATACACACACTCACGACATTGTGACATCATAATGTACCAGTTTACATCATAGCATACCTCTTAGCCAATAGCGGTGGCAGATTTAAATTCAAATGCAGTGAAGAGTTTTTACCTGACAACGGCACAACATTGACAGTTTCAGGCAGAAATTTTAAATTTTAACAAAAATGCACTAAAGTGCAAAACTATTGACTACACGTGTCTGCAGCATGATTAGACACGCATTTATATAGTTTATCAGAAAAATATAGTTGATTTGGGGATGACTTGCTCTTTAATTAGAGAAAAGCAATTTCTGGCCTTATAGTGGGATGAAAAGGTTTGGGCAGCATTGTTAATCTTCATGATTTTCTTGTATAAATCTGTGGTTGTTATGATAAAAGAAATCAATATATATCATATAGGAGACGCACACAGTGATATTTGAGAAGTAAAACAAAGTTTATAGGATGTACAGAAAGTGTGCAGCTACAAAGGTGATCAATGACATACTGTAGTTGTTGCTCTGGATAAAAGCAGTACTGTGCTTCACTTTTTATTGTACTGTCAAAAGCCTTTGCCACTGCAGACCATGCTGTCTTAAAACAAAAGCTTTTTTGATTGGGATTGTCTGAACATGTGATCTCATGGTTCACAGTCTACTTGAAGGACAGAACTCAATGCGTTAAATGTGATGGGTTGTCTGAATTTTTGAAAGTCCACAAGGGAGTACCACAGGGTTCAGTTTTGGGATCCCTCTTGTTCATTATGTATATTAATGACATAGGACACAATGTGTTGGATGCTAATATGCACTTTTACGCTGATGACACAATCATTCACTGTTTTGGAACATCTCCCACCAAAGCTGTTGAATTCTTACAGAAAGCATTTAATGATATCCAACAAACACTTCTGCAGTTAAAATTGGTCCTCAGTGCAGACAATACTAAGCTAATGTTGTTTTCAAACTCTAAAGAAAGACCTCTAAGTATGCCCTCAGTGACCACTCTTGGGGGAAATATCACTGAAGTGGTCCACTCATACAAATACCTTGGTGTCTGGCTTGATGACTCCCTCTCCTTTAAGCCCCAAAATCTTGTGAAAAAACTCAAACTCAGACTGGGTTTCTTTTTTCAAAATAAACAGTTTTTCTTTTGAGGCAAAATTTTTTGTCTATTCTGGATTGTGGAGAACGTTTGTATATGAATGTCTCAGCAGAGTGTCTTCGTAAGTTTGATGATGTTTATCATGCCTCACTGAGGTTTTTACTAACTGTAGACCACTGCCCCATCATTGTGAAATGCATTCTTGAGATGGCCTTCTTTGTCCACCAAGAGGTTGGGACATTGGTACAACTTTCATTTATAAGGCTATGAAAAAGGCCTTGAAAATGAGGCTTTGTTCTAAATGGGACCTTCCTGGTTAAATAAAGAATAAATTTAAAAAAATTTACTGAAATTTTTAATCGTAAAAAACAATGATTATACAGGAAAATCATGAAGATTAACAAGGCTGCCCAAACTTTCACATCTCACTGTATATGTAGATTATATTTATTTATAGAAAATATCAAGGTTTAAATGTTATAAGTTCAAAAAAGAGGCCAAAATGAGAGACAATAGAATTGAATTTTACACCTAATTCTTATTTATAAAGGCCAAAATGCAGATGTTCTTCGCTCAGTTTGACTTTGAACCATTGCAGCATCTTATTCCTTTTAAGCTGTTCTGTTGTAGATTTGCTGCTGATCATTGTTCTGTTTCATGAACCAGTTTGGTCCAACCTTCAGTTGACGGCGCTCAGGGTTGACTCTAGAACATTTTGGTCTACAGCCGTTTGTGTTCCTATGCTGTGTTTGGTTTTATCCAAATATCCTGTGTGTATTGTAAACACCTCCCTATTGGTCTGTCCAAAGGCCTTTGTTCCATAAATCTAGATATTCATTCAGATGAAAAAAATTTACGTAAATTGTTCTTCCATCAAGTTTTAACCCTCCCACTGTCCTAATGGGTGTTACCCCACGAGGAAAGTTGACCATTGAGCAGAGTTGATGGTTTATCCCTTGGGTCCATGTGGCAGGGGTGAGGAGTGAGCACCACCTCACCCCTGCCACATGGACCTCAAGGGATAAACCATCAATCCTGCTCAATGGTCAACTTTCCTCACGGGGTCACCCATTAGGGAGGGTTAAAGGAGAAGGAACTTCATCCTGCAACCCCCCAGAAGAACCTTAGCCTACTTGTTGTTATTCTCAGCCTTGTCGTGTCATTAACCTGCTAACTGAGGCTGGTAGAGTCTGAAGTAGCACTTTGGGGGTTTGTAATTTCTTTGAGCACTGAACTTTGACCTCAGGGTGAACTTGTCTGTATGTTCAGTCCTATTCTAAATGTTTGCTAATATGAAATGGTTTGTAAGTGACTTTTGACCACCCCAGACCAATGGGGCAGCAACAGTTGCTTTTCTTAGATCAGTCCTATGGCAAGGTGTTTACACACACCTGCATACTCCAGACCTGAAACAATTTGTAGGGGAGCTCACACTAATAAGGATCAGTTAACCTAACTAAGAGTAGATTACACTGATTTAGTTTTTTTTTTGATTTGTGATATTTTAATATGTGGTGAGGCTTTGATTTTTTTTTATCTTAATGTCCCTGAAGTGGAAAGACGTGAAATTGCTTTTCCACATCTACGCTGATAGAAAGTAAATATGAACACAAAAACAATTTCTAAACGTTGGATCAATGGAACCAGTGTTTTACTTGCAGTGGCCCCGGTCCTTCAGGCAGTCAAAACCATCTCGAAGACACTCGGGGTCCAAGCAGTCTCTGTCACAGGACCCGTCTCCAAACTTGTCCTTACATTTTCGGCTTGCTGAACACTGGCCCCATGGGTCAGAAGGAGCAGCTGTGGAGGTATATGTATATGTGGAGTGAATAAAACTAGCATGCTGATGGCACTGGTCCAACTGGTCCCACAATTTATTTAGTTTTATCAAAGAGACCAAAAAGACTTTTAAAGTGGAACAATAGATGGCCCACAGTGGGTGTCTGTGATTAAACCAAATGTGTGCATACCTTTAACCTCAAAACTCACTTTTGTAAGTTTGAAGCACTTCGCCAACCAGGATAGTGCCTCAGGTAAGAACCCCTCCCTGGTCCCATATATGCACCAAACCAGAGCCTCTGACCTGATTATTGGGAATGTGTTTTTGTTCACTTTAGCTGACATTAAACACACTTTGAAACCACAGAACCAGCTCTCACACACACTCAGTCCCAGTCATTGTTTCAGACCTTCAGCAGCTATTCATCACAACGCAGGTCGGGCCGTGAAAGGTGGGTCCCGGACTCCCGATACGACCCGCTAAAGGGGACAGGAAATAGGCCCGACATAAACAGGAAGTTTCCAGAAAGAGACAAAAAGCCAAAGGAAACTGAGGAAACGGAGTGGGTCGGGAACTCGATAAAGGTCGAAGGTCGTCACTGAGGCGATGAGGAATGTGATGGAGCTGGACAATGGGTTTGGCAGGTGTTAACGAGACCGTAAAACTAACAGAGGAGAATGCTGACAATAGAGCTGAAATTAGACGTGTTTTATACTTCTCACTTACTTAATCCCACATTCAAGGATTTGAAATTCTAATCTCCTCACTTTCACAGAATTTTAAGAAAAAAGAAACACAACTTTATCAGTGGCTTATTTCGGATAAATTTACCCAAGTCCTGAAAGCATAAGAATTAGGTCCTAAAATGATCAAATAATGTGCTAGGAGATTTTGTTTGACATTTTTAATGAGTTAATGCTACTTTTGTCATTCAGGAATCAAAGTCTTAATGTTAACAGATTTATTATGAATTTGATGATAAGCTCACCTTGACAGCTTAGTCCCAGCAGAACAAACGTCCCGAGAGCCAGCATGTTCAGTGTCCTACTTTCTGCTCAGAGCCAGAAACCTTCTTCTGAGGTTCCAGAAAGTTCAGCTGAAACTTACAGCATTACACGAGGGATCCGCTGCTCAGCCTGGACCGTTGGCTCTGACTGGGTGAAGTCATCAAACTACCTCACCGCCAACGCCATCCAGGACGAGCGCCCTGCCCACTCCTGTTCACTTGCTCCTTTTCTTTTCTGAGGCGCTGCGGATATCTGGACAACTTCCTGCCACTGTGTGGAGAACAATAGGAAAGGCGATAACTTCTGTGTGTGTGTGTGTGTGTGTGTGTGTGTGTGTGTGTGTGTGTGTGTGTGTGTGTGTGTGTGTGTGTGTGTGTGTGTGTGTGTGTGTGTGTGTGTGTGTGTGTGTGTGTGTGTGTGTGTGTGTGTGTGTGTGTGTGTGTGTATTTAGACTACAAAGACTTGAGGGCCTCCTAGGAGAGCTGTATGTTAAAAAAAGACTGATAGTGGTTTGAATTTGAATTTTTGAAAACATTGAAACTTATTACTTTTCCATATGTTTAATTTAACACTACATGAACAGGTGAGTATAAATATTTATTTCAATCATTTAAAGGTGCAAGAAGTAAGAATGACACCCTGTGGTCATATTTGGGTACTGCAGCACTTCAAAAAGTTGACTACTGGTTTCTAATTCACCATTAGAACTGTTATCTCAACATTACCTGATATTTCAGTGAAACAAAAAGAATGCCGTAGCTTCTTACTGCTAATCCACACCAGGAGCGTCTACAGCAGGGGCACAGTTCTGCTTCAAATAGTACTATTAAAGCATACTACTGAGTGGCATTTGAGTATTTGTACAATGTTAAGGTAAAAACGTTAGCTGTGAAAACATGTATGTTATCCGTTAGCAGCACCGCTGCAGGTATGGGGGATGGTTTTAACATGCAAATTCTCAGAGTATTATCAAAACATGACAGACTTCACATGTAATGGATATAAAAGTAAAATCAAGGATTCAGCAGGTATGTCTATACAGTTTGTGGTTTGCAAAAAAGTCCTTGTTAAAGGCACAAAAAAAAGGAAGGCGGCTGAAAACGTTTGGGAAATATTAAAGAGTAAAAAAATCTGCATAAATAACAGAATTATTAAAATCCCGCTGGAACACAAAGTAAAGACCGATTTTTATACATTTGAGGCAGATTTCTTGGAATAATTTCTACGTCGCATTAAACCTGTAACACAGCTGAACACTTACTTTCAAACTGATAATTCAGTCAAATCTGTCTGTGTGTCACAGTTTAAACAAAGAGCTCCATATGAAAATACTTTAGTTCAGCAGGATATTCAGAAAAAGTGCAGATGTAGCTCTGTGTGCAGAAGTGGAAAAGCTTCATAAAAGATCTAAAATGTAAATAATTGTGAACCTTTAAATCATATATCCCCTCATATATCTAATCTTTACAACTGTAAGGTTATGAAGTTCATTATTTTCAGCTCCACACAGCTGCCCCTGTGCACAGTAACACCCGTGTAGAAAACGCCAAGGTCGGGTGTTCCTCAGACTGTTTACATTCCAGGAGAAGAGCCAGAAGGAGAAGAAGAACGCTTTTCAATAATCAAAGTACTTAATTTGTGATTAAAGCTATTCGAAACAGATGTTGATCAATAATAATCAAGTGAATGATCTGTGGAATAAAGATGTCATGATTTATGTGTTTAATGAAAACAGGACTACTGCACAGACAGACTGACCCTCATCTCCATAGAAACACATGACACATTGTTCCAACCAATCAGAGCTTTCGGCTGCCGCAGGAGAATCTGGCTTGTTGACTTAAAGTGTCCAATACGCTTTACTAAAACTTATCAACAATTCAGAGATATAAAACAAGGCAACGCCATTTTAAGTTCAGTTCCATTTTGACTTCAGTTCTAGTCACCGTCATCCCAAAGAGAAGCACAGACTGGCCAGATGTGTTTTCTTCTTTAAACTAAGAACTGTGAAGTTGGAGATTTTCGTCGTTTAACAACCAGACGACATCCTTTCAAAATAAGAGCACCTGCTGACGCTGCCGATTGGTACCGGGGTCTACCCTTCAGACGGGCTTTGACGTGCTGCGACCGCTGCTTCGAACAGCTCCAGTACACATCCGAGGTTCTTGGACCTGGCATTTCCTGATCTACCTGGGAGGCCCCCCACTGGGTACGTACACGGCAAAATAGCAGCTCATGTCATCACTTTATAAGCCTCGTGATATCTAGTCATAACAAAGACTACCAGATTCAATGACGTCAGCCTAAGGAGTCTGAACCAACCACACACCCACACACACACGCACCAACACAACATCCAAATCCATTTTCATCCATCACAGAGTTAGTCCTGGTAGATTGTTAAGAATTTATAATTAAGAAATTAAAGATTCTCAAACGATCCCAACTCTCTCTCTTTTCTTGTCTCAAAGTCAATACAGAGTGTTTAATTAAACTCCCTGATGATAAAAACAGCCCATCTTCTGATTATAACAAGTGATCTACTTACAGTGTATTAAAATACAACTCTAGATAGTTACTTCACTCTATTTCGTTACACAACCTTTCCTGGTCTTCCTTTATTTACCCTGACAGTAATTAGTACTGACATTGCCAAAAGAACACTTCTACAAGCTCAAGTTCATATTCTTCTCTTAGGGAGACCTTCTTCCCATTCCTCCTGGCTTCTTGCACTGTAGGCCAAAGCTTAGCACGAGCCTCATGCAAAATCCTCCTTAAACTGGATGTTAATCTCTCTGCACACTCTTGCTTCTCTTGATCTTCTCCATGCTTTGTCCCTTCACAAAGCAAGCTGGATGATTACAGGTCTGGGCATCTTGTTGGTAGCTGCATCGTTTTTCTTCACCCCTGACACTGGGATTACTCTAGTGAGGATGCTGATCACAGTCTCTATAGGGATGTGTAAAGCCTGGGGCACATCAGAGGTGGATGCACTGTGCGCCCGCGTCATCATTTTGAATAGAAGCCATTATAGTTAATGAGAATGGGCACACGGGGAACACCGAGCCACGTCCCAGAAGCGCTGCGCCGACGCGCTGAAGATAGGCGCCAGTTCTATCTCAAGCGCCAAAGCGTTGTTTACAACATTGTGAAGTTGTTTACAACAGACAGTATGACGCGGAACGGCTTTACGGCACAAACCCAGCCGCAGTTTTGATAACTTTATATTACTATTAATCTTAAAACATTATAGTAAATAATGTACTTTCCCACTGTTAATGAGTTAGAGTCTCACAAAACACGACGGCAAGTCTGATCATGTACAAACAAAAGAGTCACTTCACGCTTCCTGTTCTCAAGTCCTGCGTGATGTTGTGACTATCACATGACTTTCTAAAAAGCGCTCAACGCCACACCGTGTCCTGTGTGACCACTTGACTTCTCAAAACTGCAGGCACAACACTGCACGTCCGTCTCCCATGTGCCCCAGGCTCAGTTCTGGCGATACGATACGTATCACACCACAGGGTAGACGATACAATATGTTGCGATACAATCAACCAGACGATGGTGATTTTTTTATACTGGATTTATTGTAGAAAAATTCAATAAACAGTCCAAAGTGATGTGTAACATGTTAAACATGAGGTATCGGAACCATAATAGAGGGATTTACAAAACCCATTGCACACTGCTGCCAGCTATTGGTCGGCATTTGAATTGCACCAACAAAAAAAAAAAGAAAATACACAAAAGTTTGCTTGTAAATTCTTAGAAAAATATACACGACTTTTGAATATCGATATAATGTCGCAGGAAAAAACATTTCGATAAATTGCCATATCGATATTTTCTTACATCCCTAGTCTCTCTTGTATCCTTGTATCAGTGGAAGATCCCATCTTCTATTGTACCTACCTGGCTTGCTCCATACACAGCTGCTTCAGTGATGCATTTCTTTTTCCTTTTTTTTTCAGTAACAACATCAATAGTCTCTTGTTATCTGAATTTTCAGACACTTGTTGGATCGTGAATCTGTTTAAAAACTTTGCTCTATGTGCCTTTTTTTTTTTTTTTTTTACTTTGAGCACCCAGCCCTTGAAAAGTATCTGCATGGCCCTGGTTGGATCAGAGCACAAAAGTTCAGAAAAGGGTGTCATGTTCTGTGTCCCTTTGTTCCCCAGCCCCTCCAGTTCCCACTCCAGGTTCTCCTTTTGTGTTTCATAGCGCCCTCATGTGTCCTTTGTCTGCATCTCATTTATGTGTCTCCTGTGTTCCTTTAGTCTTCTCCAGTCACCCCTCTGCAGCCAGTCATCCCTCTGCAGTGTTTATAGTTTCAGCTTTTCATTTTTTAGTCTCTTTAATATGTTTTGTCCCACCGGTTTTTGTAGTTCTCCTTCCCTTTAGAATTTTAGTTATATGGTTGCTTTTCTGTTTTTAGGTTCACTCTAAGGTCATGTTAGTTTCTTCCCTGATTAGTCATTGCTTTCACCTGGTCCTCCCCCACACTCCACACACCTGCAGCTCATCTGCCTCCCATTATGCCCCAGTGTATTTAAGCCCTGTCTTGTCTCTGTGTCTTGTCGATCCATTGTTGCTGTTTGTGGTAATTCTGTCAGTCTCTCGTTCCTAGTCTCTAGTGTTTCTCGTGTCTCAGTTGGATCTCTAGTTTATTTTGGATTTTGGACATTTTTGGACTTTGGCTCCCTGCCCCTGGATTTATTCTTCGTTTCATCCTTCAAAATTAAAGGATTTTACATCATCTCCTGCCTCGTGTCATCCTGGGTTTCTGCACTTTGGGTTCTAACATCCCTCCAAAACGTGACAAAGGGCGCCCTTAGCGGGTGCACGCTTGATTAGATCCTCTGTCCGCTCCAGGTCCAGGATCCTATAGGTTTTAAATGTTTTCTCAATAATTCTTTCAGATAAACATCTAATTCTTTCAGATAAACATCTGAAACAGGCGTTGTAGTGGATTTGGAGAACTATGTCACAGAGATCTGTGACGTGACCAGAGAACACGTGTTTCCTGATAGAACCCATCTCCTCTAAATGAATCAGACCTTTTTAGTTGGATATACTTCCTCCTCAACATCCTCACAGGTGGAGCTCTTTGGCTAAAAATGTAAATTTATTTAAAGAAGACCATGCATTCGTTTCCTACAGAGGAATGCAGATCTAACAGGACTATTCTGTGGTGAGCTGGTCGCGTGCAGGTGCCAACACTTGCAGCAGCACGCGCCTGAATGGTGTTAAAGGCTCGTGCGACTCCTGACAAACATCCGCCAAAAACAGCATGAAGCTGTGAGACAAATGAGGTGATTCCACTCATACAAAAAGGCTTGATGCCATTTTAGGAAAACTGGTCGGACTGCGGCTGAACCGCGTTTTTAAAAACCAAATCAAATCGTTCATTTATGTGTCTAAACTCTCCAGATGATGCAGCCGCGCCCAAAACAGTTCCACTTGAGAGGTGCTTGGACTAAAATGTGCCAGAGGATTTGGACCCGTGGGAACCTGCCGTCCAAGTTCCAACAGTTTCTGTCATGAACCATTTACCGCAGTGGTTTTAAAGAGCAATCTGTTTCTGCGCATGCACACATTTTCCCCACATTTCGGCTATTTTAGGTTTAAATTGGATCACCTACTAGATAATTATCTCTTTTTATTTACATCCAATCTGTATTAAAATGAGAACGTTTGAAGATAAACCCCTGGGACGCTGTGCGTAAAAGCGCAGAAGACCCAAATGTCTTTTTGACAGGATGTTTAGGAACAAATGCGTGATGTTGCACGAAGCAGTCCAAAAGTTTGATTTATCAGCTTTTTATTTTATTTGACCCTTTTGTATTTTAAGTGTGAGACTGACGTGCGTGGTGCGTGGGAACGTGGGGGTCAGCGATCCTCCTATAGACTTCTGTCATGTTTTAACAGGCAGTAAAAGGAGGACGAAGCTTCGTGATCCACATTCCTGCGACGAGAAAGAGCAGGAGGGCGCGCTCCCACTGTCACACATTTACCCCGCAGCATTTGTCTGCGTGTTGCTGTGCGTCAGATCTTTGCAAATGCGCATTTCAACAAACCTCTTTGTCTTTTTTGTTACCTGGGCTTGAAAGTCTGGACCATTTGCTTCACGCAAGACACCTCTCCAAGAGGAGGAGGAAGGAAACATCTGACCAAGTTTGAAAGCCATCTTGTAGAATGTTGGGTTTAGACAGTTTTGAAGTAAAAAAAAAAAGAAAGAAAACGAGGAGGTGTAATCTGGTTAAGAGAAATTAAAAGTTTGAAATAAAACTCGACACATTACTGCTGGATAAATCCCACTGGATGAGCCGCCTTTTCGCACTGCAGTTTCCCACATTGGTCACGTTTTTTATTCACATGCGCAGATCTAAGCTCTCTGATCTCATTGACACGTGCTCGAACGGCACGCGCAAACTTTTAATTCTGACACGCGCCACTTGACAGCAGCCCAACAGATTAATTCTTGTGTTTCATAATAAAAACTGCAGGAAGGGTTTTTGCGCAGACGTTCCCCAAATATGTATTTCCACACAACTTCTGCGTTAAAAACGTAATTTAGAAACATTTTAATAAACTATAAAAATGAGACTTTTACATTATCAATAAACTCTTGAAACTTTAAATGGTATGTAGGCTATTTATAGACTCAGGTTTTGTTTCAGAACCAGCCAACAGGTTTGGAAAGAAACATTTTGTCGGGAAGAGCTGAACCCAAACGTTCCCACGCGCAATTTGGGATGCGCGATTAGCACCAGAGTGCGTAAAGTGTGTGTGAACGGCCGCTATTCACCCCGACGCATTCTCCTAACGATGCGCCAGTTCCAGCAGATAATAAAAGTGCAAATGGGAGCGTAGGTTTCCCACGAGAAAGAAACAGATCAGAGGATTTGAAAAATAGGTTTAAAGCTGCAAATCACTTTGTGAGAGAAAAAGAAACATTTAGATTTTAAACATTTATTTTAAGCTCGTCTACATTCATATTTGTTATAAGAAGTTGCATAATAACAGAAACAATTCAAATCTAGCATGGCACCCTAAAAGCCAATCTTACTGATTTGTCTGATATTGATCCTTAATTTAGAGAAATGTTTGTTTTTAACAAATAAATCATTTATTGTTCAGAAACAGATGAAATAAAAATCTGGTGACCTTCATGCTTGTTGTTATGTTTGTGTCTCCAGACATGCAGAAAGCAAATGGATCATTTAAGCCTCACCTCCTTGTGTGCTCTAATTGTTTTCTGACTGCAAAAAGAAAATAATGTAGCAATAACAATAAAAACACAGAAAAATAGAAGGAAAAATAATTATTAAACATTTACTTGTTGTATTTTTAAATATTCTGCATTTATCTTTTGTTTATAATGCATTACACCACTCCCTTTAATCTTTAATTTTATGTTTAAGGTAATTTGACAACAATACAATTATAAAATGAGTTTAAAAGTGTGCTTTAACTTATAATTTTTTTTTGCTAATATGAAACAAGTTTTCCCTCTAGTCTTTGAAGTGAGAGCTGCTCCTGAGTGTTTGACTTCACACCTGCAGCTCTGCAGGAGTTCCTGCTTCACACCCCTGAACAAAAGGCCTTCAGCTTCGACCAGGACAAAAAAAATCACTTCACGTGTTTGTTTGTTTGCTTGTTTCTTTGTTTGTTTCATTTTAACAAAAGATTTATTGCTTTATTTATATAAAAATTGGGAATAATGCTCACCATAGGGAGACAACCAGAATAAATTAGTGTGCAAAACAGACAAGAAATGTGAATCTCTCTGGAAAGGACGCGTGTTAAATTGTACACAGAGCCACAGATGTCACTCATGCCTGCAGACATCATGGCACATAGATGAAAATGAGGGGCTCTCCCAAACTGTAACCCCCAGGTTCCACACCTGGAAATGTGACGGATGGACATGCAATCATTATTGACATCGGCAACCCACTCTGGAGTAGTGGTGGCAGAATGGAGGTGAAAACGGTTGGAGTGGCGCATACTCACCTGTTGGGGGGGTCTTGGGCCCAGCTGGGCAGAAGGATCCAGGTTCAGGAATCCTCGTTGGGAAGAGAAACCTGCCAGCAGATTATCTGGCTGCCAAACTGACTGAGCATTAAGAGAGAGTCAACTCTACCACACTACATGTACAAGTCAAATTTATACATTATTTACAAGGTTCGGAGTTAGGAGCTTATATGACTATGATGTAAATATTCATTTGTGGACAATATAAAACGAGACTAGCTTATACTGATGAGGTTAGTTATAGTTCTGAGGTTCCTGCCTGATGATCAGGGCCATGGTCTCCACAAAGTTTGGCTCATAGGGGAACTCTGGGACGAGCCCTCTTTGGTCGGGGGTCTCTCTGCTCTCATCTCCAGCCTGCTTTGTGCCTGAGGCTGCTGAGGAACTCTGGGAAAGCTTTGCTGGACTGGAAACCGGTAAGGATAGGCAAAGCTGCTCACCCCTAAGGCCTGCTGACTAGACTTGGATCTCTGCCTGAGCATCTGGAGGATAGATTTGGTGTGTGTCAGGGAGCTGCTGGAGGGTTTACTCTGGTCATCAGCAGGATCCTTGTGGGAGCGCGTGAAACGACCAGCAAAGGTTGCGTCCAGCACTGGTCCGATCCAGAGGCCTCTCCCTTTCGGCCCCAGGAACCGGGAGGCTCTCTGCAGGCAGGTGGAGAAACCATCTTGGAAGGAGGGTTTCTGACCTGCAACTTTAGCGCTGCATTCCTTGGTGTTCTTCTGCAGGAAGAGGACCGTGTGCTCCAGGATCTCAGCCTTTTCCACTCTGTGCTGCGTCCTACCCTGCAGGACAGTAGCAACGGCCCAGTTAGGCTGTTTTTAGATGTGGGCTGCTTGCTGTTGCACATGGATACACACACCGATTTGACTCCATTTAAAAAATGCATGTCCTTTTAGCAAGAAAAGTTTGGTTTGAAAAAGGCTTTTATGTTAACTAAAGGTGTTTATGATGCATTTACTTTTACTTGCTGAGGTTCCTTCAGCAGCATGGTCTTCAGCCGCTCCAGGCTGTGATTCATCCTCTCCCTTCGACGTTTCTCCACCTGAGATTTTATCAACTAAAGACACAAACAAAAAGAGAATTGACCCAAAATAACTGATTTCACTAGACTTGGCTAATACATGGCAACACAACAGAAAACTAAAATTAAAATGTGGAAACGGTAGCAAAAGAAAACACGTTCATCTGCAGAATCCTTCAAAAAAAAAGATCTGCATGATGTTACCTTTCTATCGTTTATGGCATCTTCTTTCTCATGAAGCAGCTTCATTATCCCAGACTTCCCAAAGTTCCAGCTGTAGCTGCTTCTTTCCCAGTCTGCGACTAACCAGGACACCAGGATGCCATCTCTTGTATCCGTCCTCTAACCCCTCCTCCAGGCTCCTCCCATTTCTCGGGTCCCCACACATCCTCTCTCACAAACCCTCTCCCCATCCAGGTTTAACTCAACAGATCTGATTCATAAAAAACCTAAATAAATGAAGACAAGTGATCCCCCCCGAATTGCGTGGACCATAGTGCACAAACGTGCGCATAAATGCGTAAAGTTAAAGAAAAATCAAGATTTGAAAGGTGATTTTACTCAAAATGTCTGCTTCTTTCACCTCAAAGCTCATTCTGGGAAAAATAGATTTAGTTACAGCAACAAAAAAAAATCACAGAATTTTTTTTTTACATCTTCAACTTTTTGTGTGTCCAATAAAAAAAATAGCATGATGAGATTATATTCTTTATCAGCTCAGTTCGTCCTTTCTTCCTCTTTTTTTCACGCGCTCCTTTGCGGCGAGTGCCTGCGCGTCTTTTCTCACACCTCAGAATTTCCGCAGGCTTTTAACACGCGGGCGTGACTCTGGGCCACGCGTGCCGTTTGGGTCGCGGTCTCGTGCTGGAGCTGTGGCTTTGTGTTGGAACTGTCTTTGAAGCCTTCTTTTCAGATGCAGATTATTCAACATTTTAAGCAGCACGCGTGCTCATTGTAATTATAAATCTGTCTGCGCCACATGACACGTGGCGCACTCGGTATCAGCTTTGGATACATTTATATTTATATTTATTCTGTTTGACTAATAAAAAAATAAAATAAAAATAATTTTTTACTGAGTTTTATATTCATGTTCAAAACGTGTACGATAAGACAAAACAAATGCGGCTGATTTTTGTAATAAACAGAAAGAAAGCAGCTTCTGTTTTCTCCGTTATTTCTGACAAATTACACCTCAGGAATCAGATAAAGGTTTTTAAATAACTGATTTACAGATAATATTCCTTAAATTAATAAAATGCAAAGTTTCTTAAGCAATCCTCATTTGCATATTGCTTTTGGTAATGACAAGTATTGAATAATCCTGAATTATCAAATAAAAGTATTTTCATAACCGACGTATGCATTGTCTATTGTTAATAAATAATAAAATAGGTTTATTTTGTTATTTAATTAATAAAAGTAGTTATGAAAAAAAACTGTCTCTAGTCACCAATAGATCGTCCACCAGGGGGCAGTAGGCATAGGACTGGATGCTGATGCTCCATCTGGATGCAGAGTGGTTTGATGTGATTTTTTATTAAGGGTAAATTGGTTATCGCGAGTGTGACCACCTCTTTAACAGCTGGAGTTTAGTCATTTTGTTGGTCTGGAGCATACAAGTGTGTGTTGACACAGAGGAAAGACAGCATCCATCATTTTAGCAGGATTATTCACAGATTGTTTCAAACAGAAGACGTCTCAACTCATCCTGAGGTCAGTGATGATATTTAGACTCTACAGATCTCAGCCGGTTACAAGTGCATTATGTAGAAATTTAGTAAAATTGACATCCTGTGGTAAAATTTGGTTACTGGAGCCACTTTCAATCCCTCTGGAGCATTTTGCTGACCGTAGTCAAATTACAATTGTTTGCGCTGCAGTATTAGCTAGCAGGAGATACGGCAATCCCACACTCACTGATGGTAAACAGTCGTTATGTCCCTCCTTCCTTTGATTTGAAAGGAGAAAAACTGACTATCCCTGCAGCCAGCTGGATATGAAATATGTTTCAGTTTAACCTTCCTTCCAAAATAACAGAAACATTACATTTTGGGGATTTTCTCACTATATTCTTACATACTGCACCTTTAAAGATTAAAGTTAAAGGACTGAAAAAACTTTGCTTGTTTGGGTTTTAGCTGGAGATAAACTCCCCTCTATAAAAAGGAAGGCTAGTTTGTTGCGTTTAAAACCAATGTTTTGAACATTTACCCATAATGCACAGCAGCAGATTTATAGAAAACAGCAAACACAATCAGCGGAACACAGAAAGTGCTGAAGGTTTGGGCTCCTGGATCCCATGAGTCTGACAGCTGAAGGTCGGAACAAACCTCGTTTCATCGTGAATATCGCTGCCGCTTTATCAGCTCCACTTTGAAGCACTTCAATAAAAATCCAAACAAAGCGAAATAAACAAGCGTTTCTGCTTTTCAAGGGCTCAAGCACCTGTAAGAACCCAGTAAAATACTGAAAACATAAAAAAGATTCAACGGTTTTTGCTTACATCCTGAACGCAAACTTTTACTCCACCCACTTTCCACGCTCTTTGATCTGGCAAACAGAAGTGAACCCAGTCGACGAGCAGCTGCTGTGAATACAGAGTCTTTATTGTAAAAGAGGTAGAGAGAATACAGATGTTTCACTGTACAGAAAAGAGACAGAACTGTGGACACACTCATTCAAACCATTAACACGACTCAGACACGCCTCATTTGCTTTACTGGGACAAACGAGCCCGGCAGCAAAAATACACGAGGAAAAAGAAAAACAGGACAGGAAAAACAAACAGAACACACAAAATCTTTGGATTTTTCTCTATTGCCCTCTCATTCTGTAAACGCATTCTCTCCTTTCTGAGTTGTTAAAATGAAAATATGTGTTGCACTAATAAGGAAAGCAATAATAATATTAATAATAATAATAATGATATAGTGTGCTAAAAACAAAGATAATGCCATCCCAGCCATCACCCTTCCCCCGTCCCGATCACAAACACAGTTTAGTAACAAGTCAAAGTAGTGGAAAACAAACCCTACAAACCAAACCTGCATGCACACAACACACACTCACTCTACCGTCCGTGCACTCGGCTAATCACACAAACAGAATAATAGTGACCTACGCTGGGCGGTTCCAAAACAAACAACAACGTCCATTTAAAATAACCAAAACAAACAATATACAAAAACAACTGCAGCCAAGTGGGAAGTGTGATATCATTCTTTCTGTCTTCTCCGTCGTCAATCGTTCCGTCGCTGTCGTTCTGTGCCGGTGGGCGGGGCCATCAGTCTGAGTTTTCCGACTGGTCGCTATGGGGTGAAGTGCCAGAGGGGGGCGAGTTTCGACCTGCCCAGTTCCCGTTAGACTGCGAGATGAAGGGGGAAAAAAAAAGTAAAAACGAAGAAAAAAGTTAATTTCACTTCCAATTGAATCCAACTAGCTGTTAGCCTATCAGTCCTGAAGGATATAACTCTTTCTTCAAACAAAGGTTGTTCGGGAGGCTATCTACATCTAGAAAGAGTTGTGTTTATACGTTTTACACAAAAAGGCCCTTTTGACAGAAGCGCCCCACAGCAGCATCACTTTTCCATGATCTCACAGACATGGACAGAACCTCCCAGCACGCGGACACCTCCCACCTTAATCTCTGTGGACAGATGTCGGTCTTTCATGTTTCCTTTGATTCCAAATCATCCGTCATCTACGTCGTTCAACTCTAAAGCAGATCTTCTCCATTTTGAGCACCTATCTATACAGGATTCAACAAGTCTAACAGACTTTTTACCTCCTCTGAGATATGTCACAACCGCTAAAGGCTGATTCATACCGACACTGCTCCAGCATGTCGGATCTGTTGGATCGCCATGATGCGACGCCGTATGGGCGATCCAACACTGTTGGGTCATCGGTTGGAGTCAAGCTCTATTTTCTAAACATCCAACGGCCGCGTTGTATGCTGGACATCTGTTATTGGTCAGCCAAACAACCCAACATCATTTCCGGCATGACGTAGCTTCCCTTAAAAAATGTAAACAGCGCGAGTGGTGACAATGGTGGACACTACACTGACGCCTCTTCCTTCGTCGTTCTCGCTGTGCTCTTTCTAATAACAGTTGATGTTCCTCTAGCTCAAGCAGCTCCAGCTCAATAAAAGAATTCGCTCTGTGTCTATGTCGTCCATCTTTTCACGAGTGTATGTGCGTCGCAAATAGTAAATAGTAGTTAGTAGGGCAGACACGTCACAACAAGAGTATGCACACCTGCATAGGAGCGCGCCCTCTGCCGTTTTGGCAGAGAATCTCTTTGCAACAGGGTTGGGCCAGTATGAATACAGAGGAGATACGATGCTGCAACAGCGGGGGCGCGAATGTGCCTTTGCTTAAGCATGAATCAGGCTTTAGTGTGAACACGCAGCAGAGGGAAAGAAACCGCTCCTGCTTTAGTGAAACAACATCTGCTCTAATCATGCCCAGATCTTGTCTTTCACACCGGAGTATGTAGGAGGTCTAAGAAAGTGCGGCTGCTGAGAAATGCCTCAACTTTCACTTTGAAGTGAAGGAGAGAATCCTAAACTCAAAAAAGCATATTCAGAAGCACTTTGTCAGCAACAGAGGTAAAAACTAAGATGCATTATCTGGCTTGTTCATCAGCTCATCCTAAACGGAAGCAGAGTCTGAGGATTCATGTTCCTGTGTAGCGCGGGGCTCTCCTGCCTCCACCTGGTGGCCAGAGTTTAACCAAGCCCCCACAATGGAGCTCTAAAATTGAGTCCAACCCGGAAGTACCAAAAATTGCAGTTCCACCCTCATCTGCTGGGGGCTGGTGTCAGAAGCGAGCAAATCCTCATTGACTCCCATGTTAAAAATACCAATTTCTCAGCAGAAATAAACATGTTTACAGCCTGGTACCAAAACATGTTTTTTGTTTAAATGATCTAGTTTACACTCATGAGAACTCTGAGGGGGGTGAATTTTTTTCTCACTCTTCTGTTTAAGTGTATTAAAAGCCTAAAATTCTGTATGATTAATGAGCATCCGACCCACGTGACCACAGAGCTAGCTCTGTGGAAAGGCCTCAGCAGAGCCTCGGCCTGGCTTGGAAACTGTTCCGGGATTTTGAGTCTGTGTGTTTGTGTATTCTTTTTTGGATATTTTTAGTGCAATTGTTGGACAAAATGACTTGCTGTGGCATTAATTGCACTAATAGAGCGTCCAAGGGGTCTCCACTTCATTTTTTCGGAAAGTAAAATTACATTTATGTATTTTAGGTCACTGCCGAGCTGAGCTTAGATTTTAACATGTACTGTTTAACCATGAAATTTAAATGTAATAGGGTAAAACCCAGTGCATTTAACATAATGCTGCACTTTAGAAAATGGGTTGAAATATAACATGTTGGTGGAGCTGGGTTCCAACTATCGGCTTGTGGAGCTCTCGGGAGACCGATGTTTTCCACCCGTTTCTCCCCTGGCTTCACGGCTTCTGTTTGATGCGTGGGCTGCCGGCTTGTGGAGCTCTGGGATGGAAACCTTTCCACCCGGTTCTCCCCAGCAGCAGCTCTGCGCATCTCAGATCGCAGCGGCGCTTTGCTGTGCGGCTGCCGGCTTGTGGAGGTCTCGGAGACCTCTGTGTTCCACCCGGTTTTACCCAGCGGTCAGCCTGGTGTATCTCTGACTCAGAAGCTCTGGTGTTGTGCACAGTTAACTCCGGTTGTAGCTAGGTTGCTACCTCCGTTAGCTTAGCTCCCACCTCCGCATCAGTTTTGGGTTAGCTTCAGGTTAGCTTGTAGCTAGTTCGACCGGGTGTCGTCAGTTGATCCCAGCCTTACAGCCCCACCCTCAGCTCTACCTCTCTTCCCTTTTGTGGAATTGTCTGGGCTTGACGGAACATGTGACAAGGTCAAAATGGCGGTGGTGGCCACCTCCCATTTGGCCTCAAAAACGTGTTATTGGAGCCTATGGAAAGGAGATGTCCTGTATATTTATGTCGATGAGTTTAACCCAAGGGCCCAGCCCAAACCAGTTCTGTGACAGAAATCATGAAGGGTCTGGTGCTTTGTGGATCTGCTAGGAGACCAGGGAGGAGGCTTTGCTAGTCCGATCCCCTGAAGACCATCAACCTAAATCAAGCACTCGACCAACTGGATTTGATTATTTAACTGTCTGTGACAAACCACAGGGACAGTGGTTGTCTAACAAGAAAAACTTTCTTCCTGTGTTCTTATTTTCACTTGTGGTGCCTGAGTTGTCACCACGTCACAAGACTGAGCCGCAAGCTGCCGACTAGACGGGCGAAACGACCCAACAGCCTCACTTCTATAACCAGGTGGAAGTTCGTCGGGTGGATGATGTGACATCATAAATGATTTGACGATGCAGCAGAAATTACCTGCATTTGGTAGGCAGACTGCTCTCCGTTCACAGATGGAACCCCGAGGAACATGTCAGCCGACCCGGAAAGAGAGAAGGACCCTGACCCTGAACGGGAATCAGGAGAGAAGAATGATCAGTTTCTTCACTTTCAGAACACTATGGGCGGCAAAAAGTCAACTGGAAACACAAACCGGGTGAAAAGTTTAAAGCTCATCTTCACTCCGAAGGCACCGCACATCTGAAACACCTATTTTAGTTTCCAACTGAGCCGATTAGAGCATCAATACATCTGTTAGCTGCAACTCCAGCTGTGTGTCGTCTCGAGTTAAAATGGTTTGTATTTTTTTTTTAGATAGGATAACAAAAGGCGTAGCTCTCAGTAAAATACATTTGAGGATCTTTTTCATTTTAAATTCATTTAAAAGCTGCTTGTTGACATTTTATAGCCCAATATTCGTCTCTGGGATCTCGTTCTCCTCCCGAGTCTGGCAAACTCGCTTTCTTGTTGTAAGAGATGTGAACATATTAAAATACGCTTTCCAATTACTTTTCACTGGGAGCACCTGTAACTCTTAATTTAGCTTCCATGAGTCAGAAAGCGTCTGAAACGTGAGACAGCCTTGGGAGGAGAGGGAAAAATGCTAACGAGTTTAAAATGTAAACAAATCACATAAACTGTGACAAAGCAATTAGCACAAGCCTAAATGAATAAACATAAACACAAGCATTATGTAAACGTTCGTTTGTCAGCTATTACAACATATACGCCACGTGACTCAGCCATATTTAAAACTTGTAGCTAAGTGCTGTATGCACCGATTCACTGATTTGAAACAAGAATTTGCCCTTTCTCTTTCTTCCTTTTGACATGTTTTCCCGCAACACTGCGTCTCCAGCTGTTCGCCTAGAGGGAACAGCTGGGCAAATCCCTACCTGTAGAGTTTGGAGTGTGTGGAGAATCGTCCCCTTGTCTGGTCCCCAGGGCCGTCTTCATGGCGTAAAGGTTGGCCTCCTCCTGGAACTTGCCAATGTTTTTCTTGTAGCGAATTCTTTTGTTGCCAAACCAGTTAGAGACCTGGATTTAAAAAAAAACCCACACAAACCACATCAAAACTGATTATTAACAAGGAAGGTCCAAATCAAAAGCTAATTTCTTTGTTTATTTTAATAAACAGCAAATTGATTTGACTATTTTTGAATGAATCTCTTATGACCAAATGCAGTCGAACAACTTTAGAAATATATCTATACACTGGTGTGATACTAACTTCTGAGTTAGATAATTCCTCATGAGCCTTAAGAGAATAACAAGGTGTAACTGACTCAAAAACCATGTTGAACACATTTAAAGGTGCAATATGTACTGTAGGAATATAGTGAGAATTTTACAGTGAGAAATCCCAGAAGAGTCTAATGTTTCAGTCATTTTGGAAGGAAGGTTATGCTAAAACATATTTCACAATCCAGGTGGCAGCGGGGATTGTCAGTTTTTCTCCTTTCAAAAGAAAGGAAAGGGACATAACTACTGTATACCATCAGTGAGTGTGGGTTGCTGCGTCTCCTGCGAGCTAATGCTGCAGCACCCACAATTGTAATTTGCAGAAAAAGCTCCACAAATGTTTAAAATGGTTGAAGTAACCAAATTTTACCACAGGATGCCATTTTTACTTCACTGCTACATAACACACCTTCAAGCAGAAATTAAATTTTTATTTTACTGGAAAAAAACTAGAACACAACCTCAAAAACACAGCTTCTCCACACACAACACTTGTGTGAATTACCTGAGACACGGTAATGCCACACTGTTTGGCGAGTTCTTCTTTGGCTTCTTCACTGGGATACGGGTTGGACAGATGGGAGTAGAAATACTCATTGAGGACCTCTGTAGCCTGTTTACTGAAGTTACGCCTCTTACGTCTGATAAAAAACAAACAGGTGAAAGTTAGAGAATACTTATTTTCTACCATTATTTGCAAATAAATTCTTTAAAAATCAGACAATGTAATTTTCTGGATGTTTTTTCCTCATTTTGTCTCTCATAGTTGAGGTCTACCTATGATGAAAATTACATGCCTCTCTTATCTTTAAGTAGGAGAACGTACACCATTGGAGCCTAACTAAATACTTGTCTGCCCCACTGTAGAGACAATAAGGAAGTCTCATTAATGCAACAGCACATTTAATACACAAAAAATTATATTGTTTTCCATTTTATAATTAGAAACATAAATAGTACTTTGAAAATCAGGAAGTCTAGTAGTTGCTGTTTGACATTTTGATGAATTTAAATGTTATTTCTGTACTTAAACTTTAATTAAAAACCACTGATGGGAGTTTATGTTTTCACTGCTTTAGAGTAAGAACAAAGTACTGAATGTGTAAAATAAAACAAAACGCTGCCAAACTGCCCACCTGGCATCCAGGAAGCGAGACCTCAGGATCATCACAGCCTCACATGTGCTCTGCTTCAGCTGCGTCTGGATGGAGCTGAACTTGCGATGGATGATGGCGACCATGCGCTCGATCTCCCGCGGGGTGACGGGTCGAGTGCGTGACTGCTCCCTCAGCAGGTTCATGACATGGGTGGTGAATTCAGTGCACGCCTGAAAGAAGGTGAGCAGCAAACTTAACAAATGCAACACATTTGACTGGTTCTTTAAAAAAGTGAGAAAATGTTTTCTTTGTGGGAAAAATAAATATTTTACAAATCTGCATTTTGTTCCGGTTAACAGCTCATAAAAAGGATTAAGTCGCTTACACATGGTAAATGGCCTGTATTTGATATAGCGCCTTCTAGAGTCCTGGAACCCCCCAAGGCGCTTTACAACACAATCAGTCATTCACCCATTCACACACACATTCACACACTGATGGTGATGAGCTACGATGTAGCCACAGCTGCCCTGAGGCGCACTGACAGAGGCGAGGCTGCCGAGCACTGGCGCCACCGGTCCCTCCAACCACCACCAGCAGGCGACTGGGTTAAGTGTCTTGCCCAAGGACACAACGACAGCGACAGACTGAGCGGGGCTCAAACCTGCAACCTTCCGATTACGGGGCGAGCATTTAACTCCTGTGCCACCGTCGCCCCAATAATCTCATAAAAATAAATGTACCCCCCCCCCTCTTCAAAAGAAAGGTTATGTGCTGAAAACTGCAGCTTAACATGCCTACTATGGATTTCACTCCTGGAGGGCAGCTTAGGTACAGGCAAGTGTGTACAGGTAAGATCAGGGGCTGGACTCCTGTAGCGACACGGTACCTGCTCATACTTCTCCAGCTCAGTGTGGTAGATACTGCGAATCTGGCTCAACTTGCTTTTGTAGTCGGAGTGTTCGAGCGAGCTGTCAGGTGACATTCCCCCCGAGCTGGTGGCGGCTGACACGGCGGCAGCAGCTCCTCCACCTTTCTCTGGTCCTGCGACTCCCTCAGCCAGCAGCATGTTGTCCAAACGCACCAGCTGGGGATCCTGAGGCTCCTCCTCCTGGTTGTTCCTCATCGAAAGGCCTGCCAAACAAATTAAAAAAAAAACTTTAAACTTTCTGGATAAAAGAAGTAAAACCTGAGTTTTTTTTTTTAACAAAAAATTGATTTAAACTTTGAACAGAAGTCGTTAAAGACAAAATTAGCAAGAGGAAGAAAGCAAAGTTTGGGCAAAAACAAAAGCTGACATTTTTCTCTACTTGCCACGATCAGCCAACAGAAAAACAAGAATTTGGAAGAAACCAGATCAATTTATCATCTCATTTAATTAGATTGTTTTTATACAACCAGGCTGATTGGTTACGGGGAAAAATCATAATAACAATAATTCTTTCAATATTGAAAACACCATTTTGTAACAATTACTGAGATGGGGGAAAAAGTGGGCATCTGATGGAGATTGCATAAGTTACATCAATAGGATGGCAGCATTGCTCTGTTTAGGTGTGTTTAAATTACTTTAAACACCAGAATCTATGTTCATCACAATAAAAATACATTGGATTACGTTTAGAATGAGAAATATATTAAGTGTGACATTCAGACAACAGTTTAACCACTATTTGGATGAAAACCTAAAATTGATCAGTTACATGAACAAAACAAGGGCAGACAGTGCTGTTATAAAAGCAGAGAAAAGCTGCAACAGGAGCCTCCATGTTTATGTAAACAAAATATGTTTTTCTTAAACATAAAACCGTGGGGAATAACAGCACTGAATGCTATATCGGAGTGAAGAGTGGTCATAGCTGCAATAAATTAATAGCAGATTTTCATTTTTAGCTTCATTTTACGTCAGTGTGTTTTGCCCTCCTTCTACCATCTTGAATTTACAAGGGTGTGAAAAGATCATTTGGAAGACATGCCTAAATAAGTTTATGCTAAAGAAACAAAATGTGTCAAAATATATTTTATAATCTGATTTTTTGTGTAATACTGTTTTTCTCTGGTTGTTTGGGGTTAAAATAAAGTAGAAACACTAATTTAAATGATTGTACAGCTCTAAATGCTGGTTTCTAATGTAAGACTGTTCAGCTATTGTTTTAATTAATCAGAAACGTCAGTGAGTCAGTTAAGTCTGTAAAAGGTGTCCTATGTGTTGGACATTGAGACATTGTTGGTCATGTTATTGGTTTGTGATGACAGGATGTCAACATGGGCTGATTACTGGTCTCACACACACACACACACACACACACACACACACACACACACACGGTGACGAATACTGACCACATTATAACCCTCCGTAAAAAAAACCAAAGGGACAAAAGTTAACCTACCAGTTTTTTCTTTAATCTCGCACAAAACGCTGAATAGAGCAGGCTTCATACGGTGACAGTTGAGTGCGTGTTTTCTGCAAAACACGGAGAAATGAGCGGGACTTGTTAGCATCAGAAGAGTGCACAGGAACGGGGTGACAGCATGAATAATGAGACAAACAAAAATCTCAAGTGACGGACCAGCTACATTAGCAAGTTAGCACTAGCTAGCTAGCCAAGTCAGCTAGCCGAAAGCTAACAAGCAGACGACTGTTTGCAGATGAGCAGTCTGTCCACGACAGCCAATTCGCTTCTGTTATATTTGCATTTCTTCACAGCGGACACCGTTATCCAACGCTATGGGGATTTATTTTGTTCATCCTATACACGTTTAGCTGTTAGCTGTAGCGTTAGCCTATTAGCTTTGGTTAGCACAGGCTAACAAAGGCTACTTAAACAATCGTCGCTGAAGAAATACGAATTATTAACCGCAACACCTCATGATTCTTCGTTTTATTATGTTGCCATGTGCATTAGAAAGTGAACACGTTGAACAAAAAGTGATTCGTTGTGTTTGTTAAATCGTTATTTGTTTAGCTGCTGTGTAATTAATCTAAACAATAGAATGAAGTTGAGGAAACTTTGCCACAGCAACACAGAGTCAAAACAAAAACCAGCTACCACCTTCGGAGCCTTAAAACATAAAAACCTCAAAGTTGTCACTAACTTTGCTTGTGCCTCATCCAAACTTTGGTCGGTGATGGTCATGATTTGCTGCAGTATGTCACCGATGTCTCTGCGGGTCTCATGTCCGTTTTCTGTGCCCTCGAGGCCCGACTCGTCTGACCGGTGCTGGGAAGGTTGACGAACCGAGTTGTGCGCATGCATCCCGGAGTGGCCGCTCACGCCGAGTACCCGGCCGTTGGATGGCCCATTGCCCGTCAGAGGCTGCTGTTGCAACATCTTCAGCGACGCGCAGTGGCGGCGACTGGTGCCCGACTGTGCTCTCGCAGGCAGCGCAGCCTGATCCGAGGCACCGCGCCGATCAGGGTCCCCTAGCGACCGGCAGCCACAGGTACAGCAGGAGCCTGCAGACGCCGTGCAGCAGCATGCGGTAACGCTGCAGAATAATAAAAAAAGAACCACAACAGCAAGCAGATGTCTGTATGTGCGCGCGCCTGCGTGTCAGTGGTTGGGGTGGGTGGCAGATTAACACACATAAAATCAAACTAAATGAACCGGAAGTCTTGTGTCTATGTCACTCCAAAATACAACCAGATTATATTTCAGATGAAACACAGTCTGCCTTCTTGTAAAGCGAAAATCTCACTCGACGCGCTTATCTCTACTTCTCGTTTTAGCTGCAAGTCAACAGGATGTGCGCTGAAAACCACAACAGTCAGGAGAACTTTGCGCCTGTTTCAACACGTCGCAGCTTGAAGCATCCAGGCGCAAAGCAGCTATAAGCTGCCGCAGCCGCTTCCACCTTCAGATTCACATCAGATCATTTAAACCATTTGTTTGGGAGAAGACCCAATCCGATCATCCAGGCAAGGGGTTCTCTCCTCCTGCTTTATTAACGCTCATATCTCATGAGAGCCAGGCAAGTGAAATGTGGGCCAAGTAAACAGGAGGGGGCTGTTAGAAATAGGAGGAACAGGAAGAAAAGAAACGAGAGAGAAGGTTGACAGAGAGGGGGAGAGTTTGTCACATAAAGATATTGACAAGACAAGCGAGGAGCCAAAGATGATACTCAGCCAGCTGCGGTGTACAGAGATGATGTTATAAAGAGATAAAGTCAAAAAAATTAAGGTAAGAATGACATTGTAATTTTACTGGTTGTAAAATTAGCTTTTGTGAGTTTTTTAATTCAAATATGAGAAGATTAATGTTATACATGTGTATAACACATCTCATACACATGAGAATAAACCTTAATTACATTTAATCAAATCTGGGGAGAAAATTTCAACATAAATGTATAAAAAAATAATCATTTTTATGCTTTTAAACTGATTTTGTCAGTTGTGTGTGTTGTCACATATTTCCCAGAAATGGGCTTTATTATTAGATTATCTGCTTATGCGTTTCCAGCCTCTATATTAGAACCTGCTTGACTGGTTTCTCACATTTCTGAGCTAGAGACAAACAGCTTCTGGGCTGTAGCCGTGCCTCCCCTCATTTTTTGACAATGTTCAGAAACTGTTCACCTATAATTTAGTTTCTTTCTGTCAGGGTTTGACAACGCCGAGAATGGAATGCTCAGCGACTGAAGCTGAAGTTGTCGCGGAGGAGCTGCTCGAACCTCTTATCATCACAGAGGACGGGGACATAGCTGGAGCTGTCCCTGAACGAGACACAACAAGCAGCTCGGCTGCCGCCTCACACAACGGCTGCACCGACGAGTCTGCTCTTCAGCAGAAGGAGGAACTCTTGGGAGGGGACGAGAAAAAAGAAGCCGTGGAGAGTAAAACATCCTCAGTGGAGCGGTTGGAAAAACAGCAGAGCGAAACTGAGGATGGGCACAAGCCCGAAGCTGGTGAACTAGAGGGTACTGGAAGAATAAACGATGGACAGAATAGTGAAAGTAAAGAGCCCTTGCTCAAAGGGACAGTGGGTCACGAAGAACCCCGTAAAACACAGGAAGAAAAGGTTGCACAAGATGACCGCCGAGTGGAAATAAGAAGGTTTCACGCCTCTGAGCAACTACCTAAAGAGGCGGAGGGCCAAGAGGAAGATGCAAAAAAGGTTAGCAAACTTTTCTGATTAGTCTACTTGTCGTGGTGTTACATGTGTGCAGTTAGTGTGTTTTCTACTTGTGTACCACACATTGCACGAGAGAAGTCGCCCAGGGGTGGAAAAACGTCAGATTTGTTTTCTTAGAGCGCGTGGGAGTACGTAGGAGTGCTTTTGCTGTGTCAACAAACAGTTTGTGCCTCTCAGTCAGAAACCTCTCATCTCCCCTCTGCTCTTTCCTCACCACCTACCTAACTGTCAGGCTCACCAGTTAACCCCCGACTTCCCGGAGGCGCTGTTCGAGCTGCTCTGCACCCTTCAGGAGGGACGGCGTCTCAATGATCAGCGCTGCTCCTTCAGGCTTGAAGAAGGCGTTAGGAGGAGGAGATGCCACTCGGAGCCCAACACCAGAAAACCAGCTCACAGAGGTGGGAATGATTCTCGAGGCTGTCCTGATGTGGTGGAGCATGTCCAGCTGTTCCCAAACCGCACCAAATGTCTCTTTCTGTCCTTTACCCTGTCCATTTAAATTTTTGCTGGTGTTTTTCTCTCCTCTCTCCTCAGTGGTCTTCTCCTCCATGACTTCGCTGCAGAAAGAAGAGTTTTTTGACCTGGTGGCCACTGCACAAGCCCGCCGGCTGGATGACCAGAGAGCACATCTGGGAAAGAGCGCGGCTCCGAAACCCAAATGCCGAAGTTTCAGAGGCAGCCTGAAACAACTCTCTGTAGTGAGAAAGCCAGAACCAGTTCCAGTCCCCGTCCCAAAGGAGGATCTTTATGACATGATTCTGACGACACAAGTAAGCCGTCTGAGCTTGTTTTGTTTGGGCTTTTTCATCCTGATCATTGATGCTGCTCGTTTGAAAAGTGACTGAAAACCTCTTGCCGTTCTTTGTGACTCCAGCCCTGGTTTTACTCTTTGCTTCATCCTGCAGGCCCAGGGTAGGCTGGAGGACCAGCGCAGCAGGGCTCCCGGCCCCATGGATGACGACGACTTCTTCTCTCTGCTTCTCAGGGTGCAGGGGGGACGCATGGATGAGCAGAGGACTGAACTGCCTCGTTTGCTGCAAACCTGAGATGGAGAAGTCAAAACTGTGAGGCCAGTCTGGAGAGCCAATCAGTGTTTTAGCCTTATTTTTTCTTTTGCTTTGATTTGACTCTTTTAAACCCTGATGATGCTTCGATTTGAGAAATTCTTCTCATCCTGATCGTTATTCAGTGGTAAAGTTAACATTGCAGCAAATTTTTTGATAAATAGGACTTTTAATGTGACTTTAGGTTTGTTCCAGATACGTTTACCGTTAGTCTCTTTTCCTTATTCGTGCCATCAGCAGATATGCTTTCTTGGCTGAAATTCTTCCTGAATGTTTGCATTGAACTGCTGAAATAGGTGTGTGTGTGTTGTTGAGGAGGAATGGATGTCTGTTGGTCCTCCTCCTACAGAACGTACAGGATAGAAACACCAAGATGACGATGACGAGGAGGAAGCTTCATTTCCTCACTGTTTATGAAGATTCTCCTCCTGAATAAACAAAATGTGTCTTTGAAATGTTCAGGTTTGTCCGTATATGTCCACCTACACACACACACACACACACACACACACACACACACACACACACACACACACACACACACACACACACTTTTGACAGTTTGGACAGGTTCTTTAATCGTGTTCTGATCAAAGCCTGTTTAGAGTGGTGGTAAATGACTGGTATGAAAACACAGCTCTGTTTATCATTAACAGTTTAGATCACTTTCTCGTAAACCGTGATATCGGATAAAAACACTCGCGTAAATCAAACTGTTCATGTAGGAATAGCAGAACTTGTGACTTAACATTTAAGGATCAAATAAAGCAAAGATAAAGGTATTAATGTTTTACAGATGGCTAACAAGTCTTATCTGTAACTTCCTGAAAACTTTCAGTGTGATTTTACATTTTATTGATGATTATAACACCCAGAAAGTGTCAGTGTTTACTCAGTATTGTTTTTTTTTATTTTTTTTAACTATTATGTAGTTTATTGAATTAGGTACAGATCTTGATGCCTTACTAAACTGACAGTAATTCTGTAATAGAACAAAACAAAAATTATTTTTTCTCTTCTGGCTTTTCCCTTCAGGTGTCACCAGCGAATCAACTGTCTCCATTTAGTCCTAATTATATATTGTATATAAAACAGTTTGGGGAGAAACCCTGAAACATGTTTACAGTCTGGTACAAAAAACATTTTAGGTTTAGTATGTCAGGTTTACCGTCATGTCAACTTAGAGGGGGGATTTATGTGTAACTTAAAGGTTGAAATTATTAATACTAATTCTTTTGACTCAGAGGTGTCGGATGAGCTATCAGCGCTAACGCTAGCAGCTCCTGCTTGCTCCAGGGAGGACCTCAGCCTCATGTCAAGGTGTTACAGCCTGGAAGGCAGAGGGTAGCAGAGTCCCTCAACTGCAATTTCTCTGGCTAAAAGCGCCCGTCAACCTCAGTTAGTGTTGGTTAGCTCAGTTAGCTTGTAGCTACATCGGCTCAGGGTTTGTATTGGTTTCAATCATCTGCCCACACCCTCACAGCCCCACTTTCAGGTCTACCTCTTTGCCAATTTTTTATTTTCTGGGAGTGACAAAGGCACATGACTCGGGCCAAGATGGCGGTGGCGGGAACTGCCCACTGGGCTTCAGTTCAGCTCTTCAGAAACCTACAGGTTACGGCATGGAGGCTCCCTCTGTCTCATATACACAGTCTACAGGGGTGGACTGCCCTATTTGGCATTCTGGCTGTGGCCCGGTGGGCTGCTGACACAGCTTGGGCCGATGCAACAGGCTGCAGCAGTTGGTATCACTGCTGCCTTGTATTAAGACAGTTGCAGGTTCAGATCCCAGCTGCATCATTCCTTCCCATGCATGGATAGGTTTTCTCCAGTTTCCACAGGCCAAAAACGTGCATGTAGGGAACTGTGAAAGGCACAAACACGCATGAGAGTGTCACCAGCTGAGGCTAAATGTTTTTATTTCTGGTTTGCAGATTTTTGGTTAAACGGAGCAAAGTTATGACTCATCTCATCATGATCGAGTTAGTCACTAGGCCGAGGGATAATACAGATATGTCACAGACAATAACGACGGCCATGGTGTGTCAACGACCTAAGGAGGCTTTGTGGAGATCAATGACCTATACTGGTGTGGGTTTGGTTTTGTCCACTCAGCTCAGAGGAAACCTCTCACAGGAAGTCCTGTTCACCCTACGCAGTGGGGAGGCTGGAGGTGATGAGAGGCTGCTGTGTCACTTCCTCAAACAGCAGAGTGTTATGTGTGAAATTAGCTCTCATGTATTTTGGTTTTTGTATGTTTGTGCTTGAACAGATGGTGCAGTAGAATTGTCACGTTAACAGCAACACTTCTGGTAGAGGAACAGAAGACTAAAACATCGTAACTTTACTTTATTGATCCCCTCGGGGAGATTATTTGTCGTATTTGACCCATCCACGAGGAGTGTGCCATTTGTACAGCATTGGGTAAATTCAACCTCAGGTTGCCCAAATATACTTTGAACTGTGGCCCGCCTGGCCTGGGATTTAACTGCTCACCTTCTGATGAGCATGCCAACTACTCTCATTTAGCAAAACTGTTTACATGTTGAACATTTTACCAACAAATGAAACAGGAAGGTAGGCAAGCAAGTTCAAGTTCCACTTTTAGGGTAGAAGTGTGCAAACATATTTTTCATGGGTTGTGTGTTCACAACATCAGCATGTTCCAGGAAGATTTATCACAGAGCAAAATTCAGGCCCCATATACTACACAGACAGTTTTGTGTCCACACACAAGTAGATCTCTTGATGAGGGAGAGAGAGAGAGAGAGAGAGAGAGAGAGAGAGAGAGAGAGAGAGAGAGAGAGAATAAAACATTTTCCAAATTGTAGATTGTTAAAAGGGGTTTTTGATGCTTCTGTGTGGATGCAAGACATGTATGCTTTTCATAAACCACATATGGTTTGGTGAGGGTATTTGTCAAAAGCATTTGGATTCAGATATACTTATAAATAAAAAAAATCTGTTTAAAATGGGAGTAGTTTAGACAGTGCCTCACCCTTTTGTCAGGTTTTTTCTTTTTTTTATCTTTTTATGGCTGATTTTTATATTTCAGCATTTCTTTTTTTCTTATTTTAAGAAATAAGTTAGCTATCTAGAAAAAAAAAATCTGTAAAATAAAGGTTATACTTGATTTGAATATAATATGAGTCGTGGTGGAGGGCAGCTTATACTGAGCCAGGATCCTCTGGAGGTTTCTTCCTGTTAAAAGGAAGTTTTCCTCTCCACAGTCACTAAATGCTTGCTTAGTATGAGGATTGCTGTAAAGATACTGACACTAGTCAGTGACTTGATGCAATTTTCTGTGTTCCTTATATAGGAAAAATTTTTTCTGATTGGCTTAATGAACTGATCTGTATTGGAATGTTTATTATGTGAAGTGCCTTGAGATGACTCTTGTCGTGGGTTGGTGCTATATAAATAAAATTGAATATAATATAGCGCTATATAAATATAATATAATATAATATAATATAATATAATATAATATAATATAATATAATATAATATAATATAATATAATATAATATAATATAGTATAATATAATATAATATAAAAATGCCCCTAAGAATGACGTAAGTGATCGCCAGACTCTGACTTTATTGAAGGTGAGGACTGGATTTACTCGGTGGAGGCAAGAAAGTTTCAGAATAAAAGTAATTTCAAACGTAGCATAAACACTAACAAGAATGATAATGTTTTTATTGATTTTAATTTAATAAGAAAGTCACTTTCAGTAAAAACATTTTTATCCCTCTTGCGTTTTCAAGTTTTCAGCGACGCGTGTTTCTGACGTCATTGTCACATCCCAATGTCGTTAGCTTTTTACCGAAACAAGGATGTGGATACAAACAAAATTGGGAGGTTGTAGCAAGTTTTTACCATGTGAGGTAAAGCTTACCCAGACACTGGTGAACCGTGTTAATTTATGGTGAGTTTTCGTGCTTTTTTTACTGATGTGTTATCGGGTTAAATAGTTAAGGTTGTTTATAACGCAGTAAAGTTAGCTAAACCTTTGCAGCAAAGTGAAATGTCAGCGCTGCTTGTTTTAAAGTTTAATATACTTCTCCAGGCTTCCGCATAAATTTCAAGTTAAATGTTTTTATTAATTTTCTGTAATCTGATGTTTAGACTGTGAAATATAAACACAAGGCATATAAGTTTAGATCATCGACATATAGGTTTAGACACGGTTATAATATCAATTTTAGGTGACGCCATTATAATCTTTGTTACTGGATGTTTGTTGCTGAAAATCCTGATTTATTCCTCTTTGTGGTAACATGTGTTACAGGGTAAATAGAAGCAAGTGAAAAGCTTTAAAATGCTCTCCAAGAAGCCTGGAAAACTTCCATTATTTTCATCCTGTTTTAATACATGTTGTATCGGGATACATTTGCTTTATTTATTGCTTTCTGAACATTTGGTTACGTTGCCTGCAAAATCCAAAATGTCTAATTTGGAGATTTATAACCACACGAGCTAACCAAAGTAAATTAAAACATAATTTGTTTTAATTGTGATTTATTTTCTTTTGTTTTTTCTTCTAGATGCTTTTGTTTCTGTCCCTGTTAGTCGCCTGTGTGCCACTAGGGGGCGGCACAACTCCAATCAGTTGCTACAACGACCAAGGAGATGCAGTTGATTGGTGAACATTCATTCTACAAAGTTTTTATTTTATTTTATTCCATAATTTCATCTCAAACAAAACTGAGTTATTTGACTGCTTTAATGTTTCCCACTTGTTTCTGTTTGTCAGGTTTTATTTGTACAAGCTGCCAAAAGAACATGGAACAAAATCTCCTAAAGAGGGTGAGTTGTACTTATTGCTGGAAAAAGGGAGTGAAGGATGGACCGAGGGGAAGGTGACAGTGAATGACTCACTGGGAGCTCTGGGCCGGACGGTCGGACAGCTGTACTCGCAGGAAAAGGTTTGCTTTCATCAAGGTTTTCCTTGTGTCCTCAAAAGACTAAATGTGGAGTCTGAAGACTGAGTTCAGTTTAGTCTTACTGAGAGTTTTACATCCTGTTTTGGAAAGAAGGTCAGTATTTTTCTAAAATTAATTATCAAGCAGTTTTCACTTCCTTCATATTCACACTTTCTGTTCTTACCAAATCAAATGGCTGCAGGCTACATCTTTATGAAGTTAACAGAAACCTGAGTTCTTCTATCGCATATCAAAAATCTCATATTCGGCTTTAAAAGTTCTGATTTAAACTTTTCATCAAAGTTAAAACAGAGCATGTTCTGCATTCCAAATGATGGTCCCTAGATGTCTAGAAGTTTGTTACATCTGTAGTTTCCACTGCTCTTTAATAGAATTAATTTTACTTTTTACATTTTTAGGATGTCGGTGTAAAAATTACAAATATCAACTTTTTCCAAAGGTTTCCAGGGCATTTTAAATCAGACAACAAATATTTTTTTCCAATGTGCTCTGTTATTTTCATTTATTTATAGGAAAAACAGCCCAAAGTGCTGAATGATGCACTAAAATGACAATAAAAACATTAATAAGAAGCAATAAAGACCCAAAACTAAAACACCCAACATTAAAAACACGCCCTAGACCAACACAATATCTACAGCTTCAGATGAGATTTAAAACTCTGTAAGGAGGTGGTAATATATTATCTGTATTGCTATTTTTATTTACTTCCTTTAGTGTATGCATCTCCAGCAGCAAAGTACGCATTACGTTTTACTGTATTTGTATAGGAAACACAATTTTCCTTATACACTTAATCCTGCTTATTTTTCATTTGAAAAACCAATTCTGATTGGTTTTCTGAAATGTAATAATTGTAAAATGACCCTTAAGCACTTACTTATGTAGGACATTGCTGTTTGATTCCACTGCGCATTTAATGTTTTTTAATGTTCAGAATATAGTGAAACCTAAAAGTAACACCCATTGTTTACGTCACTATTCTTCAAATGTCATTTAAATAGATTCTTTCCTGCTTCTGCTTTTCGACAGCAGCCATAAGACTTCTCCTTTTAGGGCACACAGGTGGTGCTAAGCACATTTATAAAAAATCGTGTCTTCAGGTAATATTCCAAGACCAGAAAAATGATTTGATAACGAGTAGTGAGAACTGGTTTTCTGTTGATTTATTCCTCCCGCTACTAACGGAACCCCATCAGTTGTGTTTTACACTTAAAGTCAGGCATTTACAGAAAGCCTTTACCTTTTCACAGAACTCGGAGATGGCGTACGTCCTGTACAACGACCAGCAGCCTCCGGAGGAGCTTGGTGGTACAGGGGGGGATAACGGTGAAAGCCATGGAGGACACACCAAAGGTGAGCAGCACCTCCAAAGCTCAGGTGGCCTAAAACATGAATTCTGTATAAAAGTTATGAATAATCTTACCTGTTACTTTCTGAACAGCCTTTTTTTTTTTGGAGGAATAAAGTTTATGTCCTAAAGGACTGATAAGCTAATGGCTAGTCTGAATAATAATAATGATACATTTTATTTAAAAGTGCCTTTCAGAACACCCAAGGTCACTTGACAGAAAATACATTCAGAAAATACATTAAAACAGCAATGAAACAACAATAAAACGCAAAGAAGAAAAAACAAAGAGAGAAACAGTTCAATAAAATCAGAGGTCATAGGTAGATTAAAACATGTGTGTTTTGAGTTTTGTTTTGAAAAGGGTGAAACTGTCGATGTTCCTGATGTCTGAGGGGAAGTGAGTTCCATAGACGGGGAGCAGAGTGGCTGAAAGCTCTGCTCCCCATGGTAGCGAGACGGGCAGAAGGAGCAGCAAGATGGATGGAGGAAGAAGATCTGAGAGAATGGGAGGGGGTGTTAATACTTGTAAGGTCTGAGATATATGGAGGAGAGAGGTTATGGATGGCTTTGAATGTGCGGAGGAGAATTTTGAAGATGGACATGAATTTAACTGGGAGCCAGTGAAGCTGCTGGAGAACCGGCGTGATGTGGTGAAAGGAAGGGGTTCTGGTGATAATGCTGGCTGCTGAATTCTGGACCATTTGCAGTTTATGAAGGAGTTTGTTGGGGAGACCATAAAGAAGTGAATTGCAGTAATCGAGACGGGAGGTGACGAGGCTGTGGACGAGAATGGCGGCAGTGTGAGGGGTAAGGGAGGGGCGGAGACGGTTTATGGAACGAAGATGGAAGTATGCTGACCGACTTATGTAATTAATGTGAGCTTGAAAAGAAAGTGAGCTGTCGAGGATGACACCCAGACTCTTGACCTGAGGGGAGGGGGAGACTATGGCTCTGTCAATAGTTAAGGTAAAGCTGTCAGATTTGGAGATGGTGGATTTGGTACCAACAAGAAGAAGTTCAGTTTTGAGGAAATTAGAGGTGAACCAGGATTTGATTTCTGAGAGGCAGAGGGTAAGGGAGGATGGTGGGAGAGTTGAGTTGGGTTTCCTGGAAATGTGGAGCTTAGTGTCATCTGCAAAGCAGTGAAACTGGATATTCAATTTGCGGAAGATATTGCAGATAGGGAGGAGATAGACTACGAAGAGGAGGGGCCCCAGGACAGAGCCCTGGGGCACGCCTGACTTGACTGGGGAGGGTTTAACTCAGCTAAAGTGTGTTGCTGATGTCGTAAACCGTTCCAGTTTCAACTCAGTTTCTCTGAGCAAAGGTTGTTCACAGGTGAGATGTTATTATTCATAATATTTATATAAAAGGCACTTCAAAAAGGCAGAAATGTTCTTTTTATATTAGAAATAGGCAAATTTGATCAAATAAGTTGTTACTTTATGGTATAAAATCCCCTTTTTGAAATTAAATCCCCTTTGTGCACACTTATGAGACACCTGTTGTTCCTAAAACTTATTTTAATTGAGTCCAATTTAGTTTCACTTTAGAGGAATCTGTTTTTCACAAGGGGCAAACCCAGCCTGTCGAAAGTGAAGCCAACATGGAAGGGACAGAAAATGCAGTTCCCTCCTCATCTACTAGGGGCTGGCTCCAGAAAGGAGCAATTTCCCGTTGACTCCTATGTTAAAAATGCCAACTTCACAGCAGAAATAAACATGTTTGCTGTCTGGTTAAAACAACATTTTAGGTTTAACATGTCTAGTTTACAATCATGACAACCCTGAGGGGGGTGACTTTATTTATAATGTATCCATTTAGATGTAATTGAAGCATGAAATTGTGAATACGTAGGGGCGTGTCCTTTTGATTGACAGGTGCCAGATGAGCCGCCAGCACTAACACTAGCAGCTTGCCCTCCTGCTTGCTCCAGGGACGGCCTCAGGTTAAGAGTTACAGCCTAGAAGGCAGATGGTAGCAGAGTCTCTCAACCACAATTTTTCTGGCTAAAGCGCCCGAAAACCTGTTGGCGTCCGTTAGCTCGTAGCTACATCGGCTCAGAGTTTGATGGGTGTCAGTCATCTGCCCCCACCCTCACAGCCCTGCTCTCAGCTCCATTTTTGTGTCGAGAGGTGTGAGGTGGCCAAGATAGCGGTGGTGTGAACCACTCACAGGGTTTCAATTAGGCTCTTCAGAACCCTATGGGTGACGGCACTAAGGGCTTGTCCGTAGATAACCAGAATACCATGTTGACACGGATGTAGAACATCTTTTCCTCTAAAAGACACAATAAACACATAAGTTGCAAGTTCACTTTCCTTCTGTTAAATTCTCTTAAACTTCTAAAACTCGTGAAGCTTATCTGAGTTAGTCAGATTATGTTAAAACATCCACCTGGAGGCAGAACGCTGATGGATTGTTTTCTAACCAGTTGTACATCTCTGCCCTTCAGGTGTTGTGCTGCTGGATAAAAATCAGGGCTTCTGGTTGGTCCACAGCACCCCTCACTTCCCCCCCGAGCAGCAGGGAGGACAGTATTACTATCCCAGCAGTGGTGTGAACAACGGACAGAACTTCATCTGCGTTACCTACCCGCTCGACCGTTTCCAGACCATCGGTAAGAACAGGAAGTTACTAAATGAGGACGTTTAAATGCATGATGCTCCAGCTGCGTGAAAGCTGAGAGGAGAAGGTCCAGGTGGTAAATGAGCTTCACTTTCTGATTTATCTACCCTTGAACAAACACTCTAATCAGCCAGAAACTTACTACACTTTATTTTAACTCATCTATATGGTAGAGGTGAATTAAGTTTATTTAACAATAACAGAAGAAGAGCAGAAGAAACACAAAACAAATTTACTGCACAGGGTTTATCTAAGGATGTGTGAGAGAAACATTTAGTTATTCCTCTAGACAAACGACTGGTGCAGAGCAGTAGTCACAGACCTCTTGAAAACACGTTCTGGCTAGTTCATACCAAAGATTATTTCTTCATCTTCTGATTAGCTGTAGTGATGCAGCGCACGCACGCATGCACGCACGTGCACACGCACACACACACACACACACACACACACACACACACACACACACACACACACACAGTAGAGCACTAGTTCGGATGTTCAGTATAGACAAAAACAGCATAAACTAAACAAATGATCTAAGGTTTAATTTCGGAGGTTTAATATTGAGTTCTGGAGCATCAGTAGGAGTTTATTGAGCTCAAGTAGTTTCAAAACAAAACTGAAATTATTCATTAGATTGTTAGCGATCTGGCTAACTGCTAGTATTGCTTCAGTCAGAGGACTTTTTCCTGTTTCTGTAGACCCCGCCCACTTTGAGTGACATCACCTGCAGGTAGGATTCTCCCTATAGATCAGGGGTGGGGAGCCCTGGTCCATCGAGGGCCACTATCCAGCATATTTTAGTTTCCACCCTGCATCATCACGCCTGATTTCAATCAGCAGGTGATTAACAGGCTTCTGCAGAGCCTGATGAGCTGCAGAACAGGTGAATCAACTATTGAATCAGAAGTGTTGGAGCAAAGACATGCAGGATACCGGCCCTTGAGGACCAGGGTTCCCCATGATGAATACTTTCTATAGGGCCTTGTCTTCAAAACGAATAAATCTTTAAGAGTTTGTTTTTTATCCCTGCTGGCTAGACCAGGGGTCACCGTGGTCCTTATTTATTAAACCTTGGAGCTGCTGAGCGATCACAGCGGACGTAAAAGATAAGAAAAAAAATTCAAACACAAAAAAGAAACGATCAGATGGGGTCTAAGATGGTAATCATTGATAAGTAAAAGTGGCTCTTTGATGTGCAAGGTCACTGAGGTAATCCAGATCTAATGAGAACATCAGACAAAACAAGTCACAAAGTTTGTGTGAAACGTCACTTTTGCAGATTTCAGACCCTGTTTAGTACATAAGCAAGTTTTCCTCCAGACCTCTAATGCTCTGCTCCATCACCCCCGCATCAAATGGTTTAATCATCTTCTCATCATGTTATGTTCTGCAGAAGCTTGTCGATCCCTTCTTTGTTCAAATCAGGTGTGTTGGAGCAGGTAAACCGCTAAAGTTAGCCCTCGAGGACTGGAGTGGGTGGCTCCTGCTTTAGACCGTTTTGGGAATCTGAGAACTGAGTTTTTGTTTTGATCTAAAGTTTAAGAAACCAGATCTCAGTAGCAAAAGAAAAACAAGAAGCACGATGCTGATGCAGCAAATCAAAGGCCTTTAATAACAGTGAACAGGTCATGGATACTAAAGGTTTTTATTATTATTTTGTTGGGGATCATCAGCTTGTTGTTGTCCAGTATTAACAGTCCGGTCAGGTATTGACACAACAGCAGTACAATCAGTGTGAACAGGTGTCCTCTCCATGTCACCGCAGCCTCCTGGCTCACTCAGCAGTTGCTATGGCAGAGGCTGGGGTAATGCAATTAGAGGTTGGTGTGTAACCATAGCGATCCCGGCTCTCACACTGCAACAGGGGTTTGTTTCATCAGATCCTCGTCTCTCCAGCTGAGAGGTGATGAGCGTCTGAGGGTGACGACGAAACGACTGAGCCGTCATGTTTTTCCTTTTTTTTTTTTTGCTGTTAAATCTGAAGATAAATAAAAGGAAAATGCAAGTAGCTTTAAAATCCTCTCATAAATACAGCTTCAGCTCGTGTATATTCACTCTTGATTTCACCCAACTGTGTATCTTAATAATCTAGTTTGTTCTGAAAGAACTTATATTTCAGCCGTTTATTCAAACATGACCTTTTATATTTGATGATCAAAGCTTCATTAGCATACAGGTATTTACTGTTTTATCCATATTAATGGTTATAAAAGTTTAAAAAGGAGTCGGACTGTTAAAAACTCCTGAAGCTCCAATTATTATTAGTAGTAGTATTAGTAAATTAATTATTATTAAATAGATAGAAAAGAGAAATAAAAATGGAACATTTTAGCTTCTATATGTTTCTCTGCAGCTAAACCACACTAAACTAAATATTAGAATTGGTGTTTGTATAAAACTCAAAACCAAATGAACAGCTCATCAGATGTTGCTGGTTGTGCTCCGTGCACGTGGAGAAGACCGTGTCCCCTGACTCAGGGCTACAATTTGTCCCTGATCCTGGCAGGGACGTCACTAGCATGAAAAGACGGACAGGGCTCCGCCTTCAAGGTTGTAGGAAAGAATTTGTGAAACATTTGGTGGATAGACTGTTTTTCAGTTTAATTCATACTCTTGCCATTCAGAATCGACCTAACGACATCCTGGTGTTTATGGTGGAGATCAGATGCTAAGCTGTAGTGCAGCTTTGTGCAGCTTTATGCAGACGATGTGGTTCTGTTGGTGTCTTCAGCCCATGACCCTAGATGACCCTAAGTGCCCAGTGGGGTGATACAGAACTGAGCAAAGTGAGCTGGAAAAGCAGCTCCTCCAAATCTGAGACCAGAAAATGATGGAACTTTTTTTTTGTTGGGTCTTTGACTCAAGTGGAGGAGTTCAGGATTGTTGGTATGGTGGAACCAAGGAGCGATACTTAAAGATGAAACCCTGATTTAGTGGTCCGTCTTTGTTCTAAGATTCACATGATGGTGAGATGCTAAAAGCAGCTGAAATGAGATCCCTCCTCAGGGCGGTGGGGTGAGGGAGCTGCTGCTGAGGGGGCTTGGGCGTCTGACCAGGAGGCCTCCTGCGGTTGCCTTGTTTTGGAGGCTCTTCGGGTTGGGGACCAAGAACTTATGAGAGGGGTCTTAAATATCTTCTGTCCTGAGATCCCAGCCTTGGATCAGTGATGAAAAATGGATGGATGCAGGCATTTTCCTGGATATTTGCTTAGAAATTGGTCCTAGAAGATGAATCTATTTAAGATTTAAACAGGTGTTTGTCGCCTACAACACAGTCCAATACCAGACCAGTACCAGTGAATCAGATCCAGAAACACTTCCATGTCATTTGTTTTGCACCACAGGAGAGCAGCTGCAGATTAATCAGCCTAATGTGTACAACTGTGACGTCCCGGAGTCGCTGGCGTCCTTGGTGCCTGCGCTAGCCACCCTATGCAGCAAAAATCGTCAGCATGGGCGAATCTCCCCACACATGAGGGCTGAATCCAACCGCAGCGTGACCCTGACCTCCAAGGATGGCACTGACTTCATCAGCTTTGCTAAAGGAGCGTCATTCGACGATGGTAAAACTAAAAGTTTATTCAAAATGGAAAATTGTAGAGGTAGCAAAATCAGAAAACTGGAGTCTGATCTGTCCACCTGCTCCATCAGACCTGTATCACTCGTGGGTGGCCCCTACCCTCCAGTCAGACCTCCTGGTCCAGTTCTGGGTTCGCTCCACGGGCATCCTCCCCTCTGACTGCTCACGGGGCTGGAAGGTCCTGGACATCACGCTCATCAACCCGGGGCAGACCTTCACCTTCAAGGCCACCCAGGACCACTCCAAGTGGGCGGTCAGCCCCAAGGCGGCAAGCCGGGGGGCCAAGGGAGGCTGGGTGTGTGTGGGGGACATAAACAGGAACGAGGCGGAGGAGAGGCGTGGCGGAGGAACCGTGTGCCTTCAGGATCCGGTGGTTTGGAAGGCGTACCGGACAGCGGCCCTGGAGTGTGAGGCGTGTGGAGGGGGGACAACAGAGTGCTGAGTCAGCTAAAATCACTCTGGGAACAAGTTAGCATGCTAGGATCCTGTCTAATTAATCTTATAAATTAATGTAATCTAATTAATAGTTTGTCTATTTTTTAGAACACCTGGGGTTTGATTCTGCTCAAAGTTTTCCTTGACACTGTTAGGAAATAAACTGGTAATTCTAACAAGGACTCACGTCTTCTACAGGCTTTGGATGATTTATTTCAAATTCTAATAAAAACAATTGTTGCAAGGTGGAGAAACGCGAGCCCGGGCGGGATTCGATCCCTAGACTCCGGGGTGAGAGTCAGGCACGCTAACCAGTCAGCCAAAGGGACATCCCCTCGGCCAAGTAGCCAGGCCGCATTATCAATCGGGAAACAGTGACAGGACGCTCACACTGTCACACAATTATTTAATGATGTTCTCACAAATTTTCTGTCCTTTATGGGAGAATTTTTTGTAATTTAGAGAATAATGAGAGCACTATTTAAATGTGCAATTCCTCCTGTGTAGGCTTATCTATGCAAACACTTATAGGTTTTTATGTGAGAGGAGGAGCTAAACCACTGAGCTGCTGCGCCTTTCATGTGAATTCAACTGAATTTTTGTTAAAATATCTTTAAAATGCTTTAAAAGCAATAAAACTGAACTGCATTCAATCTGTTTTATTCTAATTTCTTAGTTTGTATTATGATTATTTTCCCTAAACTTTATGCTTTCAACAACAACCATGAACTGGTCTCAAACCAGTGAAAAAGGCTCAAACTTGAAAAATAAATCACAGGCTTCAAAGATCAGAAACTTTTTTGGGTTTGCAGGAAACGTATGATGCTCTCGGGTTTTAATTGTCCCAGCTTTCAAATTCAACAGCAAGTTGAGAAATATGCCGTTCATTTTAAAATTCACACACAAAAACCCAAAGTGGCAACAGGAAATTTGTGGTTCTTACAGCTACAGCTCTTTTCTGGCTCGTATTCGGAGGAGAAAGTTTGAAGCCGTTCTTGTTGGAAAGGAGATTTTAAAATATTCTGTTTTATGAACATACATTGTGGAAGAATCAGCTGATGCACACAAGATAAAGACCAACATGCGGAGAGGAATGCTTTTAGCTTTTCGTCACTGACTGATAAAAGTTCACCTCTGAGGAACTTTTCTCCCTTTTTTTGTGCTTTTAGATTTTCTTCTTGTGTCAGATTCCTACAAACTCTCTGACCTTGGAGATAAAGATGGCTGAATGAATAAAAAGCCTCCAGAGGTGTGCAATGATCTCATTACTTCCAGATGTCAGTGGACTCGAATAACGACATTTAATATTTTTGGATGGGAATGTGGAGTTTGTTATGACACAAAAACAACACAGTTCATAGAAAAGTAAATTTATTTCCACAAAATAGGACATCCTGTTTGTAGTGCATAAATAGGTTTGATGTGAAACTGCACAACACTGGAGTTTTTTTTTTCTCCTCCATGTGTTCTCAATACATTCTGATGGGAAAGGTGAGCACCCAGTAGAAAAAAGGCACTAAAACAGCCAGGGGCACAGCGTTATGCTCACACAAGTAATCAAAATTACCCAGAATCCTCTCCCTGGCCCCGCAGTCCCAGTGCCTCGGCCAATCAGGAGGCCTCATCGGCGCCGAGAAGGAAATCAGAGGTCACACGATTCCTTTCGTAGTAACAAGTTTACATTAAACTTTGTGTTCAAAGCAAATTAAAACCTGGAGAAATTAATAATTCAGCTTTTGTTTGGTGGAAAAGTTCCAGTCTGGGAAAAAAAGTAAAGCTTTAAAAAACTGTCTTGCCTTTTTGAGATTACATGAAAAAGCCAAAGCTGCGCATTTTTAAAGTGCTTGAAGTTTTTGTTTCTCCTAAAGCTGCAGTAATCTAGTTTTTCAGCTGGATTTTTAAAAAGGGGGGATTTTGTGGCCTATTTAATGTAAAAAAAAAAAGATTATCTCTATCCTATAACTTCCTGAACAGCCTCAGTTTAAAGAATAAGAGTTAAGTTCTATCAGGACTGATGAGCTAATCGAGTACTGCCATAATTCCAGTGACGTGTGTGACATTAATTTATAATAAAAAACGCGGCCCTTCCTACGGGGAGAATTTCAGATGCACAGCACGAAAGCATTCCACGCTGCTGGTCCCGTAACATCACAAACTCACAGGAAAATTCCTAAATAGGTGTAGAAGACGATTTTCATGTTCACCCTGCATGAAAAACTCAGAGTGACCGATTATAATCAAAAATAATAATTACAAAATGGTTTAATTTTCCACGCCTTTAATACTTAAGCAAAAGAAAATCTGCACGTCTTTTATTTTGAAATCTGCTGTACGTTTTACACTGCTGATTTCTGTCTGGCTCGATCTAAAGTATGGAGCTTGATGTGGTCTGAAAGTGAAGAGCGTAAAAAGTTAGATATTTAGCGGAGCGCTGTTACACTACGCTCCTGGGACATATCCGGTTAACACCGCTACACACACGGTGGGAGGCTGGGGTAAAAGGGAAATTCAGGTGAACTAAAATAATTTTACTGTATCACATTTCCATAAAAAGATTTTGTCTTTCATTCCTCAGGGTTATTTTTGTTTGTTGCTTTTAATTAAATTTCCTGGTAACTGGGAGAACAATCCCTCACTGACTTGCCACAAAGCAGAGTTTTGTCCTCCGTACTGTTTTGTCTTCCACTAGGGGGCAATATAGGATAGAAGCGCATAGGTAGAAGTGAATGAGAGAGTTAAGATGGATGCCTGAGACTGCTACGTGTGACGCAGGTTTGAATAAACCCTGGAAAAGGAATTAAATCCTTTGAGATACTTTCGGATATAACTGCCGACCATAACGCGTACAAAAACTGACCCAGATTCTGTTCTTGTTGCTAGTAATGGACTCACATTTAAACTTTCCATCAATCAGATGTCTGTGACTTTATGTTTGCATGAATTTTTCTAATTTTGAAGATTGCTTTAAGATAACAGCAACCCACTTTGGTCTTGACTGTATTTGTACTAGTCGTTAGCGCATCAGTCCTGTCAGAGCTCTATTTATCTGAACAGAGGCCATTCAGGAGGCAAACATTAATTATTTATACCCCCTAAAATAGCCTAAGCATCCTTTTAACACAATTTTTTCAGTAATTAATGCAGCTTTGTGTTGATGCTGAAAAGGAAAAGTGACTTAATTCACGTCGTCTGCAGACAAAAGCTGAACTCCATCAAACCTTGAAGGTGTTTTTTTTCCCTCTCTCAGTAAATCAGTTGTCAAAGCTCTTAGTCAGTGCTCACGCAACACTTGCATACAAAATATATAAATACATATAAAACCTGTAAATGTCTCTGCCATGCTTCAGTGGGCTGCTACACTTCTACAGCGGCACTTACACATCCTGCTCACTGAGTTGATTGAAATAAAATGCATCAAGTGCTACATGACAGCTACTTGCGAGCCAGCACCAAAAGCACTTAGGTAGGGGCCTTCAGTGCTCTTCCTCTTGGTTTTTTGCATATTTTGTAAGAATTGGGAAAGCTGACAGTGTTCCCCGGCAGCAGATGGCTCTTGATGAGCACGGCAGTGGTGCGCCTCGCTGAATGAATTCATTCATTTAAACACATGCAGGATTCTTCCCGGTTGGGTTCGGCAAAACAGACTTGGTAGGTGCACGGAAACGAGGCTTGTGTAGATTTTGCTTTTGCATGCAGCACTACTCCCCGACACACACACTCATGCATACGTTCGGATCGATCTAGTGTCAAAATAAAGTCCGGACCAGCCTCCTTCCTTTGGCCTTAATCCGAGGAAAAGTGGCGCTCGTCTCTGTGCTGATTGGCTGTAAGCCCAGTTGGGTGTTACCATCCTTCTTCCTCAGCAGGAAGTCAACACTAGATGATGTCATGGCATAGAACACATTTCCTGTAGCAGGAATGACCAGTTCTGGATTGGGAGAAGAAGAAGAGAGACGTGAAGTGTTATGTTTTTTAAAGCAGCAAGTAAAGGCAAGGCAGCTCTACATGTGTGGCACATTTTATACAAAGAGGCAATTCGATGTGCTTTCTAGCAGGAGAAGAATAAGATAAAAAGGCAAAGTTACAGTGCAGAAAAAAATATTCATTCAGAGGCTTATGAATCCATGAAAGTTTTCAATTTTGATTTAAAAGTTACCAGAGTTGGGGCAGGTTTGAGGTCATGAGGAAACTGATTCCATCTGTATGTAGCATAGTGGCTAAAAGCAGCTTCACCTGTTTGATTCTGACCTGGTTCTACCAGCTGACTGCTTCCTAAGGATCTCAGAGACCTGCTGGGGGTATACACTGCAAGGAAGTCCAACATGTATTCTGGCTCCATGCCATTGAGTGATTTATAAAGTAGTAGAAGCACTTTGACATTGATTCTGTAGTTTACTGGTAACCAGTGTAGAGATTTAAGAACAGGAGTGAAAACAAGTTAAACCAGAAGAGATTCAGGATCAGGCATAAGAATAGAAGAGAATTTTGATTATGAAAAATTTAGAGGTAGAACAACTCGATCTGATCATGGGGAATAATTAAGGTTGTGTGTCACCAAGTAGCGGGGCTTTTATTTTGATGGGTTTCAGCTTTGCTAAGTTTGCATCCTGTTTTGAATCCTATTCTAGTGTTTTCAGTATTTATTCATTCCAATAAATATGTTTTGTAACGGTAATAAATGATTTATAATTGTCTGCTTCCTGACAGCGTATCTTGACCTTAGTAAACCATGTTTGCCTTTGCCTGCCTTTTTCCTGTTCCTGTTTGCTAGTCCAACTGTCCACCTTTGGGACAAATTTGACTTTCTATAGTTTCTTTCCACTCTGGATACTTTCTCTGAAAAGGTTCAGAACTTAGCTCCATAGTTTTATTGTCCAAATCTGATCAAGCAGCATAAAACAGATGGAAAACACAGAGTTGCAAGCTGTGCCCCTTTTACCTTCCCATTTAAAAGGCAGTAGTTGTCCATTAAAGAGTGGCTACATAATGCTATAATACAATGCTTTATGTTTTTCAGGGGAAAAGAAATTCCTGTGGAAATATTTAATTATGATACATTAAAAATACACATTTTTATTCCATTTCATCCATTTTCTGGACCAGATTAAACAAAATAAGATAATAAACAGCTATTCCCTTTTAGATTAAAATCTCAAAAAGATGGAAATTTGATCTTCGTGGATAAAACTTTTGTCCTCGACTGGATTCTGTTTGAGTCAGGAAGTTCGTACCTTTTCCTTCTGGCAGAAGCTGGATCAGCTCGTATCTGGACGCCTGTTTGGGGTCCTGACTGTGTTTCTCCAGGGCGGAACTGATCACCGTGGGGGTCTTGTCATTACTCGTGACCTGAGTGGAAACAGGAGAACAATGAATTGGACAGCTCCATTTGCTGTAATGATACCCTGACTCTGTTGTATCTGAGGATCGGATACTGATGACTATTATTACGGGGGTGCGTGTGCAGAGAGCAGCTGCAAGTGCAGCCTAACTTCAGCAGCATGTCTGCAGCTTCTTAGCTCTGAAGTCAAGTGTTTGGGTACCAGAATGCTTCTGTACAGGTTCCCATCCTGTAAGGCCATTCGTATCCTGATGATCCGCATGTCGGGCCCCGACCCCTGGATGTTACTGGGGGGGTTGTTGCCACAGGAGGCCGATCGGCGGTGGGATTTAGTAGGAGAGGATGGAGTCAGCGTGGTGGGGGTGGACTCGTTGGTTGAAGGGGAGGTGTCCACATCCAGACAGGACACAGATGGAGATCTCATATGCTACAACAGAAAATACATTAATAGTGATGTTGAATAACATTAATTTAAAAAACTGCTCTGAAGTCAGGGTCTGTGACCAGTAATAATAATAATAATAATAATAGTAATAGTAATAATAATAATAATAATAATAATAATAATAACCTTTGTTAGTTTTGAGAAGAAGTTATTGACGGGTGAGTGAAAGTAAAAGAGGCTGTCGTTGTCAGCAGCCAGGCTGGTCCGGGAGTTGCTCAGACTGGAAAAGAGACAGCACATTAAAACAGCAAATTAAAGACCAAGTTCACTTGTTTTCCCAACACATTTGCAGTGGTCTCCTGGCCTAGAAATCTAAACAGGCCATAGCAGCAGCTAAAGGATTTTGCTCTGCATAGAAGCCTCAGCAGCCCGACCAGTCTTGTATCTTGCCAGTCACAGCGCTCTATCAGTGTGGTGGGTGGGATGGTAAATGGTAAATGGCCTGTATTTGATATAGCGCCTTCTAGCGTCCTGGAACTCCTCAAGGCGCTTTACAACACAATCAGTCATTCACCCATTCACACACACATTCACACACTGCTGGGGATGAGCTACGATGTAGCCACAGCTGCCCTGGGGTGCACTGACGGAGGCGAGGCTGCCGAGCACTGGTGCCACCAGTCCCTCCGACCACCACCAGCAGGCAACGTGGATTAAGTGTCTTGTCCAAGGACACAACGACAGCAACAGACTGAGCGGGGCTCTAACCTGCAACCTTCCGATTACAGGGCGAGCACTTAACTCCTGTGCCACCATCGCCCCATGATGTTACTGCGACTGAGCTAAACAACAAAGATGGCGTTGGGTTGATTGAAACTGCTTTGGCATCAGCTTTGGCCTATTTAGACTTGGGCTTTTCTTTGAGACAAGAGCAGATAAAGGCACTTAAGTTCTTTATTTAGAAAAAGGATGCATTTGCATCTTCTTTGACAATGTATGGTGGACCACCCCATTGACTGACTTCCATTATTTGTTGTCCAATAGCTGCAACCAAAGATACTGCCCCACGACTGAGATCTGTTTATGGTTCGTGGCCAGACTAAATATTCACATATAATGCCAGGCTACTGGTTTCAATTATAAATGAATGCCTAATGAGTCTTCCTCTGTGGGACAAAAGCTCTGGCGCTTCTGTTTCTGGAACTAGAAGTGAGCCAGGTGAGAAGTGAGCAGAAAGTGGCAGGATTTGGAGGTATCCGGAAATCTTATCTCTGATTGGGTGACAGCTACATGACTTTACCACTGACTCCGTTTGCTCAACAACGTTGATCTCCTTAAATAACACAAGCTCTACCATGTTGTGGAGTTGCTAATGCTTAACGTTAGCGTTAATTAAATGTTTCTAGGTGGAAAGATGAATGGCTGGTCATCCAAAATCTCCATTAACACCCTCCTGTTGTCACTAGCTGCTTTTTCCAGGAGCTGAACGACCGGATCACATCAGAAGCGGAAGCGCAACGATGCGCCGTGGAATGACGAGCATTTCTAGTTGGTGCCCTTGTTAACCTATGGTCTCGGTCACGTCAGATGCGAAGCGCCACGAAGGCTTGCACCATGCTATGATCGTTTCGGTGTGTGCTCAAATTTTTAGTGAGCTTTGAGTGATTTGCGTCAATTCTGGCAGGAAGTCAATCCCTAACAGAAGAGGCAGGCCGGCAAATTTAAAATAAAAATTTTCAAAATGAAACACAGCGATTGATGAATGTGATCATTTGTGTATCTTAACTGAATAGAGAGATGAAAATGAACAAAGACACACACACACACACACACTCCTGCGGAAAAACATAACGTTTCCATCATTTTAAATGCAGTTTTTACTAAAGATGAATTTAATAAATGTGAATACAAACAAATATGTTAAATTCGAAGTTGACAATAGCACTGTACACTACCACTAACACTAGTTTATTTACTTGCCCATTTAGAAAGGAACTGGTCTACAAAACAGCAGCAGGATCAGCGCAGTTTCTGATATTAAACGAGCAGGGCAAACTAGACACACACACACACACACACACACACACACACACACACACACACACACACACACACACACACACACACACACACACACACACACACACACACACACACACACACACACACACACACACACACACACACACACACACACACACACACACACCAAGAGCACAGGGGGTGGGGTGGGAGGGGTTGGAAAACAGTAGGTGTGAGCAGAAGCACTCGTCAGAAATTCTCGCCTGATGGGAACAGAGGAGCAGCGGGCAGCGTGCGAATTTCGTGAGCGATTTGCTTCACAGCTGATGTGATCCCGGCGTAAATCAACAACAGCGTTCCCTGTCGTGAGCCGAGATGGGTGCGTCCATGAATGTTAATTTGACAATGTGACGTGCAATTGTCACTGGCTTTTCTTATCCGAGTGTTTAAGTCTATTTTCTGTTGGCGGCTAATACAGGAAATAGGGGTGGACGACTATTTTCATGTTTTGGCCTGCATGCCTACCTCAGAGTAACCGATTATTTTCTAAAATAACAAGTAAAACATGGTTTCTTAGCGAACTTGACCTTTAAAGAAAACACTAAACACTTTTGGTCAGAATGAAAACTGAATCATTTTGATTGTTTTATGAATCCAGGAGTTAATAAAATAACCATGGGTATAAAATCAGCTTCAACTTGTCTTATTAATAAACCTTGCATTTACTCTGATACCTCCAGTGCCTAACAGTGGTAAATTAAAAATAATTAAATGTTTCTAGGTGGAAAGATGAATGGCTGGTCATCCATAATCTCCTCTAACACCCTCCTGTTGTCGCTAATGCTTGTTCTCAGCTGCTGCCTGTGTGTTCCAGTCACAGTTGTATTACTGGCTCCTGATTGGCTCTTCATTACTTTCTAGAACAGGCATCACTAACTTCAGTCCTCTAGGGCGACCATGCTGCCAACACACCTGAATCACAAGTTTTAATCACCTCCCTACCATGTTTGTATCCTGATATTGTATCTATCCATCCATCCATCTCTATATCAGTGTTGATAAACCTTAAAGGATGACATTCCCCTGGCAACTACAATAAGGGGGAGGAGCCAAACCGTTGTCACTGCATACATTGGCGTCCCCAAGGGGTGTTCCAAGGCAATTTCTGTCCACACCCATGGAAAACCAAGTGTTCTTTTAATAGTCATATTAACATTCACACAAACCATCAATTTATGAAAATGAATAAAAGAGCATTTATTGCAGGCTAAACTTTCCCAGTGTTACCACAAGGATCAATTTTCACCGGCCACATGGCCAACCCTATGAAACTTTTCTGGGGTGCCACTTGCTGCATCTGGATATTCCACACACTTTTGAGGCTCCTGATGGAGTAAAATTTTCACTTTTCCAGATTACTGTGAGAGCATTAAATCCACCAAGCAGCCCAAAACAAATAAACACCAACAGGAGAATATTCAAAGGGATTTGGTTCATTTTTAGGAATTCTACTTGCATTTTTAGGTTATTCATCCACAGTCCTTGCAATTTACTACCTGTTATTAAAAGCGACATCAGGGTGGATTCGTTTTTTTTTTTTTGCAGTTGTCACAACAAATAAATAATCAACTAAACAAACATTTCCTGACTTAAGTAAATTTGCTGTATAAACATTTGTCTGCTTTTGAAATAAATTTGACTTCATGCTAACCCACTTACTGTATCAGCCACAACAACAAAATCCTATTACGGTTGCTGTGACCACACTGGCTCGGACATCGTTTACCTTGGTCTAGATTGCAAGCTTTTTCATTCGATGATCCATTTAACATATTTTTGCGTCTCAGAGTTCTTTAAAACGAAAAAAAAAAAATCTGACTCATATCATCCTGTTTCAACATTAAATGATTGGTCCAGGTTTCCAGACACTAAATTTCTTAATAGTCAGCGCCAGTGTGGTAATAAGGTGTTGTGTTACACCTGGTTGTGCATCACTTACCCTGGACACTGGGTGATGATGACAGTTGGGGCAAGGCCGCGAGGACTCGGGTCGCAGGGAGCTTCGATCTCATTGGACAGTCTGTAGCTGCAGTTAAATATCAGTCAGTGAAAGTAAAACTGAGTCATGCAAAGGTTTTAATGTGCGTGACACTATTTAAACATACCTCTGCTCCTCTGTCAGCGTGGGTACGCTGTAATACCACTGTAAGAAGCTCTCGTCAGCAGTGAAAACACAGTTTTTGCAGGACGACTGCAGGAGACGGATTTGAGCCAAAACTTCAAATTCCTGTTAAAAAAAGAGCTTCATCGTGACATTGTTTCACAATTTAAAACACTCATGTCAGCTGACTGGGGAAGCACGTCAGAATGAACCATTTCCTCCTTCTGGGTCGACACTGCTCACATGATAAACTAAAGCCGTACACCTTTCAGAATGTTATTGCGGGATCTGCTGGCTGGTGTTAGCTCAGTCCAAGATGGCCGATGCAGTTAATCAACATTAACCCTCTGGAGGCAGGCGTTGCAGATTTGCAACGGTAAAACCTACCTACCTGGTTACTCCACCTACGTATTTCATGAGCATTTTTAACTCAGAAGTACCCCTGAAGGACTCAGTTGTTCGTCCTTTTATCAAAAATTATTTTGAGCCTTAGAGGGTCAAAAAATAGATCTCAGTCAATTTTACAGATATTAAGCTAAAGTCTGGCTTCCAGGTGGCCGAGGCTATTTCACAAAATAGACTCTTAGTGCGAACAGATTGCACGACTTCTTGCAATGTTGCATGAGATTGTGCAAAACATTATTTTCCAGATTTGACCAAAAATTTCGATCTCGACACCTTAGTTTGAAAATGACATGGATTAATTCAACATCGGCTTCATGAGACGTAATTCTTATCCCACTAAAATCTGACTTTGACCTCTTTAAATGATTCACATTTCAATGCTCACCCTTCTCCTCTTGTCAAAGTTGATGTAGCCGTTCTGCAAAGAGATCAAGAGCATCAGGTCTGTCGGGAAGTTTTAAAGAAACACCTTAAGGAACGTAACAGAAAGGAGCTCCGCTTACATCCAGCCGGTCTTTGACTGCTGTGTCCAGCATGGTGAGGTCAGTGAGGAAGATTCCCAGGTAGGGCACGGTGCCCTGAGCGTTGGACTGTGTTCAAAAAGAAAAAAAGTGTTTCATCAGTTCCCCTGAGGTTTGCATTTGCAACCCAAAGAGCCCACCTAGAGATGGATTTCAGAGCAGCTTCCTGCCTGCAGCTATTTCTCACAGGATTCAGCAGATCACACAGAAACACAGCTGCTTCACTTTGCTGCTGCATGCTGCTCACACCTTCGTGAAACTGCTGACGCCCTCTCCAGCTCAGCAGAAGTGGCACCATGATCAATATCTAAATGTTCTGAACTCAGCCGGGAATACACTTCGTATAGAGCATCCTCAGTCCTTTATAATCCTTCAAATACATCTGAATGTGAGTTTATGTGATTACAGCCTAAACTGAATTTCTGCTCTCTAACTTTCCCGTTGCTAAAGACCCTTTTGCAGGCTGTTACATCATACTGAACATTTCCAAAGTCTCCATTATGGCCCATGGGGGTGAACGGCCCTTCAGGCTAAAACATTTCATATTCATCCCAGACGTGGGCTGTAAAGTTAGAGAGAAACAATCTTTTTTCATACGTCAGAGATTCAGCCTCTGCAAAAAACATCACGAGGTCATTTTTTCAAGATACTCCTCTGGTACTGGAGCTACAACATCTTGTTGATGCAGCCTCAAAGGATTCAACACTCCAGTGAGAATAATTCACAGATTTTGAGCCATGAGTGTAAACTCACTCAGTGTGTGTGTGTGTGTGTGTATGTGCTGGACCGTTTCATCCTCCTGCAGCTGCGAGCTGACCTGTCCAACAACAGACTCCTCAGCTGTCAGGACTTGAAGGCCAGTTTGTTGTTCCATGACCCAGTGATCCTGCAGCCCCAGCAGCACGTCCGCTCCACTTACCCTGTTAGAGTGTTTGTTGTTCAGCCTGTTGTCAAGGTTGGCAAACTTTGAAGTCCCTTCCTGCAAGACAAAAACCAGGGAAAAGCTTGGAATCTAATAACCTTCTAACTTCTTCAGCTATTCGGATCAGAAAGGCAGGGGCACCATAAAGAACGGATAGGTTAGGACGATTCTAAGGGCCGAAGTGTCACAAGCGTGCCGGTGAGTGACATGGAGGTGAGGATCCACACGCGGGTGAGGAAGGAGGCAGACAGGAACATTTAAAACAAGGATTTAATCAGGAGCACGTAGGACAATGAAACAATGAACCAACCAGACAAAATGGACTAACAGGGTTTAAATACAGGAGGAGCTGGGACCTTGGGTGATTGGGAGGCGAGAGGCAGGTGGGAGTAATTAACATGGACACAGGACTGAACAGAATGGGGAGACAGGACAGGGTGTGACACGAAGACTGACAGGGAGCACATTTATTTTATTTAGAGTCAATTTTAATTAATTTTAAAAATCATGATTAATACTTTAGTCATAATTAAGAAAGTTTCCCTTGGCGGTGCCTCGTTTACTTCCCTTTCTTCAAACTAATGATGACCCAATTATGGCGCTGAGGACCGATACCCATTTCTCATTCTGGAATATCCCTGAGCTATGATACTGTAATCAGTCTATTCCAATTCAGGCCCGTTTAGAACTTCTGGGTAATTTTACATTCACATGTCTGTCTATCACTGGGTCAGCCCAGTAGGAACATTTTGGGACAGGAACCAAATGAGCTCCTAATCTAGGGTAAGTCCTCAGAAAGGCCCAGTAGAGCCACTGAGTGGGACTTGTGGATAACTTGTGCTGATTTGTAACTCGTGACCAATTTTGCCACAGTTACCTCAAAAGGGGCATTATGGAAGTTTGACAGCCAAAACATGTATAGAAATAATAAATTTCTTCTTCATATATTCTCCTGCAATGCCCTGGTCCTGTAGAATGAGCCCTGGCATTTTTACTGTGATTGCCTGTTTTTCTGTAAAATCACAGAAAAAGAGAGCTGCTCGGGTCGAGCAGGCTGCTTCATGCGCGTTCACGCTCAGGCATAGCCCGTAGCATTTGCTATCAGTAGCTTTAGCAGCAGAGAGAGAGGTAGTGCCAACTCAGCGACTTTGTCGCTGTTCCTAACGCCTAGTGACAAACCTAGCTACATTTCTGAGGACCCTTAGCTACTTTCTTCTAGATATTTCCTGCAAATTAGCAACAAAATAGCCATTTTCGCTCCGAACCGTTCTTTGAATGTTGTTTCAACTATCATCAAGGATATAAAAGTTACAGATACAAAAGACATGACTGGCTCTTTAGCTCACCTAGTTAAACGCCGGACTCTCGTGCCGGAGAACTGGGAACGATTCTGGATGTGAACACGTTTATTGAGAGTTTATTTTTTACATTAATGGTATATTTTTTACAGTAAGATGCCCAAATTTTTATTTGAGACTCGCCGAACGGCTTTGAATTCACAGATAAAAAAGATGTGGGTTCAACTTTCATTTTGGAACAATTTTTCAAGCAAGGGAAGGGATGATCTGTGAAGCTGACGGACTGACCCATCTTAAACCTTTGTCAACCAAATTATTTAATTAATTAGCTGCACGTTCTCCTGTCCTCTGGGCCACACACACACACACACACACACACACACACACACACACACACACACACACACACACACACACACACACACACACACACGGGGGACTGTCTCAGCTGTTATTTTCGTTAAGGAGTGTGCACGTACAGTATGCGCGGCTCGTGCACGAGCCTACTATTGAAGCTGCCGTTACGCTTTTGGCCTGAGGGGGCAATCGCGAGCATGAAAATTCAAAACTCCGTAAAGTCCCTTTAAAATAGCCATTTGATCACTGACTACGTCATTCAAAAGTAACCAAGTTACTTTACTTATTACTGTATGACAAAAATTAGATTAGAAATAACTTTATGAATTACTTTGAACAGCTGCTACTAATTCTAATCGTTGCCTCTACATAAAAACAAGGAATCGGTTCTGTGATGCTGCACTGCATTGGGAAGAGAGCTAGCAGCTAGCATCCAACATGAGCAACTTTAGACACGTTGACAAAAAGCTGAAGAGCATCGGGATCCCATTCCTCAAAATGGAACCGCTACTCGCGGTGCAAAATTAACACCAACCAAAAATAGCACCATCAGAACACAGAACAAAAGACAAACAAAAGTCAACATAAACATAAGCAATAAAACGCCAACAAAACACCTGAAAACACACCAAAATAGGACAAAACAACTGAAAATCAGCTACCCACAATGCACCTCGCCTCTTGTCTAATCCATGGTGGGCGGAGCCAAACATGGTTGCACAAAACTAGTAACCAGTAACGCATAGTTTCTTGAAAAAGTTACTTTAATCTGATTACTGATATGGAAATAGTAATGGGTTAGATTGGTTGTTACCTGAAAACGTGGTCATTTTAGAGTAACGCACTACTAAGTAATGCGTTATCGGCATCACTGCTCAAGGCCTAGCCAAACAACTGGCATTTGTAAAATTGGGAGAGCTGCTGGTGAAGTGGAGTGGAAGGAAACGACAATTAGCACCAATAACCACAGTTTTTAAACTCACAACAGCAAAAACTGAGGCAGAAATTCCCCACAACGGCATAATTAATGACACATTATGGTTTCATAGAGCAACGTAAAAATTGAATTGATTTAATCATGGCATATTTTGACAGAATAAAACTTTTAATGTTTTAAAGTCGGTGAATGACTTTAGGCGCTGATCAAAAATGTCACTAACTGCCAAAGCAATGGCGATATTCTGATGTCTTAGGAAAGTCCTGAAAGGGCTGACTCTGTATGGAGCCATTACATATCCTGCTCATTTTTCTCCTTCCCAGAAATTCCAGAATGTTTTATCATAAAAATTAACAAGAGCATTGTAGGAAGATCTGTTTTGTTAGCATGAATTATTACCTATGATGAGTTCAGAGACTGGGAAAAATGTCAGATTTGCTGTTGCATGTCAACAGTAAGATCTGAGTACCCATTAGATCGATAATGCTGAACATGGATTAATTCCTATCAGCTGACTTGTTTTAGTTTTCTTTTTGAACGAACTTGGATGCTCTACCAATGATGTGTTGAGCTTGTTATGCTTCACAAACTCAGGAAAACCAGTGAAAGCACGCATGTCCAAACCGTGCTTTTACAAAACCAGAAGACAGTTTTGTGAATCATTTGACTCTTGCAGCCGGTCTGCTGGCTGGAGCTGTTTGACGAGCTTTAGGATGAAAGGCAGAGACTAGAGTCAGAAAAGAAGAGTTTCTGTTTTCCTGGCAAAGCTCAAAGTAAAGCTTTTAAACTAAAAAGAAAAGGTTTTGATATATTCCTTTGGGAGTGAAAATGAAGAAGTGTGCTCTACACCGCTGAAGCAAAGAGATAATAGTTCAGCAATTTTTCTCAAAATCACAGACAAAGTGGAATCTGTTATGCTTGTTTTTTAAATGAAGAGAAAATGCAGATCTGGTCTTTTTAGTCTCTGAACACCACAAACTGCTCTCGGATACAAATCCCACAGAGAGGAATGTCATGCTGCTGGTAAAATTATGGGATGCAAAGAGTCAAGATGAGTAATAAACATGAGACGACAACACTGAGAGGCTAAAAAGACTAGAATAATTAATAAGGATGTTCTTTGGTTACAGATTTCGCTCACACAGACGATGCTTCTGATTGACGTGGTGTTGCACACAAACAGGGACACTAAATGATGGGAGCGTGACTAACTTCTGTTCCCCATGAAGGTTTGAGCTCATTCAGCAAACAGCAATTAGCAAATCTCAGGTGAGACCCAAAACAGTCTCAAAAGCATCATGGCTTCCTCCTGTCATTAACTACGTAAAAACAGAAATGTTTTCTCACATTTGAGAAAAGGTGAAAAAAAAAATTGCATCTTTGAAGTTTTATAAGGCGTAAAAGCATCAAACAGAATCCAAAAGCAGCAAAGATCTTAGTAAAAAATATTCCTGGAACAAAGTCAGAACATTACAAACACGTAAAACCATGAGTGTAGAACCGCCGAAGGTCTGAATGTCTGTCAGTTTTACCACCAAATCCCAAAATCACTGTTCTGTGACCCCACTAGGCTCTGAGATGATTCAGCGTCTGATCCGGGTTTAAACTTCCTCCAGATTCCCAAACCGAAGAACCCATTCCCACTTTGTCCTTCGTGTAACAGCTCACCTCCTTCAGGAGTTCTCTGCTATGTGAATAGTTGTCCTTCTCTGAGAATATTTCTGATAGCTCCTCGTATCTCCTCAAGGCCTCCCTGTGAAGAAAAATAAACATCAGCCAGAGATTCATGAGCGTTCTCGTAGCGTTTGAGGTCATGGCAAAAGTTCAGGAGTAAATGGAACAAAGAAGCATTAAGCTGAGATTTCATTTTAAAGTTAGAACTTTGGAAAATAAACTTTATATTTGTGTCTTTGTGAAGTTAAAGGTTGAATATGGAACAATTTAATATAAAGCTATATTAAAAAAAATAACACCTCAGGGGCATTTAGAGGTGTGCAGGATGAAGGTACAGTATTTTCTTTAAAGCTATATTTTAATTAAACAATAAGCAAATATTTATTTTGATGGACACAACACTGGGTGGTTTATGTTAAGGTCTACCAGCCAATAGGGGGCACCATTGCGGGTTGCCTAACAGTCCGCTCGGCACAGCGAGGTTGGCACTGTGGAAAATGGTGAACTCAGCATGCCAAGCAACTGCTTCTGAGCCCAGAAGGTAAATGAAAGAGGCGAGGCTGCCGAGCACAGGCGCCACTGGTCCCTCCGACCACCACCAGCAGGTTAGATGGGTTAAGTGTCTTGCCCAAGGACACAACAGCAGAATTCACTATCCGGAGCCAGTATCGAACCTGCAACCTTTCGATTACTGGACAACCCACTCTACCTGTTGAGCTACTGCTGCCCAAGGTGTCATTATCCTTCTCAAAAGATGAGCAAAAAGATCTAAAACCAGAGTGAGTTTAGGTGACGCCTACAACAGATGCACCCAAATAAAAAACGTCACGTATCGGAGAGAACCTGGTGTCCCGATGGCTGGAAACCTGGTTCTATTGTTGCAACTCCCACCTCCACACACTAGATGCTGCTATGGTGATCGTGTTGAATATTCAACCTTTGTACAGGAGCTTTAAAGCTGTTACAGCAAATTTTAACAACATAGTATAACTACAAATACATTCTTCTTCTTCTTCTTCTTCTTCTTCTTCTTCTTCTTCTTCTTCTTCTTCTTCTTCTTCTTCTTCTTCTTCTTCTTCTTCTTCTTCTTCTTCTTCTTCTTCTTCTTCTTCTTCTTCTTCTTCTTCTTCTTCTTCTTCTTCTTCTTCTTCTTCTTCTTCTTCTTCTTCTTCTTCTTCTTCTTTAGTTTTAATCAATCCGAGCAAACAGTTTTTTTTTTGTTCTTATTGTAATAAATCTAATAAATATAAATGTTATTAAAACATTTTAGTCTGTCTGCTACTTCTTTTGACTTTTTCACATCATACATCTATAAACCAGTTTAGGGGGATCTGAATCACAAAAGTTGGAATGGGGAGTCGCACCTGTCGGTCTCCTGCCACGTTCTCCTCAGCCTGTGGATTGGGTTGCTCTGCAGCGCCGACACCACGGCATACAGAGAGGAGAAATTCTTCCTTGCTCGACACTCCTGTAGGAGAACACACAGCTGAGTAGACTTATTTACATACAATCACAATATGACAATGAGTTTCCATATCCCGGGGGTCTGAATGGTAGGTGTTCTATAGATTTATGAGGGCAAAACTTTTGTTTATACAGAAAAACAAAGATTCAAACAGAATCTGCACATTTTAGAAGCCGAGATGAGCAAAACAACAGATCAGGTCATACAGAACAGGTTTTTAGTCTGACCTGGCCACACCGTTTCATGTTTTATTAAACACACATGCTGGTTTGGAAAAAAACAGATCTCTTTAATCTTGCACCATGATGCATTAAGTATTCTTTAGTTGTTTCTGTGTCCAGGAGAAAACCATAAATCAGGATTTCCACCCTGCTGCACTTTGCTCTCAAGCATCGATTGGAGGGAAATTACAGGAATGTGCAGACCCTGAGCTGAGAATGAGATTATAGTGAGAGGATTACTGGAGGTTTGTTGGAGGAAAAAAAAGACACAAGTGAGACTTTTAAAAGGCTTAAAATCGCCGACTGACAAACTGCCAACGGTTTCATTTCAGGAGAATCCCATTTCCCACTTTCTGCCTGCTGAAACGACGAGTTTATGGTGAAAATCATTATTTTAAAGAAAAAAATAATAATTGGGGAGTTTTGTTGGTCTGACCTCGGCCACGCTGATCCATTTCTCCAGGAGCCGTGCTCTCTGCTGGCAGCGAAGCTTCGTGGGCCAAAGACAGGACGCTAAAACCGCGTTGGCCAGCTTGTTGAACTGACGTACGGTAGCTCGGACGGACCAACAGACTCCCTCCCTGCCCTTTTTGTCTCTCTGTGACCACAGGGAACCGAGGCAGTGGTACGGAACCAGACGGACAAACAGCTCCTGTAACACACACATATAAAACACACACATCAAGCAATGTGAGTCCTCCTGTTTACGAATGCTAGATCAACCAGGCTGCTTTAGGAGTCAAAGGGGACATGTTAAGTAACCTCCTGCATCCTTTTGTGCTGCCATGTGGGTCTCTACTGACTCTATAAACACTCCAAACTTGAAAAATATCTGTTTGGTTTTAGAAATTATGTGCCGTTTCAAAAAGTCCCCATTTGTGATGTCACAAGAGGAAAATTAGAATAGAACCACCTCTCTATGCAAGTGAGCTCTACTGCTGGAAGAGCAGCGACCCAACTCTTAGCCTCTCCCGGATATCGGAGCTTCTCAGCTTATAGCAGCCTGAGCAGGGTAGAGCTGGGTCTGGTCAGCTCCAGCTTGTTTTCCTAAAGTGGCAGAACTCTGGAACAGCTCGTTTTGGAAGGTACTGAAACTGTCAAGAAAAAAACTGCTGAAATTGGTTCATGTGAGAGGGATTTAGTGCAAAGTACTTCATAAACACGTTTGGTATCGACCATAAAACTATATTTAAAAAAGTCATAATATATCTTCTTAAGAAAAAATGTAACTAAATCTTCTGGAGTTTTGTGAGTGAAATAAATCAAACAGAAATCTAAAAACATATTTGTATGAAGAAATGGAGAACATTTGATACTGCAGAATGCAGAACAAACGACTCATGTTATCGTTAGAATCAAATAATTTTTAAGGGCGAACTCACCGTTTCGATCTTGGTGAGCTGTTCTGCGATGAGAGAGGCGGAGAATCCCAGGATGTTGGTGGGTTCAAACTTAGAGGGGTCAGGAGGAGCACTGGTGAAACTGCTCTGATCTACAAAGAGACGAGATCGATGAAATTCACACATTCATACAAGAGGTTCTTTAAAGGAAAATCACCTACTGCCACAGAAATGATGGACTTTTAGTTGTCTTGATCAAATTTTGAACATATTATTATGCACCATCTCAAACAACGTCACATACTAAAATATTAACACAGTACCTGTAAAATTAACTGATTTGGAGCCTTTGTGTGTGTGTGTGTTTTCTAACATTTGACTCCAAAATTGATTCAGTTGTGGATTAAAATCCAGTCTAATGTACCTGGTAATTTCTCCTGTGATTTAGGGAATATTTTACTGTTTGTGAAAATAGAAGGTTTTTTTTTCATCTCTGACTGTTAAGCTAATTAAATGCAAAAATGTATTCATTTCTTAGCTTGTTTTAAGGATTGTGCTTCTAATCCCTGTTTGAGATGACCTTTGGAGATAATTTAGCAGCGACCCTAAAGACACCAAGAGATTAAAGACCAAGTTCACTCATTTTTTTATCACATTTGCAGTGGTCTCCAGTGTAGATGAATGCCTTGTGAGTCTATTTCTGCGGGACAAAAGCTCTGACGCTCCTGTTTCAGGCAGTAGAAATGAGCCACAGCAGAGGAGAGCTAAACGCGGCAGGGTTTGGAGTCATATTTCCTGATATTTGGACATCTCTCCTCTGATTGGCTAACAGCAACCTGACTCTACCACTGACTCAGTTTAATTTGCAACGTTGATGTTTTATCTCCACAAATAACACAAATCTGAGGGAGTTCTGCTGTGTGGTGGAGGTGCTAATGCTAACGGTTAGCTTCTACTAGCTGGGATGTGCTCCACTCCATCTTGGACGCCTATCAGCAACAGCCTTTACAGTCCAGAGCCAAGATGGGTGAGTCGATGAATGCTAACTTAGTGTGACAGAGATCTGACTGGCGGCTAATGCCAGTTAAACTCAGAGTGATTGATCATGTTTGAAATTAAAAGTAAAAAAAAAGAATAATACGGTTTCTGGTCTGGTCTTTAAGAATTGCGTGACTCAAAAGCAAGAAGTGAAAAAATATATACGTTCGGTTGATAATTTCAATGCTTTTCAATGACTCAAAGCTTCATCGCTTCTACCTGATTGCTTATGACCTAATTGAATGAGTAGTTAATTGGACTAATGTCTTAATCAGTCACTTAGCACAAGATAAGAGAACAGCTTTAGTTTCTCGGACGAAGCAATAAGACGAGGAGCATCACTGAAGTAGTGTAGATTTAACCTCACATGGAGGAAACCTCTAAGAAAATTAGTGATGCCCCAACGCTTCATGTAGATGCAGAGAAAGATGAAAGCAGGTCCAGCTTCAGAAGGGCTAAAATAACAAAATCATCCTTGCAGAATGAGAAGATTTCAGTAAATAATTATTTTAGTTAAAATTCAGGTACATTTTAGAACCGAAATGCTTCAAAGTGAGAAGAAAAAAAATCTCTAAAACCTTTGTTGGTGTCGGGGAGAAGAGCCTTCTCACTGAGCTCCTCGGCTGTCCTGAGGAGGCGGGCGCGGAGGTCAGCAGCAGACGAGGAGTCCTGAGGGAGAAGGGGACCTAGTCGCAACAGACGGGACGGCTCCCCGAGGCTTTCGAAGTCTTCGGGATACTCAGACAGCCAAGTGCTGAACACGGTGCATACTGCTCTGCAGGGACAGAGATGAGGGAGGAAAACGAGATGAGAAATTACATTTAGCTGAGATAATGAAGCGACACAAAAGCAGTTTAACTAAATATGTCAATAAATCAATGCAGTTCTCAAAAGAAACTGTCAAATTCAATTAAACTAAGCAAACCTGTTTAGCCTTGTTAAGTCCACACCAAGATACATGAGAAATATTAACACTACCGGTAATTATTTTATATTTACATGTAAGTGGTGCTAGTCCAGCCAACATTAGGTATAAATAAAAATAACATGTGCAATCTTATCTTGGAGAATTTAAGGGTAACTGTGCTAAATTATTTATTCCAGAGCTTTAGGTCAAGAGTTTTCTGCTTGTGCTCATCAAGGCTAAAAGCTTATTTTACTGTGACAGAATGGGGAACAGTTTGTATAGAAAGTCTCTTTCATCAGTTTAGATTTTGTTTTTGTTTTATTCTCAGACCTGAAACCTGAGAACTGCTGCTTGGTGTCACGCTCACCAAATAACATAATCTCCCTTTGTGGCCTACTTTTCAGGACAGCTCAAATTCAAACAGTAAAGAAAACATCTGTTCAGTTAACGATGCAAGAAACAGAAATAAGTATTAAAATAACAAACTCACTTGTTGAAGGATTGTCTGGTCTGGCTCCTCTCGTTCTCCCCAGGAGGATTCTCTAGTCTGAGAACAAGAACCAAAAAATGGCATAAAAGTCTCATTCAGCTTTAAAAAGGTGCACCACTGTGTGTTTTGTGGTAAAGATGTTTAAGTTTAGGGTTTCTCTGGAGTTTTTCTTCATTTTTAGAAAAGGTCTTTATATTTCTTCATTATTTGCTTGCCACATATTTCAGAGAGCTGAAATTGAGGTTTTGTTTTCTATAGAAGCGTATCGCTGCCATTTTCAAAATAATATGTCCAGCTGCGTTACATTACCAAGTCATATTTTAATTTTATTACAAAACACAAACTCATCACATTCTAACAGGTGCTGGGTTTTATTTTTTTTAAATGGCAGTTTGTGTGTGTGTGTGTGTGTGTGTGTGTGTGTGTGTGTGTGTGTGTGTGTGTGTGTGTGTGTGTGTGTGTGTGTGTGTGCGTGCGTGCGTGCGTGCGTGTGCGTGCGTGTGTGTGTGTGTGTGTGTGTGTGTGTGTGTGTGTGTGTGTGTGTGTGTGTGTGTGTGTGTGTGTGTGTGTGCTCTGTCTTCTCAAACCAACAGTCGGTCAAGGCCAGCGCTGGACTGACCATAGGGCATAGCGGGCAACTGCCCGCTGGGCCGACCCTTTCATCTTTTATGGGCCGGTGTCTGTTTTTTTTTTTTCCTGGCCTCTAGTTGTTGCGGACAACTTGTCCGCACCGCCCCACGCGACGCCTCGTAAAAGTTGGTGGATTGGCCAATTGGTAATAATACACTCTGGGCTGGACCAATAGCCAGAGGTCTGATGCACCCGCCAGTTGTTTGTGAATCTCAGTAAACAGACAGACGAGCTTTACAAAATGGAGAACAAAAAACGGAAAGGAGGAGCGGAGAAAATTCGACTAAAAAAGAAACTGGCCCTTCAGGCTGATGCTGGCACATGTGTTAAAATCTCACAGTTGTTTGGTAGTGAAGGTTCAAGTAAAATCAATTTAGGAAGTGATGGAGCCTCAGCCCAGCGACAGGTTGGAGAAGAAAAGAGGGAGGAGGAGAAACCCGAGCCGGTGTTGTGCCATAAATTGACTCGCTGCCAAAAAATGATTAGCCACCGCGGGATCGCGCACGGTTAGGTAATTGCATTTCTAGACAAAATTCCCCAGGATTTCGCCCTAAAACTCAGCATATCTAGCAATATGGACATTCAGAAAGCAAAGATAACCTCTTCCGGTACTTAAACAGATGTTTATCGCGGATATTAGTGTGGCAGTGTTTGTGGCACCCTGCGCGGGAGCACGAGGACGTGCTTGTGGAAAGAGGGAGGAAGATGTAGCAGTGTGGTGAGCATCCACAATGTCCCGATTGATCATGCGCCCTGGCTACTTGGCCAAGGAGATGTTCCTTTGGCTGACTGGTTAGAGCGTATGACTCTCACCCGGGAGTCTGGGGATCTAATCCCGCCCGGGCACTCGTTTCTGCACCTTGCCACATTAGTTTTTCCAGTTCGGAAGTTGTTTTAAGTGTTGCTATTTGTCTTAAACGTTCACAATGAGGATATATTAATCCTTTTTGCAATATTTGCGATTGAAAGATGGTTTGTGCCACAAACTCTGTGGTAAGAACTGGCTTTCTTTGTTACAGCTTTGATACTAAAAAAAAAAAAAAATAAACAATGTAAAATGGCACCCTGTATTGAATGTAAACGTTGTATAAATGGAAATAAACAATTCTCCAGCGATTTAATTTTTTCCCCTTCCTTTCTTTAGTCCACTTGACATGGAGCCACAGTTAACTAGTTTGGGGCACATTTTTACTTGAAAAAAAGTATTTAAAATGATCAAGCTTTGGCTTTAATGACACTGTGTAGGTTACTATCTATACATTACGTTGCTCTATTTAAAAGTAACAAGATAAAAGCACTTCAGCACATAAAATTAAGATTGTCACTTGCCAAATAGACTACACCCTCCCGTTTACCTATAAGAAATGCCTCAAAATATCTTTAAATTCTTTATTGATGATTTAATTGTAGACAACTAAAATGGCATTTTACTTGCCAAAAAGTGATTGAATTGCTAAGATTTTCATGGAGGCTAAAATTGACCAAATAAGGGTTTTATGTATTATCTGTTGATGTTACTGTACTCATACTGCCTACTGTATCATCATAAACACCCCAAAAATGGCAACAAAAAAAAAAAAAAAAAAAGAAGATAATTTCCATTGCCAAAAATTGATTACAGTGTCCTGGTCACCTGTAAAGGGTTACATTTACCTAAATATTACTTTATTTATTATCTCTTGATGTTATTAGTGCCATCACAGGATGCTGGGTGTCTTTCACATTCATAAACACCTCAAAAATGGCAACAAATGATCATTTCCCTTGCCAAAAATTGATTACAGTGTCCTGGTCACGTGTAAAGGGTTAAATTGACCTAAATATTACCTTATTTATTATGATGCTGGGTGTGTTCCACAATCATATTCGAATAAACATGAAAATATTCCGTCCGAATATCTGTTTCTTGTTATAAATATAACAGCTAGAAGGATTTACAGTTAAAATAGGAGAAACACGTGACTCCCCAGGAAGGGTCGTAACACCACTTGCCTCATGCACATAAGTGAACAAATCAAAGCAGCATGGAGACACTCCGTCTCCAACCACCTCTCAGGCAGCAGCCTGCACTCCCAAGTTCTACACGTCACCAGAACATAAACAACCGCAACACAATAAAAGCAGTGTTATACAAAATGGAAGGCCTGTAGTGTTTATTCTCTTACAGTAACGACTTATCAATTTTTTGGAGGAATTTATTTGAGAATTTTTTGGTTTTTAGTAATTGTGCAATAGAAAAGTAATCGCTAGATTAATCATCTAAATAGTCATTAGAATAGTCGACTATTCGATAAAATAATCATCAGAATAATCGTTTTAAAAATAATCAGTTACCCCCAACCCTACTTTTTAGAATACCAGGATAGGAAGGATGGTGTAGGTTTACGTTTATTAGATTGATACATAAATACTACCAATAAGAAAGTGTACGTTGGTGTGTGTCAGAAACAGTGTAAGGCTTAATGTCTTTTCCAAAAAAAAACAGGTGATGGGCCGGTCTCCAGTCAAAATGCCCGGGCTGAATTTTTGTCCCAGTCCAGCCCTGGTCAAGGCACATAAACACACATGAGTCAGATTCTGAGGTTTCTTCCTGTTACAAGGGAGTTTTCCTCTCCACTCTCGCTACATGCTTGCTTAGTATGAAGATTGATGTGAAGTCTTGATTGATGACTCTTGTTATGAATTGAATTAATACACTTCATTAGTTTTCTGATTAATTTAAAGATCAAATTTACTCCTATTTTTAATACATTTGCAGTGCTCTCTAGTAGGAATGAATGCCTTGTAATTTGTACTGGGGGAAAACAAAGCTCTGGTGCACCTGTTTCAGGAACTAGACGTGAGCCAGATCAGAGCTGAGCTGACCATGACAGGATGTTCTCCACAAATAACACAAGTGAGAAGGAGCTCTGCCATGTGGTGGAATCGCTAAAGGTTAGCTTCTGCTAGTCAAGATGTTCTCTGCTCTTTGGACGCTAAACCAACAACAGTCTTCCCCGTCGCAAGTCAAAATGGGTGAGTCAATGAAGTTTAAATAACAGTGTGACGTAGATCTGTCAGGACTTTCAAATCCTAAAGTTTCACCATCTATTTTCTATCAGAAACTAATGCAGGAGATAGGTGTGGGAGACTATTTTCATGTTCAGCCTGCATGACTAACTAAGACAGGCTGATTATAATCAAAAATAATAATTACAAATCCACCATTGTGGACCAATCACAGCGCTCTTTCGGTTTGAAACCCCTATAGAGAGCTGTGATTGGCCAGCCAGAAGGCTGCGGAGGTTCCAATGGAGCGTTCCCGGACCAAACTTTGCAAGGCAAGAATTTGCTCTAGTTTACAAGGCAATGATGCATCCGTTTTGGAGGGGAAAACACTGAAGACTAAATCTGTTCACCCAGTGAAAGTTCAAGTTAGGTGCATTAGTCAGGTACGCTAACATACGCTTTCGTGTTTGGTGCATGTGGCTCAATGCCAGAGCCTGTTGGAAAGTTCGAAACTTTCCAGCATAAACATCTCAGCAGATACACATTAATGGACGTAAGGACAGAAAATCATGCAAATATCCAGGCTCAATCCAACAATCTCACCAGTGAGCTTTGGTTTTAGGACCCTTAGCCCTGAATTCCAAATCACCATGGAAAGTGAGCTGGTGTTTTGTTAAATTTCAGTTAGTTTTTGTGATCTCTGTTACAGAAGCTGCTTTGCAAAAACGTCTTCAACACCAGAGATGGTTGGTGAATCAGTTTCTGGTGAGAATAAAAGTTCCTAGACACATTACGAGGAAGTGCAAAGCTAAACCTGGAGGTGGTGATTACTCAGATCTGTGACTCAGTTCATTGCATAAAAAACACTCTCAAATTAATCAAAATCAGTGGTTTTAGTCTTGACATTTTCAGGACCTTCCAGAATGAACCATTTCAAGGCTCTGTCACTTTAAGAAAGCAAGCCAGATTTGGCCACGCCCACCTCTCCTCAGCTCAGGCTGCTATAAATGGAGAAGCTCCAACATCTGGGAGGGACTCAAAGTAGAGTCGCTGTTTCCCCAGCAGCTATCTCTTTTGTATGTGAGAAGTGGTTTTATTCAAATTTTTTTATTTGTGATGTCACAAACTGGGGCTTTTAGAAACGGCTTGTTTTAGGCACATAATTCGTAAACCAAACACTGACAAAAAAAAAAACAGATGGTAATGTTTGGAGTGTTTATGGAGGCAGTAGAGACCCACATGGAAGCACAAAATTATTTATAAGGTTAGTTTTGGAAAATGTCACTTTTAGCTAAAATGTGATGTTTTAGCTGAGTTAATGTTTTGTCCTACCAATATCTTCCTTATTTTATTTTTCCTCACATGACACGAGTCCTCCATGGTCACGCTATCAATACTGGTTATTCAAAAGTTCAAAGCCAAAGAATAAATGAAAGGAAACATTAGCAATCAAACAGCTAAGCTCAAGCAAACGACCCTCCATTTATCTTATTTACTTGCAACTTCCATAAGTTGCTCTAAAATCTGCTGAATTAATCTGTTTTTCTATTCTTTTGAGTCCAGTTGCAATTCCACTGCAACAGGAAGTGCTTTACGAGCTGTTCATGCCCTGAAAACCAGAACACACCTGTCAGTGAGGATGTCCAAGACTCTCTCAGTGGAGGTGAAGGACCGGTAGGTGGAGAGGAAGATGGAGACGAAGGACGAGTCTCCCATAGCGAAGGAGTGGAGGAGGTGCAGCACCAGCTTCTCCTCTGTTCCTGCTTTTACGCACTGGGAACGAGAAACGGTCGACTGGAACAGAAGGAGAAGGACGTGTTTCAGCCTCTGTTGGTCTCCTGAAACGGACCTAGGCATGAGGTAACTCACCATGGAACTGTTGGGAGAAACATGCTGCTGTTTGACCACAACCGTGTAGATCACTCCATCCTCCTCCTCCTCCACCACCGTGGACTGAAAAGCAACGAAACAACTAAAAAAAAAACCCCTAAAAAAACACCTCATCATCAGCTGCTCAGGACAGAAGCCCCCCCCCCCCCCCCCCACACACACACACACACACCACGTGTAAATAAAACAACACAGGCCTCTCTGAACTCATTTCCTTTGTGCTACATGTAGTTCAAACGATCCCGCTTTAGCCTCAGGAAATGTCCCTGACACAGTTACCCCATTCTGGTGCACGACTAATTCACCATGCACGTTACTGAGTGCAAAACCCAACCCTCCTTACCAAATCCAGAGGACAGTACCAGGTCGTCTTCATCGGTGAGGGATCTGCCTGTGAAGGAGACACATACAACAAATTTAGAGAATAAAATAATACAGAATAATCAAGATAGGAGCACAACTTATCTTTTAATCACAGTCTGAAGTAAAAACTGAGTGTGTTTGTACAATTCCCTAAAATAAACTTTATTTTGACCAACACAAAAACGTTTCTGTCTTTTTCCGTCGTTTACAGGAGCTGCAGTCTGTTCACCTGAACACAATCACATTTTCATCCTTTTAACATGTTTTAGATTTAAAGAAAACTCTTTTCTGCTTTTGCTAACCATATAAACACGTATAAAACACCCCCAACCCAAAAATTGGCTCATGCTTCAGCCTGCAGAGGACATCTTTGATCAGCTACAGTCCATTATGATCCATAACACAGAGATTTGTCTTTGCAGGACCAAAGTCTGGTCTCATCATCGTTCCTTCAGCTGCATCTCAGACAGAAATGAGTCATTTGCAGAGGAAACAGAAAGTGTGATGCATGCTGCAGCTCTCCACAGACATTTGAATGGAGATAAGAGACGGATGACCTGCAGCCCAAGTCACAAGGGCCGTACTTTTATCTGAGAGCTACAGCTATGAGGAACCTCACAGATAAATAAATACACTTCCACAAACATTAAAGCATGAATTTAGGCACAGGAAATCTGATAATCCAACTGTTGCTATGGTTTGACCTTCATCAGTGGAAGTTAGGGAGCTGAATCCGAGGCTGTCAGAAGCTTTAATCATCACCCCCTGCCAAAAACGGCAGATTATGACGTAACTCTCAAAAAGTAATAATTGGATGTTGACCTGCAGCCAGTAAGGTTTTGGTGTGAACCCCAGTTAAGATGGCTGATCTAGTTAATCAAACTCAACAAACAAAATAACAATTATTACAGAAGGTTTGATGTTTTTGTCACCTTTACACTCCTCTACAACACAAATTCAGAGTGTCTCGGCCTGAGATCATTTTAATCTAAAATTCTGACATGATCAGTGGTTGCTGGTATGTAACCCAAAATAATCCTGGGCCACTTATTTAAACAGCTTCTAAAAACAAAACAAAAAAATCTAAATTTAACCTTATTTGAACTGAAATAAAAGAATGTGTCTACCTTGGTTTCCTGTTCAGAAAGAAACTTTCCAACAAATAATGTGCCTAAAACAGGCAACCGTCCATCAATTATTTTCCTCTTATCCAGCCCAAGCAGGAAGGCCAAGACTTCCCTCTCCCCAGCCACTTGGGCCAGCTCCTCTGGGGAAGACCCAAGGCATTCCCTGGCCAGCCGAGAGACATAGTCCCTCCAGCGTGTCCTGGATCTTCCTTTAGACCTTCTCCCGGTTGGACGTGCCAGGAAAACCTCACCAGGGAGGCATCAAGGAGGCATCCTGACCAGATGCCTCAGCCACCTAAACTGGCTCCTCTCAAAGTGGAGGAGTAGCAGGTCTACTCCGAGCCCCTCATGGATGGCCGAGCTTCTCACCCTGTCTCTAAGGGAGAGCCCAGCCACCCTGCGGAGAAAACCCATTTCGGCAGCTTGTATCCGCAATCTCGTTCTTTCTGTCATAACCCAAAGCTCGTGACCATAGGTGAGGGTGGGAACTTAGATCAAACAGTAAATGAAGAACTTTGCCTTCCAGCTCAGCTCTCTCTTCACCGCGACAGACCGGTACAACGCCCGCATCACTGCAGATGCAGCACCAATCAGCTTATCAATCTCCCGATCCAGCTTTCCTTCACTCGTGTATAAGACCCAGAGATACCTAAACTTCTCCACTTGAGGCAGGACCTCGTCCCTGACCTGGAGAAGACATTCTACCCTTTTCAGATTCAAGACCATGGTGTCAGATTTGGAGGAGCTGTTTCTCATCTCAGCCGCTTCACACTCAGCTGATACCGCTCCAGCAAAAGCCGGAGATCACATTCTGATGAAGCCAACAGGACCACATCATCTGCAAAAAGCAGAGACCTGGTGCTCAGGCCACCAAAACAGATCCCATCACCACTTTGGCAGCTCCTAGAAATCCTGTCCATAAAAGTTATGAACAGAATCTGTGACAAAGGGCAGCCTTGGCGGAGTCCACCTCTCACTGGAAATGAGCTCGACTTACTGCCGGCGATGCAGACCAAGCTCTGACACCGGTCATACAGGGACCCAACGGCCCATATCAGAGGGCCTGGTACCCCATACTCCCAAAGTACCCCCCACAGGGCCCCCCAAGGGAACACATGTAGATTCTGATGTTTGACAATCCAACTGACCCTCCTCTCCAGAACCCCCTAATAGTCCTTACCAGGGAGGCTCAGCCCGATCCACTTAAATCAAACACATAAAAATATTCAGTAATGAATTCTTCATTTATACAGTGAGAAGTAACCTGCTTTGTTTTGTTTTTTCAAAAATTAAACTCCTGAATCTTTAGGAACACTTCATCCGTGATCTTTACCTCAAGGATTTCAGAATAAAAGATCTTGAAGATGACAGTTGGTGCTGCGATGGGTGGGGCTGCTCTTGTGTTTACATTTCATTCAAGTCTCGCATTACTTTACATCTATTGCTTTTCCACACTTTAAAACCTACATGTCAAACTCGTGAGCACAATCTGCTGTTCTCACAATGACTCCTTATGACACAACTGGTTTCACCTCCATAACACAATAGTCACACCTTAGACATACTCATTAAAAACACCACTAAAACCCATAATTTCCGCTTTTGGTTCATCCAGAAAATAATGTTATTTTACTTATTGCTGCAAGTGGCCGTTACAAATGTGTGTTCTAAGATGCAGACTGAGTTATAACAGATGGTTAAAGCGGCACAAGCGCCTGCCAAGCTACAGTAATGGTGCCATTATTAGTAATGAGACCATTTTAGCTTCCATTAGCCTCTTTATATTACCTTGACTTGTTCTTTTTGAAGGTCAGAGCTCCAAACAAAACCTCCTGCATTCAAACGGTCCTAAAGCACGAGCACCAAACCTGTTACTCAACCTGCTCTCTGTGTTGGAGGCAAATCTGCCTCAACGTCCTTCTTTCCCACGAAATCTGTTCACAGGCAGACAAAGTAACCAAGTTACCTGCTCCAAGGCAAGTCCTGACAGGTAGCGATCCCTGAGCTTCCTGGAAACCTTCAGGATAAAACCACAGACATTTTTCCTGTTTTCTCCTCCGCTTCTCATCTGGGGTTTATAGTTTTCCAGAGTTTCTCTAAATCCAGCGTCCGCTGACCCAGATCTGAGTTTTTTTGTCTGATGCGTGTCCCTCTCTATGACTCCAGGCTTTGATTCACACACACACACACACGCACTCAAACACACACACGCACCTGATGCAGAACCCAAGTCCAGCCCCCACAAGACTGCATCATGTGGACACACCCATTACACACACACACTCACCAAACTGAGATAAGAATACGTCGATTCCTGTTTACCGTCCCTCACGAGTTTTATGCACACAAAGGCCTTCATCAGTGAACTCATATATAAGCAACACACACACACACACACACACACACACACACACACACACACACACACACACACACACACACACACACACACACACACACACACACACACACACACACACACACACACACACACACACACACACACACACACACACACACAAGCCCGGAAGCTATTCCCAGTACAATACACCCTCTCATTATTTCTCCCCTCCACTCTTCTGCCCTCTTTCTCGTTCCGATGACCTTCCTATGCAGATAAACCAGTTTGTCTGTTTCCGCTTTAATTCAACACAACCTCTAACAGGCTAGCGGACCTCAGGCCTCACGCTAGTTTTGTTTGAAAACCCAAGCTGTTGTTTGAGCAGTAAGAGGAGTAAAGGCTTAACGAGAGGATATAAATGTTCAGATGTACCAGGAAGTAAAAATGGTGTTTGTTTAAACTGGCAACAGCGTTACAGAGTGGAGTCAGCTTCATACAGAGAGTCATTCACTTGATTGTATTGCTAACAAATATAGCCTTTGTTATTTAGAATATTTTACCAAAAAGCAATAAAACTCCATTCGATTTTTTTGTTAAACGGAAAGAGAGTTGATAAAATGCATTCCAACTAGGAAACATTTTTCATTTAAAAGCTGAAAACTTTTAAAATTGTTAGCTCAACTGCTTGTTAGATCGTTATTTAGCTCCTACATCAAATAAAAAAAATCAAGATGTTTGAATAAGTGCTGAAACATTATTACCTTATATTATTATTATTATTATTATTAGTAGTAGTAGTAGTAGTAGTTGTTGTTGTTGTAGTAGTATTACCAGGACACATATGATGACTTTAAAAAAGTTATAATAGTTCTATTGATTCCTATACTTCAAACTTTATTAAAGACAAAGCAGTTTGTTAGATCAAAACTGATATTGTCATTATTGAACTAATATTAATGTCTTGACTGTTAAGCATCTGGTGTCTTATTAAACGTAGCTTCATCCTTTTCATCCTGTTGATAGATACCAGGCTCCAGTAGGTCTTACAGGGAGGAGTAGGTTTTACGAGGAGGATGACCTTGCCTTGGGACCGACCTTTATCAGTAAAACTCCCTTGAGAATGTCTAGCAATAGTTTTGTTTGATTTAGGGTGCACCTGGGGAAAGTTCAGACTCCCTTTTACAGCTTTCCCGCCTCAGAGTCTAAGGAATGTCAAAATGTGTGTGCGTTAATCTTTGTGTGTGCTAAAGTTTTTGGAAGGCATCAGTCTGATGAGAGTGAACTGCAACCCTTGTCTGGTGTGTATCTTTTCTCTCCACTTTGCAAAGTCTAAATTGATTGTTTAAGATTGGTATTGGTGTTGATCGATTGATTACTATAACCCCCTGTGCTTTAAACTTTCCCTAAGGTAATCTTGGATTGATAAAATTACCCAACACAGTTGTCCATACTCTAAAATGCCAAAGATGAAATAATAAATAGAAGTAAAATGCCCATAAAAATTTCAGTTACATTTCCCATCACACACCATATAAGCAGTTGTTCCAATATTTAAAAAAAGCCAGAGGAATACTTTCCTGTCACTTTAAGAAAACAAGCTGTTGCTGGCCACACCCACACACTCCCTGACTGGCTGCTAAAAGCTCTGACATCTAGGAGTTCGTGCTCTTCCACCCAGGGAGGTGGCTATGCTAATGTCCCTGTTTGTGGGACTTTTTGAAACAGCAGATTTCTGACACAAAATACTAACAGAAAACAAACGGACAGTTCTTTTTTCATGTTTGGGTGTTTATAGAGCCAGTAGAGACCCATATGGCAGCACAAAATGATGCAAAACGTCAGATATGTGCAATATGTCCTCTTTAATATTACTATTAACTTTGATGTAATATTACACCTACATTAAAGGTGCCTTATGTAAGAAGGAAATAATAATGACATCATGTGGTCAAATTTGGGTACTGCAGCTCACTTTCCAAACACATGAGTAGCTTTCTCACTACCATTTTGAGAATTTCATGTCCGTTGCCAGCCATGGCCCAGCGCCACTAGATTCTAGATGACGAGCTAAAATGAGCCCACACACCATAAGTTGATGAGTGTATAAATATATTTCACTGTAATATTGAGTTGTTGATAATTGAAAAAGTTGTTTGAGATTGTTTAGAGTAAAACACAAAGATGCCGTGGCTTCTAGGGGTACAAGAAACAACTTCTGGGCCGCTCTCGTTTACTGGCTTTATTTACAAAACGCTGCTGCTGGCCTGGGTCGTATTACACATGTCGGCACCGCACTGCTGACTCAGTGCAGACTAAGCAACCCTGCAGTCTCCAAGATTGTAAACGACTACATCCCTCGTTGGCCATTTTGACATGAGAAAAAAAAACTGACAATCCCCTCTGCCTGCTGAGAAGGGAATTGTTTCAATTTAACAGTTTTGTGATCATTTCATTGTAAAATTGCACCTTTAAAATGTAACCATTATTGCACAAAATGAATAGGAAATTTTCTTTGCTTTTATAATTTATGGAAATTAAAGTTTTAATGATTTATTTTTCCCCCTTACCTTTTGAAAATCCCCATCATAAAACGTTCTTTCATCTTTTCGTTTACAAACAGCATATTTGAAAAAATATTAGTCTAAATACTTGTAGAATATCACCTCATCAAACCTCTTCTGGTTTTAAAGAAGTTAAGCACAATTTTCCAGAACCAGGAAGTATTTGGGTAAGATAGACCACAGCTTTTCATTATTTGTGTGTAATTTTGAGTTTACCTGCATCAAAAGCAGCTGGATAAGAATCATGATTACAAGTCTGAGCAGCGTCTCATCCCCGACTTTCCTCTCATCTCTTTAAGCTTCACCAAATCTGGAGTTGTATTTTCTGGAAGATGTGATCTCCTCTTATAACCCTGAGCTCTTCCTTTTCTCAAATTTAGCCCCTCCTCTGGCTAGACTACAAACAGGAAGCAGATAATAAATGGAAACAAACACAGGAAGCAGGACATGCTGTCCCGTTTTGGAGCTATTTTTCATCCCTTCTTCGTCCATCAAAAACTGCAGGTCATATGAACTTCTGAACACAAACGTCAGCTGTTGAATGGCACCAGGAAAGAAAGCTTTACCTCTTCCTATCTAATTCCAATCTCACATAAACAACCTTTTCCATCCTGCCGTGCCTCCGCCAAAAACACGGGAGAAACCCTGACGCCAGTATTTTCAGCCCTGCACCAGTTACTTTCCAGACGGGGTCATAAACACATCTGCTGGAGCTTTATTTAAAACATCACTATTGTTAATTTGACAGCTTCACCAACCAAGCTCTTCTTTCCTGTCTTACTTTATGCTCCTCTTCTCATGCTTTCATCTCAAGTTTCCCTTGATGCTCCTTATTATCGACTAGTTTTCAAGAAAATTTGAGTCATTCAAGGCAAAAGTCTCCTCTCCAGGTCCAATTATACCAGGAGATTTCATTAGTCTGTGATGTTCAATGTGTTTGGAAAAAATATCAACAAAGATGCAGCTTTACTTACTTCAGTGTGAAGTGGGTTAACTGAAAATTCTCATGTATTCATAATGATGATGATTTTATTTACAAATGATGAAGCTGTGTGCATGGACGTAATTTTCACTTTAGAAGTGGGGGGGGGGGGCACGTGGAGGGGGGGGGGGGGGGTATCTTTATAGTATGCTCTAATGGGAAACAGGCTTCAACACAAATGGTTGTTTTCTGCTTGGTCCTAGAGCTCAACCAGTGTCAATTTAATATAGCGTAATATTGTTTTTGGATGGTAAAAAGTGCAGGGGTCAAAACTTGACTTTGGAAAAAGTGGTGGTGGTGGTGGTGGTGGTGGGTGGGGGGGGGGGGGGGGGGGGGGGGGGGGGGGGGGGGGGGGGGGGGGGGCATGTCTCCCCCCCCCCCCCCCCCCCCCCCCCCCAAAATTACATCCATGGCTGTGTGATCAGTTACTACAGACTGCCCTGAACAAATTCTCTACTTTGAAAAAGCCATAAATGGAAAGATATAGCTTTAACTATTAATTAACTGATTAAATGCCTCATGCCAACATGTGCTAATAATAATGCCAACATGTGCTTTTAATGCAAACATGTGCTGGTAATAATGCCAACAAATGATGGTATTGATGCCAATGTGTGCTTTTAATGCCAACATATGCTGGTTAATGCCAACATATGCTAGTAACAATGCCAACATGTGCGAGTAATGCTAACAAGTGCTAGTAATGCTAACATGTGCTAGTAATGCTTACATGTGCTAGTGGCTAACATCTCAATACTAATTCTGTTAATGAGACAGAGGTCTTGGAAATTTAGAAAGAGGCCATTTTTCTTGGATTAAACAAAGGTGTTCATAGAGCTCTCTGTATTTGTTGAGGTTGAGTCATAGCTACAACCGCATCAGACTTTAGCTCAGCATCCATAAAACTAACTCAGTTTGGTCCATTTTTTGTATTTCCAATCCAATAAAATACAACTTTATTAAATTAGCATACTGCATACCATAAAGGTGAGTGCTGTGTGGACAGAATATATCTTCTATGATTTTCGAAAAAGGACAATTTTATTGGATAAAAAGTCTAAAAGGTTTGTATGAAGTATTCAAAATAGTAGAAAAACACGATAATACGCAAAAATAAAATAAAATACAAAATAAGATAAAAATCTGACCAATGTGAGGTAAAACCATAATTTGCAGAGCCAAACATTCAGGAAAATAAATTATAAATATTCTACAGAACCGACACTGATACTTGTCTGATATGTAGAAGCAATGTATTCCAGTTTTTTGGGATTATGGCTGCAAAGGTGTGATCTTGGAGTTTCTGGTTAGTTTTGGGAATGATCTGGAGCACCTGGTCAGCTGACCCAAGAGAAGGTTGGTAGAAAATAAGCAGCTTAAAGTGATAAAAAAAATTACATGGGATAAACATATTCTCATGTGACCCAAAGCTCCATTTAATTAAATAAATGATCTATTACAGCTAAGTATATGATCTACAACTTAAAAACAATGAATCAGAAACTAAATCTCTGTTTTTGGTCCTAAATAATGATCTCTTTGTCTTGTTAGAGCAGTAAGAACCTATCAATAAAAGATGAAGGAATGTGAAATACATAATCAGCATCTTTAAGCCAAACAGGAAACCCATTTATTACTTTAGAACTTCATTGTTCACTTGAGGTTATTCTGTCTGACTCAGATGTCTAAGTTTCCCTCATTACAGAGTGAGCTGGAAGCTTGTATCGGATTCCACTTGGCTAAGTGTCCTTGGAGACTGCCTGTGATACCAGATAGTGTTTATAGTGAGAACAGGTGTGCGCCGCATCAACCAGCCAAACCACTGCATGCATTATTTACTGTGAAGTCCAGCAGCTGAAGTGTGATATTACATCAGAGGAAGTCTGAGCAGTCAGAACCCGAGTGGGTCGCTTCTTTTTATTTAACACTAAGGGAGGTTCGTGAAGTTCAGGGAGAAGTGAACTCACAGAGACGTGTGCAGGTCAGAAGAAATTTTCTGTCAGCCCTCTGGCTGCTGATGAAAATAGACTTGTTTCTAAAACCATCTGTTCAGGCTGGACAAGCCTCACCAGCAGGTACCTAAACATTAACAGAAGTGAAAGGTTGTGATGAATGCACCTGCGTTTGAACTCCCTAACCTCCTCCATTTACATCTCTACAGCTTTGGTCCACTTTGCAAACCCTCAATGGCACAGCGACTCAGTAACTTAATGAAAAGACCAGCTACATGAGGATGTCAACAGTGCCACTCAGAATCAAGTTCTTTCACCAAACCGTTTGGAAGAAGATCACAGACTTCTTATTAGCATGGTGTACAGTGTATTATATATAATGTATATGCTAGTATAGTGGTATAGTATATTATATGTAGTGTATGAGTTTAGTATTGTGGTAAAGTTCATTATATATACTCTATAAATTAGTATAGTTGTATAGTACACTACAGTGGTACTCGCTCTTGGTCCTGGAGAGCTGGTATCCAGTATGTTTTGTTGTTCCTCTATTCCAACACACCTAATTCAGTGGTTGAATCAACTGTTCAACAGCTCATCGAGCTCTGCAGAAGCCTGTTAATCACCTGCTGATTGAAATCAGGCCTGCTGAAGCAGAGGTAACACTAAACATGCTGGATACTGGCTCTCCAGGACCAGAGCTGAGTACCACTGGTTTATTATATATAGTGTATAAATTAGTAGTATAGTTCTAGTATAGTATTAGTTGTATAGTATATCACAAGGGAATGGTGAACTGTAGACACGACCATGCTTGAGAACTGTTTGGTCTAAGTGTCAAGCAGGGAGGCATTGGGTACCATCTTTAAAAGTCTTTGGTAGGACCTGATCATGGATTTGAACCCATGATCTCCCAGTGTCACGGCGGACCCTCAACCACTGGCCAACTGAGCTGTTATAGTGTATTATATATAGTGTATAAATTAGTATAGTGGTATAGTGCACTACATATATATATATATATATATATATATATATATATATATATATATATATATATATATATATATATATATAGGAGAAGTTTTGTGTAGTGTTATAGTTTATTATAGTGTATCTGTTAGTAGTGATATAGTGTATTATATATAGTGTAAAAATTAATATATTGGTACAGTGTATTATATATAGTAAATACATTTGTATAGGGATATAGTTTACTTGTCCGGGGATCTAGTTTTCTTGTCCGGGGATTGGACCGCCAAGGCTCCCGCCTTGGTCTGCCACCCGATTCGCATTGCACCGGACCCTTCATGTTCCTCCTGCGGGTGGTGGGTCCACAGTTGGACGAGCCCATGTATCCGGTTCGGGCTGGGCCCGGCCGGGCCCCATGGGCGAAAGCCCGGCCACCAGGCGCTCGCTCACGGGCCCCAACCCCAGGCCTGGCTCCAGGGTGGGACCCCGGTAACCCTCCGGGCCGGGTACTCCGACTCTTCGTTTTAACCGCCATGAAAGATCCTTCGAACCGTTCTTTGTCTCACCCTTCACCTAAGACCAATTTGTCATGGGAGACCCTACCAGGGGCACTAAGTGCCCCAGACAACATAGCTCCTAGGATCATTAGGGCACTCAAACTCCTCCACCACGATAAGGTGACGGTTCAAGGAGGAGGGGGAGAGGTCCTACCTCAAGTGGAGGAGTTTAAGTATCTCGGGGTCTTGTTCACGAGTGAGGGTAGGAGGGATCGGGAGATCGACAGGCGGATTGGTTCGGCGTCTGCAGTGATGCGGACGCTGAGCTGATCTGTCGTGGGGAAGAGGGAGCTGAGCCAGAAAGCCAGGCTCTCGATTTACCGGTCGATCTACGTCCCAATCCTCACCTATGGTCATGAGCTTTGGGTAATGACCGAAAGAACGAGATCGCGGATACAAGCGGCCGAAATGAGTTTCCTCCGTAGGGTGGCCGGGCTCAGCCTTAGAGATAGGGTGAGGAGCTCGGACATTCGGGAGGGACTCGGAGTAGAACCGCTGCTCCTCCGGATCGAAAGGAGCCAGTTGAGGTGGTTTGGGCATCTGGTCAGGATGCCTCCTGGACGCCTCCCCGGGGAGGTGTTTCGGGCATGTCCTGCCGGCAGAAGGCCCCCGGGTCGACCCAGGACACGTTGGAGAGGTTACATCTCCAATCTGGTCCGGGAACGCCTTGGGGTCCTGCCGGAGGAGCTGGTGGACAAGGCCGGGGAGAGGACGGCCTGGAGCTCCCTAGTTGGGATGCTGCCCCCGCGACCCGGACCCGGATAAGCGGAGGAAGACGACGACGATGATATAGTTTATTATATATAGTGTATAAATTAGTGTAGTGGTATAGTTTATTATATTACTGTATACATTTTGTATAGTGATATAGTTTATTATAGTGCATATGTTAGTAGTGGTGTAGTGTATTATATATAGTGTATAAGTTAGTATAGTGGTATTGTTTGTTGGTCTGGAAATTTAGAGGGACAGTAGTCAAAGCAAAATGACTTTGCTCTGCATATTGGTCTAGCCATGCTCCATAGGAGCTTCAGTAGGTCAGCCATTGGCCTGGGCAGTATTGTGTCATGCCAATCAGAGTGATCTATTGTTTTGGTGGGACAATCACAGCCCTCTATTGCAGTGATTCTCAATTCTGGTCCTGTAGGGCCGATATCCGGCACATTTTAATTTTTTCTCTGCTCCAACACACTTGATTCAGTGGTTGATTCACTTGTGCAGCAGCTCAAGCTTTGAGGAAGCCTTTTAATTGCCTGCTGATATCAATCGGGTGTGTTGAAACAGGGTTAAAACTAAAACATGCTGGATACAGCCTTCCAGGATCAGCCTTCCAGGATCAGGATTGAGGACCACTGCTCTATCCATTTGGTGGGCTAATCACAGCACTCTATTGGTTTTGTGGGCAGGAGGATGTGACAAAGTGAAACAAGATGGCAATGGCTTGTTTGAAAAGGTTTTGGCATCAACTTTGGTCTATTTAGACCTGAGTCTTTCTTTGAGTCAAGAGCAGATAGAGGTACTTAAGTCCTTCATTTAGAAAATGTATGGATTTGTGTCTTCTTCAACAGTGTTTGGTGGACTACCTCGTTGA